GGTAGGTAGGCCGTGGAGGAGGAGGAGGTGGTAGGTCTGTGCAGTACCTGCCCGCTAGCGACGATACTTTCCCAGCGCCCAGGTCGGTACAACTTGCACCTGGGCTCTTGGCGGAACAGGTCTGGCTGGCCAGAATGGAGTGGATGGGTAGCAGGACCCAGAGTGGATTGAAGGGGAGAGGGGGATTGGACCAATGGGGAGGCTCGACTAGCGGGTAAGCGTTGGATGCGCCCGTGGAGAATGGGTGTTCCTTGTGGGGACTGCTGAAGGTGGGCGGCTCTGGCCTTCCAGGTTCCTACACTACACTGCCAGCATGGGCTCCAGTCTCTGAGTGCCTGTGGATGTCCAGTACCTGGCCCGGCAGGTACCACCCCTCTGCAATGTGGTCCCAGCGGCCCCTACGGATCCCCCTCTAATAAGCTTTGGGATTTTCCAGCAAATGGATCCTCGGCCGACGGGGGTAAGGTAATAATAAAAGAGGTAATGTTAAGAGTCTCGCTTATTCAGTGGTTTGTCAAAGACATATCGGAGGCAGAGCCGGCGGAAGGAAGATGAGATCGGAATGGGACATGTCAAGTTGTCCAGTGTCACAGAGTTCGGGTTTTGGGGCTGTCACGATGGCACCTCACCCAGTGCATCTCAAACGCTCGCCCGAATAATGAGCGAGAGACAGGAGACACTGCGAAGGCGGTGCGCCCTTGGCCAAAACCTCAGACTTGAGCATGCCTACAAGCATAACTCCATTTGACAGATAGATACATGACGTTTTACTTGTACTTATGGTCCCATCCAAACAGTCTTCTTGTGTTTGATCTTGACCCAGACCTCGTCCCCGACGTCAACTTTGACTACCGCGTACCGTCATGGCGCCGGTGGGATGGTCCTGAGCTTTTGTCCCAGGCAAACATTTCCGACCTATCTTTATCTCTCCAAAGTCCAGACCGGCATCTGACCAGGTGATTGGTCTGGACGAAAAGAAAGTTGCAGTCCTCTTCCCAGAAAACTCTAAACGTGATCATGACCCTCCTCAGAGCCTCCTCAATGACACTCACTCCCGTTGCCGTACTTGAACCCACATACACCTACATGCACCACACACACACACATTTCAACATATATGTACACACCTCACATGCATGGCTTGCTGCAACCGTGACCCAAGCGACCTGCGACTGCTAAGGTAGCCTGTGAGCTTTTAGGGTGTCCTCGGTCCCACAGCTCGTCCTATTTTATTTTATACATAGTCCCCCCGTCCCGGGGTCTTTGGGCTTCACAGTTCTCTTGATTAGGGGCTAGCTACTCCCATTTGGGTCAGGACTTCGCAATCGACATAATCGACAAGGTAGCAGTTGACAACAAGCGTGCTCATGTAGGACAGCTGCATTGGTAACGCAGGCAAGGTTGATAGAGCGAGTTGGCCATCCATTGAGAATGCGGCAAAGGCTGGCTCGTTGGCTGGCAAAGCTGTCCACTCTGCGAGAACGGCGCTTGCGGGACATGGAGCACCGTTCCAATGGCGCGCCTTTGACCCGCTCCATTCGCTCCTCCGTCCACTCGCGCTCAACATCGAGCAAGCGCAGCCAATCTGGATTCGCAGTGGTGACAGTACACGCAGCGTGGTGTAAAAGCAGCTTCCCGTACATTGCCTGGGCCTGCGCAAATCTGGGGCCGTACAGCTACATACTCGACCTTTGGACTACCCTTCTGTGACCCGAACCACGGGATCTGATCCGTTGGCGACACAGGCCTTATCTTTTGCATATCTTTTCTTTTCAGCACCCTGTCGACATTAGTACCTCTACGGACTAGGGACACGGACACACGGAGACACAAGCACAACCTTGGGACGCACGCACGGCTCTTCCCCTCCTTGACCTCCTCGTCTGCTCTGCTGCTCTGGTCGTCTTTGCCTCTGTCCTTCCTCGGGCTGCTGTCATCACAATTGCTATCGGGAATTCCAAGACGGGGCCTGCCTTTTGAGACTTCAAGCCGGTCTCCCACCGACGACGTGATATTGACCAAGATCATACGACGGATTAATTCCTCTTTGATTACGCACGCACTGCGGCAAAATCCGTCTTGTTGGATCTGTAAAGGATCCCGTTCCCCGTTACTGCCGGTTTGGGCTTGGCGCCTTGGTTTGCTACGCTGTGCACTAGTGTACGTGCCAACCACGACGCGGAACGGCGATACAACCATGATAGCATGTACGGCTGACGATACCGATATCCGGACCCGAGTGGCAAAGACCTGCGGTAGGGCGGGACGGGGTCATCTGTCACTTTGGTTTTTTGAGTCCGGGGAAGTGCCTCAACCCACCACGATCAGTTGATACCCGCTCAACTGCACTGGCACTTTTTCTGAAAGACAAGTGGCGGGTGACGGCGGGGAAATGCAAGACAACTAACTGCCAGTGGGCGAGGCTGAAAATGCGTGACGCTCGGTACCCATATACCTACATACCCAAACCGCCCCCGGAGCGGGTGCCGGCCTGAATCCCAAAATAAATGCTATGAAAAGAGGGAAACCAACGATATTGGAGGTTTAGAGACGGAGTGGTTGACCACGACACGAAGTGCGTCTCGCATCTTTCCCAAGTCTCTTGAACCCCGGCCTGAGCTCGCACGCAGTTACGGGAGCCGGCTTGCTTGCAAGGTCTGTTTTCTTGATTGTTCTTTCAGTGATTCTTTGCAATTATTCGGGACCGCTATCGTTTTCGTAGACCAACTGAACATTTGATCCAAGTCCCTACTTTGTCGTCTTTCTTTGCTTGCTTCAACGCCTTTTTTCTTTTCCCTTTTTTTTTTCCCCCTCCCTTTTGACCCCATTCACCGGCCCTCCCTCCACCTTCATCAGCAAAAAGGAGGGGCATCTGGAGGGAGGTTGAAGCGAGAGGACCCCGAAAACGCGTGAGAGGTGGATTTTGTTGCATGGTGGCCGCAGCGGCCCCGGCCAAGTGTCCAAAGCATCGGATACCCCCCCTCCCCAGACCGGCTACATGCATGAGGTTACGGGTCAGCACCTTCCTCGTCCTCGACGACCTACCGGGAGACGGGAAAGTGTTTCTACTTTCTAGGATGCTTATCGCCTATCGGTATCGGCTAGGTATCCTCGACTCCATTGTACCACATAGGTCACTTCCCCTCCCCTCCCTAGGCTTGTTCCTTCCCCTCGTCCTTCGATAAAATGTCTCCTCCAGCACGTTATCCAAGCCAATGAGGGGTTATTTGGACCTTTGTCTTCATTGAGCTAAAGATCTGGCAGCAATGACTGAAAGTGATGACATTGAGGCAATTCACATTCCCTTCCTACCCATCGTGCGGATTGGAAGCCGAACAAGCGGAGGTTCTTCCGCTGTCAAAGGCAGTGAGTGTGATGGACATGGCATGGTAGGAAGACCACCAGGTACCCGATTCCGCAATTCAGGAACCTCCACTGCCTTTGCTGTTTTGCATGATGGACCCCGCCAACAAAAACACCCCCAGCCTCATCGACTCCTCATGTCCTTTTCCCCTCTCCGAACCGTTGCAGAGCTCAATTGATGTGCATTTGATCCTCATCATGTGAGTTACCATTGTCAACGCTGGGAGGCGCCTTCAGTCACTTCCCAGATTGGATTTCCAGGACAATGTCTCCCTAGCATGCCACACAATACTAGCCGTACATCTGTTTCAAGTATCTGGCATTCGGAGCAGCGATTGTTGACAGCTTGGCGCCGCCATATCAAGATTCAAACCTAGCAGGCCACGCAATCCGGTGGACATCATGTTCATCAAACAAACCCGTTTTTTGCAATTCTGGGTGCTCTTCCCGGGCGGGGATAGGACGACCCATGGAGCCTCGCAGACGGGCATGGGCTGTGGCCATTCTTGCGATTTCTCTAGGCGAGAAGCCCGTCCAATGTCATGACCGCCGTCATGCCTCGTGGACGACAAGCCCGAAACGAATACTCAAGTTACCCGAATCTGTCCCCTCTCACGCTTCCCTAGCTTCGCTTAACCAGCCTCCAACCCACACGTTCGGGTGGTTGTTCCCACTTTAGCGGTCTTTCAAACTCCATCAGTGGTCCAATACACAACAACGACGCCAGCATCCTGGCACTTCCAAATCAGGTCCTCAATGTCTACACCGGGTACCCCGGCCGAAGACTCAGGTCCATCAGGCAATTCGGGTCCCTTTTGGTGGTAGGTAAACGACGGCGACAGCCAACGTTGCGAACGACTACAAAAAAAACCACTTCGTTTCTTTCCTTGTCAGTAGCTCCTGGACAAGTTCAGATACACCGACGCCGCGACGCCTCCTACGTGCTTGAAGGGGCACAGAAGGGAGAGTTGACAACAAAATGAGGAAATGACACCTCGTTTGCCTCGTTAACTGATTGACGACTGACCTTATCAGGGCGCCCCATCATGTCGAATAAATCCCTTTGTCGTTGAGACAACCGCCACAGTTTTTGATCAAGTGACCAAATCGCTCACAGGCAAAACTCACAAAAAGACTCACTTTGTCCCACAGTATCTCCTGTCGAGCCCACTCATTTCCTGAATCTTCGATTCGATATAGGGTCCAATAGTAATTCCGGACCTTGGAACGAACCCAACCTGTTGGGACGCGTCGACGACGAAAAGACGGGAAAAATTGGTAACCCATTTGCGGTCAGGTTATGGTCAGGGATGCCGACACTCAGCAACACACGGAAGTTCCGCTCTCAACATGGCCGGCTTCATAAGCGTAGTTCCGCGATTGGACATTGTCAGGGTCGCCTACCACCTTTGAGGTTATGATCCTCTATCCGATCCCCTGGTTTGGGACCTGGCGGTCTGGCATTACTAGTGTACATATTAGGCTCCGTCCAGGGGGGCTGGCAGGGGGGGAGGCTCCGGGGGACCGGTCCGGGAAAATCAATATTACTCCTGCTCCATGCTCTTCACTTCCGCACCGAGTACGCCGAATTAGGTTCCGTATCGGCGGGTTCGCTAAGAGGCTCGTGGCATCCATCGCAATTTCAAATTTTTTCTCGAAGGGACAAGGACACGGTCCTCGCGAAACAACCATCTTCAGCATAGCCGGTTCCTGAACCAATGCGTCAACCGAAACTTCCATGTCTTCTTCCCATTTCTGTCCTGGCTCCGAGTCCTGTCCGCCTCACTCCCTCCTACCAGGTTCCGGTCCCTTGGGTGATTAAATGGCAAGGGGAAAGGTACATCACATGCATCCTGAACAGTCTATCCGAGATGCCATGAAAACTCTGACCCGACCAGCCGCCCCTGAATTTCTCCAATCTTCGCCGACAAGGTAGCATCCCGATCCGGGTCCCGAATCCCGACGGAAGGAAAGCGGAAGCGCCATGTCCTTCTCGAAGGCTGACCGCGGTCAGCGCAGATTGCCGATGGTCTGGACCAGGACAACAGGCCACTCAGCCTAGGACTCTGGCCACATCGCCATCGTCGATGTCGACGTTGATGCCCAATCTTCTTGCCGCCTCCACCATGCCCCCTTCACCTTCATCTATCCAGATATCCACCCACTCTCTGGCTTTCTTGAGCTTCTCCTCGTCGGCGTCAAAATCCAGCTCGCCGGGTCGCGCAACATAGATGGCCCGCATCCCCTCCTTCTTGGCAGCCCCCAAGTCACCCAAGTGCGCCGCCACCATCGCTACCTCTCTGGGCTGCAGATCCAAGTCCCGCAGCCCGCCCTGGTACACCTTTGGGTTCGGTTTGTACGCCCGGTACATATCGCACGAGAGCAAGCGCTGGAACCCTAGCGGCGAGCTACCGTCGACGCCCTTCTGGCTGTTCAGATCCTTAAGGGTGGCCTGGTTGGCATTGGTCAAGGCGACCGTGTGGTACCGTGAGCCGAGCAGGTGCAGACCCGGGATAGTATCGGGCCAGGGCGGGAGGTCGTGCCAGGTAAGGCTGAGCTTCTCGACCTCGGACGGGGTGAAGAGGCCGTCCAGCTGCCACTTAGCCAGCAGGTCGACGAGACTATCGTGGTGGAAGGTGTCGGTGTCCCTCCAGGGTGTTTCGTCGGGGACGAAGGAGCGGGTCCAATCCCCGTAGGCCCGGCGCCATTCCTGGGCGAAATGGGCCCAGTCCTCTCGGGTGAGGGAGCGGGCGCGGGAGAGGACTTGGTCAGACGGTGGCGTGTCCGATGACGTGGCGTTGGAGGCTGAAGCGGAAGAAAGCTTGGTCTCGGTGGCCGAAGCAAGGGTGGAGGCAACCTTTTCCCGCCAGGCTACGCAGGTGCCGAAGACATCAAAGGTGAGTGCTTTGATCTCGGTTGCCCAGGGAGGGGCTTGATGCATCGCCGGCATGGTTCGGAATGCAAGCTGAGGTGGTTAAATGGCCTGTGGCAGTAAATTGGAGTACAATGATCACAGGGTGCAAGATCCGATGATCAGGTAAAGGTAAGGGCGGGGAGGCTTTCAAGCAAACAAAGTAGCCTTTACTGTTTGTTTGTTTCAAGTTGTTTGTTTGTGTATTCAAGAGGACGGACTCCAAAGAACTGAATGATATCAAGGGTGTGAGGAAGGTGTTATACACTACCTACTACCCACACTGCGACATCGCTTGCACTATTCTTCCCCGCATCTGCACATCTCGGGAGGGGGATAATTGCGCGATTGCAACGTCTCCAAGCACCTTTCCAAGCTCTTCTCCAATTACGTCATTAGATGAAAGAGTTTCGAGAAATATTCCAGTCAGCTTATGGCACACGATAGACTTCTTAACCACTTCGCTGTATCGAATCGCAAAGATCCTCAAGGAAGTCTCTCAAGACTGCAAATAACAGGAAGGTGGTTGGAATGTCTGTTGGTGCAAAAATGGTGGTTGTTGTTGCTGCTATGTAGAGTTGACAGAGCGAAACAAGGTAGGCACGAGGCAGGCGTTGGCAGGCTGGAAGCGTTCATTCGGGCCCGAATAACGTCACCCGGTCCCCGCATTCATGGGGCCGAAACGGCCGCCACGGGATAATCCCAGCATGACGAACGGCACAAACACGGCAGGCACGGGTCGCATTCACAAGCCAAAAGATGGCAGCGATCGAGATGGCGTAGATGGTTTGCTAGGTCGTTAGGTTCGCAACCACGCCTTTCCACGTTCCTTCCCCCGAGTTGGGGTGGACGACAAACACCAATGACAATCCAAGGAGCAGCAAGGAACACCACCGGTTTCGGGACCGGCGCCGTGCTGCATAGCTCCCGGAGTTTTTGCTCCTTTTTTCATCGTAGATCATCTATCGTGCTAACGGCTCTTCTTTTTTTTATTTTTTTTGATAGCAGGTTTTGTCGAAAACCCACCGCCACATCTCAATCTCAACACCCCTTCGGCAATGGCAAAGAATTTCCGACGAATTACAATACTACTTCTGGGGGCGAGCAAGGACCAGATGGACGGCAAATGGCGACTTTCTGGACAAACGAATTTTGCCAAGATTCCGGCGACGTTCTCTTTTATCGATGTGGTTCTCAAGAACTTCCCCCACCACTCATACGCGTGGTATCATTGTCGGGTTTTCACTTTTTCTTCGCCTTCTCGAACACCTTCCACGTTGGGATTTACATCCGATCACTGCCGATTTACAAAGAAACCGGTCGCAATGCAAATGATGAAATACCTGTCCAACTGGGCTGAGTTGGTTCCACCAAGCAGGGGGAAACAGTGGGAACGATCGTCGACCTCCAGCCAAGTTCTGATGTAAACCACTTTTTGCGTGTAAGTGGTTGGACAAGGCTGAATCTTCAATATCTCTTCGGCATTAACGTCGGAGACATAGCTCCTACGTTGTGTGCTGTCGAAAACTCTTATCAATATGTGAAGTAGGATTATAGGCCAGGCGTGGAGAAGAGGGTCGACGCGCGGCGAGTCTGAACAGGTAGGTACGGATCTTTGTGTTTGGAATATATCTCATCTTCATATTTGTATAGTAGTGTCCCACAGAAAGACAGACAAGAATACTGATATTGACTTTATCAAACCATACAACCTACCCAAGTAAAAAAAAAAAAAAAAAAGACTAGATCTTGCGTCAAGATCGTATACGCTACAATCATCACCAACAAGAAGAGAGATCCAGACTTTACACTCTCCCAGAAAAGGGAAATATCCAGAAGAAACAGATCATATTCATGGGTAACACAACAAGCCCTCCCAAGCGGAAGGACTCCAACCACTTCACTGGCCCCAAACACTACAACGCTGCCTACACCAGCGGCGCTTTCTCCTTCTTCAACCCAACTGCCCGCTATCACGTCCTCGCGCCCCCAAGCCACAACGAGGTCGAGCCCCAAGTCGATCCAGCAACAGGAAACAAGAAGAAGCCATCCCGAGCCTCCGACGAGCTCTCCCTAACCGGTAACGAAGCCGCCTCCGTCCTCGGCCACCGTACCACCAACGACACTACCCAAGAAGCCGCCGTCGCATCCCTCCCTCAGGACACCGACATCCCCACCCTCTCCGCCGACCAGATCGGCCACGCCCTCGAAGCTACCGATTCCCAGCTCAGCGCGCAAAGCTCGCTCCAAAATGCCGCCAACGCAGCGACCGTTTCGCCCGAGCGGCTGGCGGGTGCCCTCGGCACCTCACCTTCTCAAATCGGAAGGATCGTCCAGCTCGGGGCCGGGAACGGGAATGGTAGCAAGACGTCCGTTAACACCACGCAGCAAAAACAGCGAGAACAGGATCAGAAGGATAGTGGGGTGTATTATGTCTGGCGAAGTAGGGACAATAGGAAGGGCAGACATGCGGCGGTTGTTACGAAGCCAGAAATCTTGCGGCGGGGGAAGCATAAGGGGAAGAAGGAAAGTAATGGAGGAGGTGGAAATGAGGAGCGTGGGAAGGATAACGATGATGGAGAGGAATGTGACAGGACTAGTGGTGGGTGGAGACACAGGAGAAAGTTGCAGGATGAAGAGAAGGGTGAGGGGATTGAGGAGGAGGATGCCAGAGAGGAAAATCGGGGGGAAGGCCCGAGAGTCACAAACAGCTGGGTATCGACGTGGCATGGTGTGTCAAAGATGGTGACGAGCTTTCCATGGTGGGATATCAGTTATGATGTGGCTTTAACCTTTTTCCTTGGTAAGTTTTTTTTTTGTTTTTTTTTTTTTTTTTGTTTATCTTGTCTATGTTCTTTTGTATTGGTGACCACTGCCCCCTTTCCCACTACCCCTTTTTCGGCATGAAAATGGGAGTGAGCGAGTTGAAAACAACAAGATTGGTTGCTAACGTGTTTCCATAGCCGCGATATCAAGATCAATCAACGGCTTCTTCGTCTATCTCCCCCTCAGCACACCCGAATCCGAATTCAAAGGCGAAAAGACCGGCGCCGGCGCCACCCGTCTCATCACTTGTACTCTGGTTGTTATCTCATCTGTCCTGTTGATGCTCGAAGCCGTTAACGAAAACCGTGCCGACTGCTTCGGCTGGGCCCTCGAAGAAAGTCTCGCCGGCAACGCCGACGGTCCCCGCTTACGCTCTGAAGAGCAGCAGGGCAAGCGATGCACCCACCACCATCACGTTCGCTACGTCATCCTTCGGGGGTCTAACCCGAGAGATCAGCGCAAAGCCGTCGTGGTACCCGTCTCTGTTTCCGTGCCCGATGACCAGAACTTGCACAACGAGAAGAGAGATGACCCGCAAGCTCACAGCGATGGCGATGCCTCGGACTCAAATGACTCCGACGGGAAGGGAGAAATCAATAGCCACCACAACCACCAAAACCCCTCGCGCGCGTGGAAGTGGTGGCCATCCTCCGACGAGCTCAAGTCGCACTACCTGCACGAGATCGGCTTCCTGTCGTGTATCTTGCAGCTAATCGGATCGATAATTTTCTGGACCGAGGGTTTCACCGGTCTGCCAATTGTCCAAAACAACATTTCTACGGGCGCGCTTGCTGGGTGCTACTGGGTGCCCCAGGTTGTCGGAGGCTTCTTCTTTGGTCTTTCGGCGGTCTTGACCATGGTGGAAGTGCAGGACAGATGGTACGTTCCCGCGCCGAATTTGCTAGGGTGGCATATCGGTGCTTGGTGTCTGGTGGGAAGTTTTGGGTTGATAGTTACAGGGGCGCTGGGGTTTGTGCAAAATGCTGGGGCGCAGTATAAGTATGCGGTTGGGATGGCTACTTTCGTGGCAAGTTGGGCTTTTTTGGTAAGTTATCTACCGTTCTTCTTCTTGTTCCGCGTGGTGGTTCGTCTACTTCTTTCCTTCGGGGACGAGGACACTCGTTCTCCATCAGTTGATTTTTCTGGAAAAACCATACGCTAACTACTGCCAATCATTTAGATCGCTTCAGTAATTCTGCTGTTCGAAGCGCTGAACAAGTATCCCCTTACGGTCAGCACTGCACCTCCTTCACGCCAGCCTCATATCCGCCCAGATGCGGAGCAGGAGACTGGGGCTTAGAGGATGAAGTGTGATAGACCAAATTGGCTGTGCCATATTTTCCTCGGCACTGGGTTGTTGGGGTATTTCATCGGACGTTATATTGGAGGTTTAGTCAGAACATTGGCAGACTTGATCTCGAAGTTGTGCGTTGGGTTTTTCATGACAGTCTTGTTTAAAAGTGATATTCATATACATTATACCATTCTCAGCATATCAACTATAACATTGTGAGACACAGCCTTCTCGTGACAGTACCGCCCTCGACACTCGAGGGTAAAAGTTGCTTCATGGCGCAACAAAACGTTGTGAACCTAAGTTTTCTCCGACAGACGAGTCTCGATGTCCATACATCGGTATTGTATGAAGAAACCTCCACTATGACCCCGAAAGTACACTACCGTAGATGAGAAAAGTAGACTGACCGTGCATATAGCCGGCTATCATCACAGCAAGCTGCGAAAACTTACAGCCATAGAAGATGATAACGCCTTGGAGATACAGCACACTGTAGTTGCGAAGTTTATATTTGCGGACATAGTTGCAATATTGAGAGCTTAGTAGATGTTTCAGATAGGTATTCGCAAAGGTACACTGAGCCTGAAGAATCACATCAGTTCGGCCACTCATACAGAGAACATGAAGAAGAACGGGCCCTCTTCATATCCTTGCAAGAGAAACCCTTCTCGATCTTGAATATCTGGGAAGCGATTTTTTCACTGTCTGACTTTGACGGGAGATATAGTCCAGCCATGGTTTGGTTGTTAGTTCGAGACCTCGTGTCAACTTTTCCAAGCGTTTTTATGCTGTGAATATGCTACTAAATACACCACATCAAATCTTGTTGATGACTCTCGCATTAATGTCGAGATACTCATTCAGTCTTCAAAAGGTTTGGAACAATTCGGAAGACATCTCGTCCAGTGTACCAGGAATGAGTATCTACCCAGGTACCAAGCTAAGAAATACACCAGTACTAGGTTGTATACACTACTGTCGGATGTGAGATGTCGATTAGACTGGAATAAACGTCCCATGATTCGTCACATTACTTGTGACCATCAGAATGTCCCTATGAGCTGTCAAGAACTGGCCAAAGGTTCTCGATTTCGCAGTCAATTTGAGCCTTGAAACTATGAGGTCCAGAAACATGGACATTAGAACGTGTTTGTCGAGCACTCTATCTGAAACGAAGCACCAAAACATTTAAGGATCAAGCCCGATATAAACAACATCAATCAAATAAACGAGCCAGTTGCAGAAGTTGTTGTCCATGTTTTCCTGGAAAAACCGGGCCCTATGGAAAGTTCCTGTGCCCTCTTTCTTGCGACCTCCGCAGCCAGGTTTGGGAGACGTTCATCATGTGTGGCATCACGCGTCTTCTTTGCGCCTCCATTTAGTCGTCCATGGACACAGTTCTCTTATCTCCCGCCTCATCACCTTCGCCAACGGTCTCGAGAGAGTAAAGGTAGTTCTGGATCTCAGTATGCATACTTGCTCAAACCTCCCCAAACCGTTGACCGGAAAAGGGGCTCCGCAAGTCCGCGTACAGCCAGACATCGATGGAGCGTTGTAGGGTAGGTAGCAACCCCTGGGAAATTTTCTATTGCCCTTTGCACAACACCCCTGGAATTTTTGGCTCGGCTCTGCAGGTACGGGCGACACGAGGACCCATCATGGAAGCTTTAACCTGCATCATGTAGCAGTGCCGTACGTACGCTAGCGCATGCAATGCGCTGCAGTTGCAGTGATCCACGATGGCGCCGCGACTGATGGAGAAGTCTTGGATGATCGTTGGAGTGACGGGGCTGATGATCATTCATCCATAATGTGATGGGATTTTGTTGGCAGTGAGAAAGACATCAGAGATTTTTGAGGTACACTACTGACTTAAGAATCCAGCTACCTGTCAGAATCACGAGTGCAACTGACGCGAACCGTTGGATGCTTCTCGGGAACCGACAGAGAAACCGTCTTGTGCCGACTTGGCAAGACACAAGAGACCCAGGGGGTCGCGGAGAGTTTGCGAACGATTGGCCAATGCACTTTTCCTCACTCTTCAGATACAATCCAGATTACTGACGTGTCTCTCCTTGCAAAAGGAGCACGGAGTTCATCCCATCAGCCCAGCCCAAAGTTCAGACGGAACATATCGCACCGTGGGAGGCGCATAGGGTGATTCGGTTCCTTTCCTAGGCGAACCGGGACACATCCCATTGCGCCGAGGATGAGAATGAGGATGATGGAAATGATTGTACGTACACCTCAAGAGGTGTAAGGCATGTTGCCTTCTCCTTGGTAGTGTACACCTTTGCTAATCTCCCGCGGATGCCGCAACGGCACAACCAAGTTTGTAGGGAAGTGGAAGTAGGAAGCGAATGGAACACTCGCTAAAGGCGATGTTGTTGGCTGCGTTGCACATGCAATCAACACACACGGCAGAAAAAACATTTCTTTTGTCTTTCTCAAACCGTGACGGCCGTGATTTGCCGGTCCCATCTCATTTTGGCCCGTGTTGGTTCACGCTTGCTGCTTGTTGCTTGCTGCTTGTTGCTTGTTGCTTTTTTTTTTTTTTTTTTTTGTTTTTTTTTCCGTTAGGCGCTGTTGGCCGCTGTAGTGACGCGGGGGTTACATATCTAGTTGCTCCTACAGGTGCTGAGGTGCTATCGAAGGCAATCCACAAGCTGGAGGGTCATGTCCAAAACCTGCCACGACTGGAATGGTCGGATCGACGGTGAGCCTGGGATAACGCTGTTGAGCGCTTAAGCCCTCTGTGGGGGATCGTGAAGGAATATGCCCGTCGCAATAGCATAGTGAGGTGGTACTATGCGGAGAAGTAGGGGGCCAACGGGCGATCCTCTCAAAGTCGAAACATGGGACCTTGGTGCAGGAATGTTGGTGATAAGGTTGAAAGTTGACGATCACATGTGCTTGTCTGTCGAATCTGTCCGTGAGGACGGCATCATTTTGCAGACACGAGATTGGTTATGCGAGTGGGTGTGAGAATGCAACCCCAGACGGTTTTTGTGTAACGACAACCAACATCTTCAACATCATGGACCTTCGGCGAAATGTCTCAATTGCTTCGGGGAGGGGGGAACGGCCTGCGGATGACAGGCAATTATTTGGTGGATGTTCGCGCAGGCTGAGACTCGGGCGCGGGCGTGGCGTACCGGTACTGTCCTTTTCCAACGCCATTGGTCATTGCACCAATCTGCCCTCCGCGTCCCTACAAAAGGCAGCACAAAGTTGTCGTCGCCGCCACCGTCATCGAGGGTTTTGAACGAACGGATGGCATCCGTGAAGCCGCCGTGATGAGGAAGCTAGGGGCTCAAAGTGATGGTTCCCCACTGCTAGTGATTGAAGAACTTGTGATCGGCGGTCGCCCCATCACAGAAAAGAAATTTGGCTGGCGCAATGGCAGCATCCTACTGGTCAATCGGTCACATCCAACCTTCGCTGACCCGGAACCAGAAGGGTTTAGTGCTTCCAGAGAGCCTTTGACGTTGGAGAGCTTAGAGCAGAGCCATTTCTGGACGGCGAGCTTCAGCGTTTCATGTGGCTTCGCTGCGGGAAAGCCTGGGATAGCTTGGCGAGCCTCAGTCCCGGTGATGGTAGGCCAGGCCCTTCAGCCAATTAACTCGTCACACGAGCACTTGTGTTCTTTTCAGTGGTGCAGGGTACGAGGTCGCATCTCCGATGTGATGGAGACGGCCGAGGGTGTGGTGATGATGGGCAAGATGATGCGTCAATATCACCTCTTGAAGCGAGAACGGGACGGCTTCCAGAAAGTCCCAGCTTATCCTGAATGATACCTTGGATATCTCGATTCTCCATGGGACGACAACCCATCTTGGCGCACCGCGTGATATTCCACAACGACTTGTAATATAGGTAGGTGGCATGTTGGGATTGTATACATCGAACACCATGTGTATCATCAGCACAGACGGGTTCGTCCTGACGTTACGGAGCCGCTTCAGAGGGTTTTTTAGGCCATCGGTTTCTGTCATGGGGTTCGCTGCTTCCCGGACCCGAGCTGTACCTCCCGGCGACCGTTTCCCTGGCGTTTCCAAGTCGTCCACTACTAGTAGTGAAGTGGCCAGACGAGGCCGAGGCCAGGAACCAAAGGAACACATTGGAAAACTCTCTTTGGCTTCCAGCTGTCATGGTCGCCCCTGTCAGTGATTTAATAACCTCGGGTGTGTTTTGGCGTCCCAGCACTGTAGCATACTGTCTCACCTGTAGTTTAGTTACCTAGGTAGAACTGATACAGCGGCCTCTTGTCTCGAAGGTTATCAGGGGCAATGAAGTGCCAAACCACGAGAGATTGAGACATGAAGATTTCTGCCATCAGGGTTACAGACATTGGAGATTGTGTAACCGCCAAAGTTTAGCGAGCCGGCCCTTCTAGTTTACTGAACCTCGAACGATAATGGTCCGTGAGCTGTTGCCCACAAGGAACGGGACCCGAAAATATCTCTGCGGGAGGCGGACGGGAGAGGGGGAGGTGCCCCAAAGTCTTTTTATGTAGTCAGGTAGGTACCTACGTACCTCTACACAGCAAAACACAAGGTACCCACCTACCTTATCTTAACTTGAACCAGACTGCTGCCCCTGCACAGCTCCTGCAACATATTTTCTCTCCTCGACGGGATCTTCACCTCCCCGTCCATCTGCCATCGGACGCTGGTCGCGCTTGTGTTTTCCGTTGAGACATCTCTCAGCCCATATGCCGTCACGGGAAGCCGTGATGATGGCCAATTTCTGGCCCTCTCACGCGCCTGGCGCTTCTCTCCGCCAGCGAGATTGGATGCTTCGGGCCTGTCAGTGTCTGGACCCCGACCGTCATTTTCTCGCTGGATGACGGCCTTGACCTCATTGTGGTGAAGTCCCCGGCTGGGGGGTCTGGTCGCCACGGGGGCAACCACGATCTCTCTGGGGGTTAGCGCACCACTAAATGCACCTCCTGGTCTCCCGTCCTACTTGTACACCACCAGAGAGAGAAATAGTGCGCCCCCCTTGTTACATCATCTCGTACTGTCGGGTACTGTACAAGCAGGCAGCTGAGTAACTCATCCTCTCACTCTTGCCCTTCATCAAGCCTCTACACTAGGCTCGATTGGAAAGTGGATCGCTTCTAGCACTTAACCACCTCAACCCATGTCCAGCGACCCGGATAATCCGACTGTGTTCGATTCCAATCCGACTGTGTAGGGGCCGTCTGGCCAATAGCACAACGTAAGCCACTATATTAGCGCCCGCCAAATTTGCTAGCGAGCAACATTATATAATATTTCTGTACATCAACAATAACGATTGAAGCAATTGAGCACATCGCCGTCGCCGTCACCGTTATTATTTACTAACATAGTCAATAAGTATAGTATTAAGGGGGGGGTTCTTGTTTAGTATAGTAACTAACCGTATATTGTAGAAATGCTTAAAGTTATCAATCTAACTGCCTCCTCCCCTCTACTCGCGCCTAGCCGCGCGCCTAGTCCTGCCCTCTCGATTACTTCAATTGAATAGATCAAGACCGAGTCCTATGACAATAATGCTAAGTTTTTTAATATTAACAAGTTTATTAAAGAGAAGAAGCTATTTCTAGTTCCTACGGCTACTCTAGTTCCCGCTCCGCCCCGCCGCCGCCGGTCCCCATCGACCTCGAATTTGAACTCCTTATCCTTATCCTCATTGAGTAAGGAGTTAAACGATAAATTAAATATAGCGGATAAGGCGAAGTCGGTTAATAAAAGGGAGCCTACCCTCAATGAACTTTCTACTTAGTTTTGGACCAACATCGACGCCGCTGTTAGAGAGATTAGTATTGTAGCTACTAAAATCAGTTTTGGTATTGTTAAAATACGCGCTAGTAATTACCGCTATAGTAAGCCGGCGTGGTATAATCTTAAATATTTTAAAGGATTGTCGCGCTATAGTAAAAAGTATAAAACCGTCGAGACTATCCTTCGACCGTTGGCGGACAATATAAAAAAAGATTATGGATAGAAGGCAAAGTTCGTATTGTCTACCAAATTTACAATATAGTAATTTATACTCATGGTATTTACCCACATATACGACCTTAACTTAAATAGCGTAGCGTACTACGCCGCTAACTGCCGATTTCAATGTATTGGCGAGGTAGAGGAGAATATCCTTCGTATAGTAAAGTAATTAAAGATTTCCTTAACCGATATTATTTTATTTATCCGTAAGGAGTTTAGTATTATAATTATTAGGCGTAACGTTTTTAATATACTAGCGGTTAATAAATAAAAGCTGGCCGGTGCTTTGACTCCTACCCAATAATTTTGAACAATTTAATTAAGATTAAAGGTATCTATAAGGATATTTACTGTTATAATAGCGAGGAGGATGGCTTAATAGAGAAGATATTTTGGATTTATCTTTAATATATCGAGTAGTTAAGGAAGAATCTAAAGGTTATAAGCTTGGACTGTACGTATAAAATCAACAAATTCGATATACCTCTCCTTTAAATATATAGTATAACGGCTATACATACGACTTTCAATATTATTTATCATTTATTAAGTAGGGAAAAAGAAGTTTGCTTTACGTAGGTATTTTAGTAAATCGAGGCTATACTTTTAAAGTATAGTATCCCCCCTTCTTTAGTTATTATTATAGACTATAATAAAGTTTATAAGAAGGTATGCCGGGTAGTCTTCCCTATTACCTAGTACTAAATTTATTTCTAGTATATAATAAAGAATGTCGCTTTTAATATTAAAAAGAAGTGGGAGGGTAATTTTAATAGTATAGTATTGGGTAATCGAGGTAGCGATGGGAGTTATCTATGTAAGGATTATTCCTATATAGATATTAATTCTGCTAACGAAGACTTTGACGCCCGCTGCGTTGCCGCTATAATGTTTAATAGGGACGATTACGAATACTATTTAGAATTAGGCGTTAAAAACCCTTATAACTAGTTTATTAATAGTAGTAGTAAAGCTCCTAACAGTTTAGACCGTAATTAGCTCGCTAATGCAAATAGGATTTTGGGAGCTTAGAAGGCAATAGTCTACTCTAATACAAAGGAGGGATTCTACTAGCAATAGAGGGTATTATTAAGGGAATTCCCTAAGCAAAAAGGTACATTAATTATATTTTCCTATTATTATCTATATAATTACTAATCCCTCTTTTTATAATTATAACTGACTACTTTCTTTATATTTACTTCCCATTGAAGTACGAGTTTGCCTATTTTGCTATTAGATTATACTGTAATTTTAGTATATATATAACCTCCCGTATAGAAGGTACCTATAGCGTTTTAAAAGTACTACTTAAGAATCATCGTATTGATTTTAATTAGTTGTTAGGAGCTATTACTGAAATCTTTAAGTGCTTTAAAGAGAATTTTGCTAGTAAGTATACTTATTAGATTTTAAAGAGCGTTGCGAAGTATAATTATATTGTGTTAGGGAGGGTAAAATTCGTCACCAGCTTTATGTGCCTCGAATTACTCCAACGGTAAGCTATATTCGCTAGTAATACTATTACTAAATGGTGTAATTTAACCGAGGTACGAGGGTAGTATTCTACCAACTTCAACCGTTAATATAGGTTACCTTACTGGCATAATTTGCTTAATATTATAAATACGGGCGGTACTATACTTTAAAGTATGGTTGATAAATATTAGTAGTTAAAACTAGAGAAGGTAAGTAATTCTCTATTATTTAATATAATTATTATATTAACTAAACTTTTATAGCCTTTATCTATAGACTAGTTAGTACTACGTAAGGAGAGAGACCCCCTCCTAGTTATTACTAACTGTTAGAAGGTTTGTAACGGTACTTAGCCTATACTTCGCCTCGCTCCCTCCTCCTCCTTTAGTATTAAATGTAATCCTTCTTACGATATTCCTCCAAGGTATTAATTTAGCTACCCCTTATAAAAAAGAGGATGATTAAAATAATATTGGCGAGTTAAAGAGAATAAAAGGTAAGGGCGGAAGTAGAGAGCGTAAGATAGGAAGCAGTACGGCTCTATTTACAATTCTACGAATTAAGAGAGTTACGGTAATGTAAGGTATAATTGGAAGTACGGCTGCGGGAGCTCTAGAATTAATAATACCGCTAGCTCCCGCCGCTATTACTAGTATATTAAGGGTATTAATACTAGTACTAGCAATATTAAGGGATGCTTCCTCCCTCTTAATTGTATATGAATCTATACCAATTGCCGCTGTTTGGTTAGTAGTAGTCCCAGTAGCAATAGTACCAGTCCCACCAATCGAGCCAGTACTACTAATATTAGTTGATGTAATTATATTAGTATAAATATAAATTTTACAGTTTCAATATCTTTAATGTAAATTGCAATATTAGAGAACCTCGTACGTGTAATTCCTAATAACTTTTGGTATAGATGTTGTACGCATGTTATTTTGGTGGGAAATTGGCGGGCGGCAACATGGTTGTGCCATTGGCCAGACGGCCCCCACACAGTCGGATTGGAATCGAACACAGTCGGATTATCCGGGTCGATGTCCAGTGCTTCCACTCACTTGGACCAGGCAACCAGGCCTTTGCCTCCAAAGGGACGACGAGTGGAAAGTGGTTACTTGGTTTCTCCTGGGGACCTTGTCACAGTCTCGTTACCTATCTTGTATCGATCCAGTCCATGTTCTTTGCGACCGGGTGCGCATTGTTCTTTTCGCCTTTCGAGTCGCAGCCGAGTTGTGCTCCTCAGGTTCCATTCTCCATCCCATCGTCTATTTCGACCGGACTCTGGACTCTCACACGCCGACGTTGAAGTGTATTAGACGTTGCGCCCTGTCTGTGCTCCGGCTACTGCCCGTTGTACATAGCGTCGTCCCCTCCTTGAGTTCGGGTAGTGCCGTGTCGGTGCGCATCCGTCAAGGCTTCACACATTGCGCTTTGCCTTACAACCTAGAGGTAGCCTTGTGAGACCTCCGATTCCCGTACCTTCGTTTTTAGGTTGCCTAGGCTGTCTTGGTCGTCGACCTGTCTCAGACTTGCTACCCTATCGCCACTCACGCCATTGCTGAATTTTGAGATTCATCAAGAACTACTCTGCAAAACACTAAGTCGGCTTCGCTCGCTTTTTTTATTGAAGAAAGTCCCATTTTCCCCTCGGATTCTGCATCCGGTATGTATTTGTCACTCAACGTCTCGATGCCCTCCCTCTCCGCTTCTACCGGGCAGTTACGAGCTTTCACTACGTGAACTATTCACGTGTAGTGCACCACGAGGCTCCGAGGTCCTTCTTTCTGTGCTCCATTTCGTGGGATCAATTTCATATAAATCTCCATGTTATCATGTTACCAGCCGTACCCCCCTCCTTGTACCTGGTGGAATGCTGACCAAAGGAAAGACCACTCTAGGCAGGACCAACTAGATACCTTACTGGATAACACACCGCAGCTTCCTCACTTCGAAAGTGGAAGATTCGGGCTGTTTCACCTTCTTGACTTGTCCCTATTCAGCAAACAAGTGCACTCCTTTCTGGAATCTGGACGATTTCGTCCAAAGCCCTCCGATAGCGGATTAGCTTGACGTCCACCAACTCCATCGTTCTTGCGCGTCGCCCCAGGTGGAAGTCGAAACGACCCGCTCACTTATCATCTCATTTACACACCGATTTGCGGGCTCCACTCGTTCAAAGAGAATCGGAAAGTGCAAACGATTGGGAGGGCGGAAAAGAGGAAGTCGATACCCACCAGACTGGGCTTTCTTTCTGGATGCCAAATATAATCCAGGTCCTACCCTTGACTACTCCAGAAATCCCCGATTTCCGATTACCCACCCACCAGATTAATCGGTCTCGAACCCAGTTCAGCCAGTCATAACAGTCTTCAGTCACCCTCGTCGTCGACTGTTCAGCACTGACTGCCGTGCTCTTCTGTCGATCTGGTCGATCTACACGCTCTGGTTACCTTTCTTGGTCTTTGAGAGATCACCTATATATATTTTGCTCGGATTATTCGGGCCCTGTAAGTGAACTCTCCTCAAGATATGTGATCTTGTTTCCCACCCAATGCTCATTGCTTGGGAGGCACTTGCGTTCGTGTTACAGAGTCAGAGACATGTTGCTTGGTCGCAAATTTCCATTTTGCCTGGCGTTATACAACGTGTAGCCGCAAAAGAGTTCCTCCCCCCAGAAAGATCAAGTCCAAACTAACCGATCAGCCAGAGACAACACCGGAAATTTTCACGTGAAGACGTTCAAAGGGTAGGATTTGAGCACCCTTTCTCGTTTAAACGGCAACGGTAGTCCGTGTCTTTGAGAGAGACGACATCTCGCCTCGCCTTGTGTGGGGGTATCTGTTCCTCCAGGTATGATTTCTCGCGAAACCCGGTCATTAGTCCTTAATGCAACACCCCCTGGCAACGTGACATGAACCGGAGCAGTCGCCCTAATTGAGAGCTGCTGACCCGTAAAGCGTATTTCTAGAGTTGGCACTTCACATTCATCGGGTTTCGTTTTCGTCTTCACGAGGCAACAAACACCGTTGGACCATCATTATCACGGGACCTCAAAGACGACAAACCAACGCTGCCAACGACGACTGCCAGTAGACAGTGGGATGGCGATACTCTAAGTTCTGGCTGTTGCTTGCACGAGACTGCAGCTCTTCAACCCTGAGGATATTTCAAGCAGTTCACCATGGGCGCTTGGGAAACTGAAGACGAGGGGACCGATCCGGCGGTGTCATTGCCGACCCGCAATCCTTCGATACGCAACCGTTCTCGAAACCAATCCCGAGCTTCGCGCAAATCCAGACGGTCCATCACACCAACGAACAGGTCGGGAAGCTCCTCCCCGCCACCTTTGCCCGCCGATTGGGTTGACAAGGGATCAAAAAGAGCATCGAAAGCCATAAGCATAGACGACAACATCAGCATTCTTGACCCACGACGATTTACCCCTACGCTTCACGCCAGTCTAGTCTCAGAGATATTGTCTTTGAGACGTGATCAAGAGGAGAAGCTTAAAGTCATCGAGGGCCTGGAGACGTCGCTGCAGACTACACGAGAAGAGTCCGAGTCCTTGCAAACGACGCTTTTGAACACTACCAAGGAAAGCCGGTCGTTGAAACGCCAAATTGCACTTTTGGAAGGCGGAACTTCTTCTGCATTAGATCAACTGGCCAAAGAACGCGATGAGGCTGTGGAATCTGCGAACGACACCAAGAAGAGGCTAGAGACCACCCAGAAGAAACTGAGAAACCAGGAGGAGGATATCGAGCGTGTCCATCAGCAATGGGCGAAAGAAAAGGATATGTGGGAGGAGGAGAAGCGGAAGCTTGAGGTCCGTATTCACGTTGCGGAAAGCCGCCTGAAGGTGGTCCTTGATGAGGTCACTGCGTTCCAAGCTGCGCAGACAACCGCTAGCCTTAATCGCCCTAAGAGTGCGGCTGGCAGCGAAACCGGACAAGAAAACGATGGCGCAAGCGTCCGAACTCTCAGCTTGACCAACAGCATTCGGTTCTCTACTGTCAGTGCAATGATGAAGCCGAATGGTAAAACCTTGGCAGACGAGCTTGATTTCGATGGAGACTACGAGGATGAAAGCGACTACGGCGGCCGTCAGAGTGTCTTGTCTAACCGTGGACACATGCGAATCACAAGCCGTGACAGTGCGTTCGTGCGGCTTTCAAGCCGTGAAAGCGGTCACACGCGACATGGAAGCCGCGATACCCTTTTCTCCATCAAGACACACCGACGACACCAAAGCTCCGAAAGCCTTCTCAGATCTGCTAGCATTAATCGTGGAAAGCTATCTCTGAACCAGTCCACCCTTGATAGACTGGAAGGCGCCGTGATCAAAGAGGATGAGGAGTTGCAGCCGCAAACACCGAAGCCAACTTATGTCGATACTGGGATTCAATACTCGCCGCCTCCTTCTCCCAGGATTGCGCCAATCGAACCATGGACTCCTCAACCAGCTCTAACCCCGTCTCACCAACCATACGAGAGGCCATCTGATGTTGATAGCCCACCCCGTACCGACACTGAATCTGAGCCAAACTCAAGAAGGAAGAGAGTCAACCTTGGGGGTCCGTTGTCAATCAAGCCACCCAACACACAAAACCTGATGGTGAACGGAGCGACGCAAACCATGGCGGAGCCGCTTAGCCCACCTCGAACACCCAAGTGGCCAGGCCAGGATTCACTGCCCACACCCCAAGCGACGCCATCTTCTATGGTAACTTCCTTTACGCAAACCGAAGTTCCTTCGGTTCAGCTGCAGCCAATCGGCCTTGAGTCTCCTTCATACACTATTCCCAGTATTAGCATCATCCCTCCTTCGAGCCGACCTGCGTCGCCGTGCGAGCCATTCCTGGAGCCCCTATCTAAGGACTTTGGCTGTCAGGTCTCCATGCCTGCTCGTGTGCCTATGCAGTCGACTGCAGTGCAAACTGAGGAGATTCGGGTTGACTTGCGGTTGGCTAAGCTCCCAACCCACTTGCATCCATCCGCCATCATCTCGAGACCTGTTTCGCCAGCTGTTTCGTCCGTTGATCAGCACGCCGAGGAAGCTAGACAGTTCACTCCAGTACCAGGAAATCTACCACCTCGGAACCCAAGGCGACTGACCAACAAGCACAGTTCGTCTGAGATCCCATCCTCGCCACCTATCGCAGCATCTCCGATCTTGGAAAATATGTATGATGCCTACCCTGGAAGTAACGATGACGAGCCGTTGTCTCATCATGACGCTCCTGTTCGAAGACCGCGCCGGATTGGCAGCTTGTTTGCCGATTTCAATGGACATAGCTCGGACGAGGAAGAATTTATGGATCCGGCGGACCAGAGCGATTCAGAATATCGCACAGCTTTATCTGCTCCCAGGCCTGTGACCAATTCTAGCTTTGGCAAACGTAGCTCTGGAAGCACTGCACCGATGAGCTCACCAGAGCACACCTTTCTCCAAAGGACCGCTGGGGTACATAACACTCTTCGCGGGCTTGAAGAGGAGGAAAATGACACTTCAGACGTCTTTGACTCTGTCAGCATTTTCCATCAGCGCGATAGCCGCGATTTGAGCCTGGTTCGAACTGCTTCCAGGCGTTCAGGACGGTCAACCGCTTCCAAGGCAAATGGCATGCGAAGGGCTGCTTTGATACAGAGCGGCATCGTATCCCACTCTTTGGCAAGAACCTCGAGCCATGCTACGGACACCGCGGAACCGCCATTCCCTATCCCAAAACGTGCCAGTTCGAAGAACCCTGTTAGTACTAGTAATCCCAGCGAGGGGCGCGGCGCAACCCCTGTGAGAAGTAACGAGGGGATTCACAGGCGAGGTTCAAGTCGTGGTCCTTACCGGGCAAACAGCATCCGGAAAGCCCGTCCTCCATCGGCAGTCTCGCGTAAGAGAAGCCAGCGACATGGAAGCAGGTCTCCTCCACCCTTCATGCCCCCAACTCAAGCATCTGACAGCCATGATCTACCTCCTCTGCCGCGCAACACTATCAGCAATCCAAAAAAGACAGATCGGTCGCAACGGTCGACAACGACAGCGCAGACAGACGATCTGCCAGGTCGACCTACCAGTAACTCTAGTCAGTCGACGAGTGTCGTTGATGCTATCGCTAAGACAATGGTTGGAGAATGGATGTTCAAGTATGTCAGAAGACGGAAGTCGTTTGGCATGACAGACAAGAATGGCGATGAAAGTAGCAACGAACGTCACAAGCGATGGGTTTGGATAGCCCCCTATGAGCGCGCGATCCTCTGGAGTAGTAAGCAACCCTCATCTGGGACCGCGCTGTTGGGTAAATCCGGACGCAAATGTAAGTTTCTGTTGCTCCTGTATTATGAACCGACAGATTGCTGACCTAAGTGTGTTTCTAGTGGTCATTCAATCTGTTCTTGACGTGAAAGACGAGAACCCAGCTCCCAAGGGATCGGGCCCGCTTTTCCACAGATCGATTTTGATCTTGACGCCACAGAGAGCACTCAAATTCACGGCAGTCAATGCAGAACGACACTACCTCTGGTTGACGGCGTTATCATTCTTGGCTCATTCGAATCAAGCCATTCCTGAGAACCTCGCGGTCCCAACCCCAGACCCGCAGCCTGAGGTGTTCGAGCTGCCCAAGCCCAAGCCGGCGGCCGTACCGCCACCAGCACAAGCGCCCACATCTGTCCCAGTTCCCAAGGCCAGGGCCCGAAGACCTATTCGTGATTCTATTCGATTGACAAAGGCGAAAGCGGCCATCATCGAAACGGAACCTGACAGAAGCTTCCCACTGCGAATGAGTGAAGACAGTGCCGTGCCCCCAAGCATCCCGACCTTCCGACCTACACTGGCCGAGTCTTACAATTTTAACCCGGTGGTAATGCACAATCGCGAAGAGTCGTATGATTCCACCATACCCCCTGCCATTCCTCGGTTCAACGAACGGAACCTGCACGCTGCGCTGCACAATCGCAAGCGTAGTAGCACTGGTGGCTATCTTCCACCGCCGATCTCATATCGAGGATTGTCCGGACCGATGAGTGGTGGAAGCTCCCATGCGCCGTCTGATAGTACAGCCGGCATTAGTGTTGCCGGCTCGTCCGATATCTTCAGCAATGCTGGAGCACCGAGTGTCATGGGATCTAGCATCCTGGGCTCAAGCGGCATGACATGGGGAACCGGGTCTGTATCTCGTGTGTCGGAGGCGTCGAGTCGACCTAGTGCTCCCAACTTCTTTGACGCGATCGGAACTGTACGTATGGAAGCATTCATACAGCCAATGGCCTTCACCAAATACGATGACGACCAAGAGAGCTATCGTTACATGGCCCGCCGCCGAAGCAAGGAGTTTCGAAGGAGACACAGCCGAAGCTGGCATAGGGACAGCATTCTAAGTGGAAACACTCGGATCACTCTCGGAAGCGATCCCATCGAGGACTATGGGTACGACAGAGATGACCCGTTCAGGGGGTTCTAAGAAGGTTATTTAAAGCATGGCGTTGGAGTTTTATACTCGTTGCCTCTTTTCATTGCAACCCATTGCTGGCGCTCATTTCTTTTCTTATGTTTAGTTTTGTTAACAATTCGGAGAGGCGGAAAATTTGACGGCGGAAACTTTGTTTAGCAGACCAAGACTTTGATTTCTTCAATCATCACACCCCTCCAAAACCAGGAAGGGGCAAGATCAAAGAAAAAGTTAAGACGAGGCAAACATTTACGGACATTAGAGTCCACCATAACTATAACTTTTAAGCCGACCAAAAAAGGGTCCCTCGAAAAGGAGGAGGCTGCAAAAGGCAACGGCACAAACACTTACTCCGAATCCTCACATACTCACCACATACTAACCTCGTATTTCCTTTATCTATTTTCCTTCTAATTTCTCTTCTCATGCATCCACTTGGATGCTGTTCTGTACATTATCACGGCATGTGTAAACACCTGTATGTATATCGTCAACGGCGACGGCAAAGATGCGGCTTACAAGCTCATTTCAAGTCAAACAAATCCTGGGGGAAATTACCAGCAACCCCGATTCCTCAGAGGTAGAGACTCGTCAGGCCCCGGAGGGGGGATGGATCCGATCTCAGATCAAGACACGATGCGTTCATTTGTGGACGATTCAAGGGTAACAGCAATATAGAAATAGTTCACTATACAAGGTCAGTAATTGGTCAATTTGCCTTTTCAAATAATCAAGTGACAAGCCATAGTCTCAACTACACACGGCAGTAGAGGTAAGTGGTTTAAGAGTCATGCGCCACACGTTAAGACAAAGTGGCCTGTAAGTCCTCACCAGCCACGTCATGGCGGGGCCTTTGACGCTTGCATTCAGGGGCAGTGTTCGTTTAAGGGCGCATGGGGCGGTTTTGGGTTCGGCAACTCCTGGCCTGGACCCCTGAACAAACGTCCCGCATGGGCCGCCTAACAAGGAACCTGGAACCGCATGGCAATCCACCAACATTGGCGAAGTCATCACCAACACTTGAAAGTTCCAACTCCCGCTCGCTCTTTTGAACGGCCAACTTAACATGACCACCAACTCCCTCTCTGATTGACCTCTGTTAATTTTACTCTTTTCTATTACATATCTGTGTGAGACTCGGGTCCCTTTGGAACCGACTTAATTAACCATGGACGACCTCTCCGCTCTCGACTGGTCCGCGTCCAGCAACAGCAGCTCCAAGCCGAATCCTCCCAAGACAACCACGACAACTTCCGCCTTCAGCAGCTTCCCCGCGATCCGTCCCACACCGTCCCCGTTTGCGTCTGGCCGTAGTACGCCCGTGATTTCAAGCCAGGGTTCCGGTACGATCGCTCCCAAGTCCAACAACAATCCGTTCTCGAAACCGGCGCAAGACAGCTTCAGCAACCTCGGCAACTTTGTCAATTTCGCCTCATCCTCCTCCGCTCAGAACACCGCGAAGCTGAGCTTGAAAGAACAACAAGAGCGGTTGGAGGCCGAACGGCGCAGGAAAGAGGAGGAAAGACGACAACAGCTTCAAGCGCAGTATGGAGGGCTCGATGCGCTGGGACAACTGGGCAGTGGTGGGAGCAACAGCAGGACGACGTCACCTGCGTTTGGGCTTGGAGGGCCTGGGTCGATCCCGTCCCCAGCCATCTCGAGGGTTGCGAGCCCGTTGAATCCGACGACGCTGAACCAATTGAATATGACAACAAAGAAGCCGAGCGAATCGGATGACGATCTGTTTGCGGCGTTCAAGGCCGAGACCAAGGTCGATAATGCGAGCCACTACCCCCCGCCGACGGTGGCGAGTCCGCCGCCGGTCTCTACAACGGCGAGTGCGCAGCCAAAGTTGGATCTTTCGGACCCTTCGGCTTGGGGGGCGCCGAAATCGAGTACACCTACGCCTGCGCCTGCACCTGCGCCTGTTCCGGCGCCGGTTAATACGGCGAACACGGCCTTCGCGGGGCTTGATGACGACGACCCGTTTGGCCTTGGGGAATTCAGTGCGCCAAAGTCAAGGGCGGCCCCGCCGGCCCCACCGGCCCAGGCCTTTGATGAGGAGGAGGATGATTTACTAGGCGACCTAGCCAAGCCTGTTGATCAGGTCAAGAAGCAACAGCAACAATTACAACAGGAGCAGCAACAACGACAGCCCCAAGTAGCCAGACCCTCCTTCTCCCAAACACGAGAACCAGGGAAACCGATCGAGGACGACGAGGACTCGTCTTCCTCCGATGATGAACCCGAGCAGCCTCCTCGTCTATCCGACGATCCCTTCGACAGGGCAGTAGCCCAACTAGTCGACTACGGATTTACTCCCGAGAACGCCAGGAGAGGCCTAACGGAGAGTGGCGCCGGGCTAAACATTCAGGCGGCGGTTAATTGGTTGCTTGACGACGCACATAGGCAAGCGAAAGAGGAGGCTAGGGCTAAGAATGGTGGCGGCGGACCACAGCACACCGGAAGAAGCGAGGAACGAGGAGCAAGCCAGTCTCGCGCTGGACATGGTGGCCAGGGAGGCCCTTCGTGGATGAGGGAGGAGGAACGACAGGAACAGGTCGAGAGGTCTAGGAGTAGGGATAATCGGTCACCGGCTTCGCTGACCGAGGTGGACTTCGCCAAGACTGCGGCAGCCGTGGGCACGAGCTTATTCAAGACGGCGAACAGTCTGTGGAAGACGGGGCAGAAGAAGGTGCAGGAGGCTGTGAAGGAGTTCCAGCATGAGGGAGGCGATCCGAACCAGCCCAAGTGGATGAGGGAAACTGCTGAGTATGAGCAAGGGGGTAGGAGGCCGCAGGCGCCCGATGTTACGGATGAGGCTATGATGTTGGAGGGAGGTGGGCGGCCGGCACGGAGGCCCGAGTCCACGAGGGAACGCTCGGCGGAACCCCGGACTGCTAGTAATGGGCCACAACGGCATGCTTCTCCCGTGCCCAGGTGGCAGCAACAGGCGCCGCCTCCGGCCTCGCTTGATCCACGATCGAGGCTCAGTAAGCAGTCTGTTGAGGAGCAGAGTTCTCAAGCGTATGTCAGTCCTGCGCGCAGGAAGAAGGCCACTCCTCAACCCCAGCCGGAAGCTCCTCCTCCAGCACAGCAATTCGAGGACGAGGACCTCCTATTCGGCTCTTCAGGTCCGTCCAAGTCCCAAATCACCACAGCACTGCCCTCCAGACCCGCCGCCAAATCCACCGCACCACCACCCCCAGCTCCCCGACGACCTCCCGCCGCCATACAGCCCAAGCCCGCTGCCCCTCCGCGCCAGATCCCCCCCATCTCCGCCATCGCCCTCCAATCCTCCACCAAGCACCGTCTCGAAGGCACCGCCCATTTCAAGCGCGGTGACTACGCCGCGGCTCACACTTCCTACGGCGCCTCCCTCTCCGCCATCCCGTCCACTCACCCGCTCGCCATCCTCCTTCTTTGCAACCGCGCCCTCACCGCGCTCAAAGTCGGCGAGCCCCGCCAAGCCGTCTCGGACGCCGACGCCGCCATCGCGCTCATCGGCCCCTCAAAGGGGGAGGGGGAGTCCGTCGAGGTGCAGACTTCGGAACACGGCCCCGCAGAGAAACGTGAAATGCGCGACCTCTACGGCAAAGCCCTTGCCCGCAAGGCCGAAGCGCTGGAGCAAATGGAGAAGTGGGCGGACGCCGAGAAAGTATGGCAGAGTGCTGTCGAGGCTGGTCTGGGTGGGCAGACGGCGGCGGCGGGGAGACAGAGGTGTCAGAAAGCTCTCGCTCCCAAACCTCCTCCTTCCGTCTCTGCCTCTACCAAACCCGCTCCAGCTCGTCCCCGCCCAACTCCCAGCGCAGCAGCGTCAGCAGCAAGTCAAAAATCCTCCGAAGCAGTCCAACGTCTCCGCCTAGCCAACCAGGCCGCGGAGAAGGAAGGAAGCGAAAAGTTTGCTCTTGCCGACAAGGTGGATGCGAAAATTGCGAGCTGGCGCGACGGCAAGAAGGATAACTTGCGCGCGCTTCTGGCAAGTTTGGATAATGTGATGTGGGAGGGGAGCGGATGGAAGAAGGTGGGACTGCATGAATTGGTGGTGGCGAACAAGGTCAAGATTGTTTACATGAAGGCTATCGCAAAGTGTCATCCTGATAAGGTAAGCTTGTTTTCTTTCTTTCTTTTTCTTCTCTTCCCCTTTTTCTGTCTTCTTGGAAATTTGAAGTGAATCAGAAATATCAGGGATGGTTGCTGACGAAGATGATAACCAGATTTCGACGGATGCGTCGACCGAGGTCAGAATGATTGCTGGAACGGTATTTGCCACGCTTAATGAGGCTTGGGATAAGTTTAAGAAGGAGAATAATATGTGAGTGTAAGGGGCAGGTGGAATGTTAATGGGTTGATGGGAAAGGGAGGGGGGCGGGAGGGTTAATGTTCTAAACTGCTTATTGGGATATGATACCTATATTAGAAGGAACGGGAAAGGAGTGTTAATATAGCTCAAGCTACTTGTCTGCTGTAGACATGTCTCTGTCGGAGCGGACAAGGCAAACGGAGGTCATATATAAAACATCATCAACATGGGAATAGGAAGTTCATCATTATTGTCCTCAAAGGAAAACACCAGTGCCATGCCATGCTAATTAAAAAGTATACCTCAAACCACCACCCTTCCTCTTGTTCAAAGTGCTTAGTCACTCTGAGACTCTTTCACCACTCTTCACCACCACCACCACCCCCGTTCTCGCTCTCTATCCATCAATTATTCTCCAATCACTTCATATAACGAACCCGCCCTTCCCTTCAATTACTCTCTTCATCCTCTTTCTTCCCAACTCTCCATGCCCTTAAAGCCCCAAACTAGCCCTCACACTCGCCTTCACCCTCGCTTCGTACTCGCTCCTCTTCTCCCTCCACATCTTAGCCGCCTCCACGTTCGCCGGACTCTCGTCGTTAGGCTCCGCCAACATGCTCATAACAGATAACAAGATTTTCTCGACAGACTGTATAGGTGACCATCTCTCCGAGGCAGTCTCGTAGTGGTTCGGGTCGTCGCCGGGTGGGTGGAGGATCGAGATGCAGACCAGACCTGAGGGGTAGACTTTTGGGGGTTATTTGTGTTAGCACTTTTTTTGCATGGCCATCGATGGTGAGAAGAAGCAAGTGAAGGATAAGCGAAATATAAAAAGAAAAAAGAAAAAAAAAAAAAAAAAAAAGAAGAAGAAGAAGAAGAAGAAGAAGAAGAAGAAGAAGAAGAAGAAGAAGAAGAAGAAGAAGAAGAAGAAGAAGAACACACCATTAGGATGAAATATATCCCCCAGAAACTTCATGGTCGGCGGCATATGCGGGTAATCATTCGGAAACTTGAGTTCTGCGGGGAACACGCCGCCCTCAAAGGGGGTGCCTTCGGGCCCTTGGATCAGGCATTCCCAGTGCAGCAGGTCGTCTTCGGAAATGGGGCCCGCCGTGATGCCTTCGGGTGGGTTGTTGGTTAGAGCGCGGTATTCTTGGAGGAGACGACGTTGGGCTACGTTGAGAGACATTGTAGCTGTTGGTTGATGGTGGGTGTTGTTGTTGATGATCGAGACGTGGGGCTCTCTGAGGAGAGTGCCTCGGTACTGTGTTATGGATATACGCTTTGGTGTCGGGATGGGAATCGCGTGGTGTCGCAAGCAGTTACTGTAGGTTGGGTATATGGTAGAGACGAAGGTAGATATGTCGTGATCTATATCTTGTTGCTGATTGTTTGCTTTGTTACAGAAAATCTCGAAATGAATCGATGCATGCAGGAGAAGCGCGGAGGACACACCGGGCTGCAGCGGGGGTTGTCAGCGGCGCAGTTGCTTGACACGTCTGACGTCGGTCCGCTCGGCGGGGATTGATTTCCATGGAACGTCTCTGGACGGGAGTTGGGGAAGCTGCTGAGGTGCTGCACCACAGGGGCCATGCTAGGGCCCGGGACCCTTCCAGAAGCGCCTACGACAGGTACACCAGCCGGGGGGTTCTAGCGGCCGAGGGTGCTGTTTCCCCTTCCTGAGCTGCCAGCCGGCAACCTGAGAGTTAGGTAAAAAAAGCTCTCAGTCGGCAACCGCACTGGCTTGTTATCGCAATTGAGTGGCTGTTATCGCATCTGCCATTCCATCTATTCTTGTTTCGGTTTCGGAAACTCGATGGCTCGTCGTCGACTGGGAGCTACGCCGCTCTAGCTTGCCAACCTCTCACCTCGTCAGCCAGCCATGCCGCCAACGCTGGGCCTACGACGGGCTTTACAGAGCCGCGGCCGCGGTCTCGGGTTTGGCCAGCGAACAGCACCGTCGTCCGTATGTCTCTTCTGTTCCTTTGCGACTCGGCCTTCCACTTTTCCCACATCGTCACCACTCAACAAGCTCCGGGCAACGAGGGCAAAACCACAAGAAGCGCCGGCTGTTCGACCACGATACCAATCGACCGGTGCCACCCCGCTCCGGCCCTTCATAAGCTCGCCCTCCGACGCCGGCGATACCGCCGCTGAACCAGAACCAATTGATCCCCGCAAAGACCTTGAGAGCGCTCTCCGCGACTTACAAACCCTCGCACCCAACCACGTCAATCTCCCGCGCCTCCAGCTCGCCCTACGCAACCTCAGCCAAGATCCCGGCCATGAATCGATACGAGTCGCATTCCTCGGCCTCACTACCGGCGACAAGCCCCAACACACTGCCAGGGAGCTGCTCCGCCTGGCACTCGCCGATCCGCTAAAGTCCGCCCAGAACTGGGAAGCGCAACTCAAGGCCCACGACCCCTCCAAGCCGCTCATCGTACACATCGGCCCTCCCGAGGAGCAAGCCACGCCACTGTCGCTTGCCGCGAGCGAACATGTTATCCCCGAAATCACCGTGCCGTCGCACGTCTACAACGATGCCAACCTCGAGATGATAGTCATGGAGGCCGACCAGGCAACCGTTGCGCAGGCGGGCGAGCAGCCGCACACCTTTGACGAGGCCATCCTCGTGCCCGCCGTCGACACAGCAGCCACCACAGCCGGCCACTCGGCGCCCATCGTCACGCCCGTGCACATGGCCGTGCTGGTAGCCGACGGCGTCCTGGGCGCCGCCTCCATCCTGTCACTGCCCATCAGCCCAGAAAGCCAAGACACCATCACGGCCGTCGCCAACTTCAAGAGGATCAGCGCCGAAGATAAGGCCGCGTGCCCATCCCTGGTCATCACTAGCGTCGAGGCTGGTGCACAGGGCCTCGACCTCTTCCGCGAAAGCGCCAGCAACGCCATGAAGTACGAAGCCCTCTGGACCGAGGCCGGCGTGGGACACATCAACAAGTGGCTGCGATCCAATGTGCTGTCGCAAGCTGAGCAGGAAGGGACCACCAAGGCGCCCGTGCGCAAGCTGATCGAGTCCATCCTGCACAACGCCGGCGCGGCGCTCCAGGCGGCCGAGTACCGCGACATGAAGGTCTCGGTAGAAGGGGGCCCGTCGCCGCATACGATTGCGCGCCTGAACCAGGCGCTGGCGGACTGGGCCAAGGATGCGCATGAGGAGTTGCAGCAGCAGTTAGAGATTGCATTCGTTGGCGAAGCGTGGAGACAGATGAACTGGTGGAAGCTGTTCTGGCGGGTGGATGACGTGGGTATGCTGTCGTCTGAGATGATTGCCCAGCGGTTCTTGCCCGAGGCTGAGAAGCGCTTGATCTTTTTGGCCGGCAGGCTCCAGGAAGCTGGCATCACTACTGCGGGCGGGGGAAAGCCGGTGACGTACTCTGGCCCGGCGGTTCCACCGTCGTTCCCCGAGGGCGAGAGCAGTGTTGTCACTACTGCTACTGCTACTACTACCACGGAATCAGAGACCAAGGGAACTTGGCCTGCGCATATCCCCTTCACGAGGAACTATCTACTAGCGGAAACTGTTCCGGCCCTGCAAGCACTGGCGCAAAAGCTCGTGCTGCAGTCATCGACATTGGCGGGTGCCACCACTGCACTCGGCGGCATGTCCTGGCTCTCTGGATTCGGAATATATGAGTGCGGAGCCGTCGCCGCGTTGGGTATCGTGTTGAGTTTGAGGGGCTTGCAGAAACGATGGGAGAGGGCGAGAGATTTCTGGGAGGGCGAGGTCCGTGAGGAAGGACGCAAGGCTGTTCGCGCAACCGAAGCCAGTATTGCCGAGTTGATGGATAGCGTTTCTCCTGAAGTTCCCGAGGATGTGGCGGTTGAGATCGAGGAGCTGAAGGAGGCCAAGAGTGTCCTCAAGCGGGCCGAGGAAGCGCTTGCAAGGTTGAAGTAGAAATGATGGGTTGCAACAGATGTTTAGAAGGGCATTCTGCCAACCTAACTTGGTCAGTTTCAGACTTCTTGTGCTTATTATTTCCCACAGCCCTCTCGCCCTGCCTGTTAGTCCCTTGAGTGGGTATTCTGACAATACGCCCTCTCCAACCCAACCCCTAAACAGCCAGTTGTATATTTAGTCTACACGATTCACTCTCACTCAGAGCATTGTTGCAAGCTCATCTTATGCGAGCCTCACATATAGGGACAGGCGGGTTAGAACCGGCGGACGCAACAGATCAACCAGGGCTACACTCTTATGTACCACTGAAAAGCAAGCCGAAGTGGGAGAAAAGAGGGGCACCGGACTTTTGTGGTAGATATCAAAAACTGTCAGCGTAGGCTGAGGATGGAATGGGTTGTGTGTACAACAACATAATAGACAAAGACGATGAATACGTACCCTGTCTATATTAGAAGCAGGGCTAGTAGAAGTTTCGCTTTCGGTGCGATTCTGTCCATGCTGTATGTGCTTGCTCCTTGGCCAAGGACTCAACTGGGGGAGACCTGAGGCTGGCTGAACAGCTGGTTCGCTCTGGCTGCTAATCGTGATGGAGCCAGGTTTTCGTTGCGTGCTGCCGGACGGGTAGCGGCTGTTGCATCGACCGACCATTATCGTCCAGCTGGCGGAGCGTGAAAACCCCTGGATACGCCACGCTTCTCCCATGATCATCGTTTTGCAGCAGATGGATGAGCTGGCCAGCTGGAGTCCTCCATATCACTCCTCATCGAGGCTCTCAACCCTCCAACCCCAGCCCCAGCACTCAATCCAGTCCCTTCTCATCTCTGGCCGGCCTTGAGCCACCCTCCCCATCCCTCCTGTTCCTCCTCCTCTGGGCATCCAAAGCTTTCCCCCCAGACTTTTCCATCCAACTCGCTGCCCCCCATTTTCGGTAGAAAGAAGATCAAAATTTGCTTTATTGGTTCCCCCCCAAAACGCCTAAAATATCAAAATAGCGGTTGTCGTTTCGCGCGGAGAAAAGGAGCCATAATATGCCGATTATTGTGCCCCAATATTGCATTGCGTTGTGAACTTTCAATGATTCTCGGTCTGGGTCTGGTCTTGTTCGATGAGTCTGACGACAGTCGACGTTGTCTTCTATCTGGCGCCGCCACGACCACCGGCGCGCGCCCTACTGACTGTCGCACGACCGCGGGCGAGACCGACACCGCGGCCGCGGACGTTGCGGGAGCGGAACATGGGGGCGTTTCTGTGTGGGAGCAAAAAAAAGAAAAGGGAGGAGGAATTGATTAGCTTGGGTCCGATCCGACTTCTTGGGTAGGGGGCGATTGGAGAGAAGAATCGCAACGGGTGAGTTGGTGGTGGCCTGGTTTGAACGTACCTCAACATATCCGGCACAATAAAGAATCGCACATGACTGCCGCGGATGTAGACTTGTTCGAGATGGCTGACGCGCCCGTCGCGGGCTGTGACGGTGATGTCCTTGAGTTGGACGTTCATGTTGTCCTCGGCTGTTTTTGGGGGAAGCGCATTGGTTAGCATGGCTGGCCAGTTTAGAGGAGTGAATGGGAATGAAGAGTTCATGGGGGTAGGCAGTACCTTCAATAAGCTTGCCACGGTAGGTCTGGCCGGAGGTGATCTCGAGAGTGACGATATGGCCCTGTGGGACAGGAGTGGTTGGTTAGCTTTTGGCAGCACTACAGTCTGTACATAGCAATGGTGTTTACTTACCTGAGCCTCATTGAGAAGCTTGATGGGGATGCCAATTGTAGAAGTCATGTTGGCGACTGTGTTGTTACGTGGTGAGGTTGGTTGGTGATGTGGAGGGGCGAACTGGTTCTCCTTGGTGTTGGTTTTGGACTTTAGATGGTATGCCGTAAGTACAGGCGACTTGGTTCGCGATGATAGTGGATGCTATCAGTTGCCTTTGACGTGAACGCGGCAGCCCTGTCAGCCCGGTGCTGCTGGGAATTTCGTCGGAGAGCTTGGTTGATCTTGTCAGCTGCATGACAGCTGCTAGACCTTACGGTACGTACCGCACATTGAGGTCCTACTTACAAGAAAGTGTGGAGGCTTCCCCACACGCATCTTCTGCGCTGTCCCCACATTCAGTGAACTGGTGGTCTTCGGTCATCAAAAACATCGTCATCGTCACTGACATAAACATTCTTTCCTTAACCCACTGGCAGTAAGTGGGATTTACCGGCTGCTGTCATACGCTTGTACTCAATCAAAGTATGAACTGTCTGGTTCAACACTCCGAACGCCGTTATCGCTCAACTGTCCTGGTTCATGTTCCGAGTCGTCGCATGATGGCGGCCGTCACGGGGATGGGATTGTCCAACGCATTGAACACAGCATCCCGAACCTTTTTCTAAACGAGGCCTTCTCCGATGTTCTATACGTTGTATTTGTGTGCGGTCCTTCGGTTCTCAAGTCACCCTCGTCCCCCGAATATTGGACAGCCACTCCCCTCCCGCTTTCCCTCATACCACAGGCCAACCGTTGGCGAGCAACTTCCACATCCTCGACGGCCTCGTCCAGCCATTGCCTATCAGCCAAGGACGGGACGTGATGCAGGACAGAAAACGCCCCTCGACGCTCTCCAGACTTCCTCGCGCCCCGAGAGATGCCGTACCCGGGTCCCCTCTGCATCATGCTATATACTGCCACGACCGCGGCTTGCACGGCTACGTAGTCCAGCGAGTAAGGGGCCATCTGGCCTTGTCCCATTTTTCAAAAACGCAGTGACGGGCTGGCCAAGTGGGCCGTCGGCCAATTGCTGTGTTGTCAGCTTGATGCCCAAACCCTTTGATCAAACCCCACGAACCGCCCCGGTACCGCTGAATGGGCGAGGCAACCGTCTCAACGTCGAGCTGCGGCAGGTGGGTTTGGCGTGGACTGATCTTCCATAGCATTGGCTGCTATAGGCTGCATGCATGTGCATCGAGAGGCCATGATCTGTGTGCGTCTGCTCCTCCGTCTTGGTTGCTCCGAGTTTTCGGTCTTTTCTCTCCACCTTCTTTGTTATCTCGCTGTGTGAGCTGGATCGTGTGGTGATGGTGCGGTACTAGCAAGCTTTGACAAGCTCAACGGCAGCTCCGGTTGCATCCCACCTCCCACCATCATGTCCTCGTCTTTGCCCTGATTGGACGTCTCACCACTCTCCAGGAGGTGTCTGCCAACTTCTAGCGCTGGACGCTACATGACATCTCAGTTCCGAGTGGAAGATCTCTGGTCTGGTCACTCCATCAGTTCCGGTAAATGAGGAGTTGACTTGGCCGTCGTGCAGACTTTTACCCCTGGTGATGTGGGCTTCCCGTCTCCTACTTATGCCCGTCCGTCTCCCAGCGTGGGATCGGTTCGTTTTGTCACAAGATCCTTTTCTAGTGAATCGAGAATTCCATTCGCTGTTTGCTTCACCATAAGAAAAAGGACGCAGACTGTCTGGACTACGTGGTCCTGTCAAACCGAGATCGCACTTGAAGGTCGTATTGCCCCTGCCTTTCTTACACAAAGGCGTCGTACCTGCTTTAGTCAACCGGAGGCCCATTCCTTCCGTGTTTGTCTCTTGGTCAGGTCTCAAGGTATTGTCTTGCCTTCGCCATAATGCCAGGAAGACATCGCGCCTATACTACCGAGCACCCGGCGAAGGGTTTCAAGTGGTTCCCATGGAAGCGGGAAAAGAAAGTGGTGGTCGAGCCTGTGCAGGTGTGGTCAGATTGGGTGTCAAGTGAAGATGGAACCTACTTCTATCGAGCCAGGAAGTTGGCTGACGGTAAGCCCTTGAAAATCCTTCCTTGTTGTACCACAGCTGATTTTTCTTGCAGGCACTTGGGGAGATTATGAATACACAGAGGGTTACTACATGGGAAATTATGCGGGGGAATATGCCGGAGGGTATGCCGGAGGATATGCGGATGGGTATATGGGAGGCATAGAGATACCCCAGGAGAAGGAATACCACCCGGCAGTTGCGGTCAGCCCTTGGAAACTCCCCGAAGAGCCCGTTGCGATCATGCCAGAGAGCTCCGAGGTCATGGAGGATCCAGAACCCAGGTACGCGGAGATCGCAGAGTCAGAGCCCATTGGAGAGTTTTCGGTCGCAGATGAGGAGGAACAACATCAAGGCACTACCACCAACGCCACCTCAGTCTCGGGTGATGATGCTTTTGACAGCCCGTCAGAAGACGACGGCTACCGTGAAAGCGAGCCCTTACCGACCGTGCAAGAAGCGGAGCCCATGGTGTTCACTCACGAACCAGAACCCTTTCGAGCCTTGTCCCCGGTGCCAACATTGCGACGAGAGTACAAACCGAGGCGAAGGCATACAACCGGGGCCGACACCAGCGTCCCAGCTTCGTACCACCGTCCGCGAGTTCCCCATCGGCATACATTCAACGAAGGCCAAAAAGAAGGCCACAAAGACAGTCACAGCCAGGATCATCACCACCACAGACGCACCAAAAGTCACGACTCGAACCACAAACAGCCGCTCCTATTCTCCATCTTCTATGCAGTAACCAAAACCCATGCCGGTCCCCAAATCCGCCGCATGCCCTCCGCTTCACCCCATCGATCCTCCACACGCGGCAAATCAACAACACGCACCTCCACCCGCCCCTCAACCGCCACATCCTCCTCCTCTTCCCGCGCCCCCTCAGCTTCAGTAAGCAAGCATCAAGACAATACCAGTACCAGAGTTGCCGTCCCTAAAACATCTACCCAGAAACCAACGACAAAGAAACCACCAGTCACTACCAGGTCAACAAAGCCCAAGAAACCACCAGTGCCCACAGCAAGCGAGACCACTGTCGTCGTGCCCCTCGACACGGGCGTGCCGTCTGTGATTGCGCCGCCGGGGAAAGCAACGATCACCAAGACGAAGAAGTTTAATTCCAAGATTAAGAGCGAGAAGGAGATGAAGGTGGATAGTAAGAAGATGATTAAGGGGTGGTTGGCGGGGATGGAGCCAGGAGCGGAAGACAAGAAGATGAAGGGTAAGGGTATTGGGAAGGAAAGAGGGAGGAGGATGACGAAGTGATGAATGAGGTTATGAAAGGATAGGTTCTTGGGGGGGATGACCTTGGTTGATGAATAATGGCTGATGAATTTACAAGGACTACGAGGATTTACGAGATAATGATAATAGAGGTCGGACGGAAAGAGGGGGTTAGCGTAACGGACGCTGGAGTTTTATCGGTTTTTTAGTAATTGGTTTGTGATTCTTTATGAATCACTCCCCTCAAAAACATGGCAGCCGGTAAAAGACGGCTGGAACATGAAGCGGCGGCAGGAGTCCACTCGGATTCCGTCTGGTCCCAAAAACCTGGTCCTTCCCTATTCGTCTTCATGGCCGCCAATGAAAATTGGAACCTGGGATTCGAAGAAGCAAGAGCATGAGCAGAAAGGTCGCTACCTCATTGGGTGTAGCAGGCTAAAGAGCGTTGAAGGGCGAAGGGCTGGCATGTTTATTCTACACGCCCGGTCCTCCTCATAATGTCGTCTTTTTAGTCCCCCATTGAGGTTAGTTGAGCTTCTCCTCCTTCTTGTGGAGCAAATTCTGAAGAGTTCCGGTGGTTTAAGCGGCTGTGGTTGCGGGATGGTTGACTGCTTACGCATAACCTGTCTTCTGCTAAGTAGGACAGGAGACGGAGTAGTAGAGGGACTTGCAACGAACGATATTTTTTTCTTCTGTCCTTTTCCTTTTGTTTATTTGGTATAAAATAGAAACGGTAACGAACAACCATGACAAATGCCACTCTGATAGAGTGCTTGTCTTGTAGTATATACTGCTGGCTTCGGACCAGGCATCTACCGATTGATATATTCAAGCGTGGAAAGTTCTATAGCAATCATGCCTTATATAGCTCTGCTCATCCGGCCTTTCACGTTCCTTTTCACCTACTCTTCACCTCCTCTTTAGCTTCTCTTAGCGTTGCTCCTCTTCAGATCTTCTTCACCCCTCAATTCAGGTCCCCTTCACTTCTCTCTTCATTTCTCCTTCGCTTTATCTTCACTTATCTTTTTACCTTCTTCCCCTTTGACCCTATTAACTCTCTCCCCCTCGTTGATCCTCATTCCTGAGTCCTCCTCTTCACCCCCTCCCTCTCACACCACTCCTCATCACTCATCCTAAACCAATCCGCCACGCACATCATGCCCGCCCACAAATCGCACTGAATCGCCAAATGCACCATCTCCAGTGCCAACGCGTTAAACATCCTCCCCAGCGAAAACGCATCCATGAACCCCAAGCCGTGAAACGCCATGTCCAGCGTCGCCCCTTCAAGCCCCATGCGCCGCGCCATATACGGCCTCGCCAGTCCCAATAGCGCCAAGCTCTCAAACGGCGTCATCATCGCCCTCGCAGCACAAAGTCCTAACGCGCCCGCGGCGAGGACGTGTGGCAGGCGCGTGAGGCCGTTGTCTCTGTAGAGAGGGGCGTCCAGACCTAAGCTGCTGCTATTGGTTTGTGTTTGTTGCGAGTTACGGTTCGAGCCAGCAGAGTTATCAGGCACGTTAGGCCTCAACTCGGCGGCCCAGACTGCTGCGCCGGGAGGGATGGGCGCGGAGTCGCTGGTGGCGGAGTCGCTGGTGTCGACGTCAAAGGTGATTAGAGTGGGGTTGACGTGCTCGGTTTCTTCGTCGTCGTCGCTGAGGAAAGGGGCTTCGTCGGCTGTTGCTGCTGGGGATTGAGATTGGGATTGATTTGTGTTCGAGGTGGATCCGTTGGGACCGCCGGGAGTGCCGGGGCCGGGACCGCTGACGGAGATGATGCTTTGGCGGCGGCGGGTGCCATCGGGTGGAGGACCGGTAGGCAGGGCGTCGTTGGTTGGAAGGGTATCGGAGGGGGCATGGACCATTTCCCAGCCTGCTTCGATTGCGTTTGCGCTTGGGGCTTGTTGTTGTTGCTGCTGTTGTGTTGGTGTCGGTGTTCGTGGCTGAGTTTCTTGTCGCTGTTGCTGCTCTTCTGGTGTGGGTGTGGGAGGGATGTATGTTCCACTGGGCGGTTGTAAATAGGGGACTACCTCCTTAAGAGTCCTCCTCCTGCTGAAGTTGATGGGTTTGGGCAAGCGTCTCTGGATTTTCCGCCTAAGTGACCAGACGAGCCGTGCGTATGTTTTTGAAAAGAACCAGTAGCCGGCAAAAGGGGCGATACCGGCGACAAAGGCGCCGAGCCAGCTGATGATGCTTCCAGGGGTAAAGGAGGATGGAAGTCTTGGTAGGAAGATTGGGGAGTCATTGCAGCCTGGAATGAAGAAACCAAGGGTGGGAACCCATCTCGAGGTGTTCACAAGGCCGGTTCGTTGCATGAAGACAAAGATCTCTAGGTGTAAGTTGACCCAGGAGAACACGTACTTGACCCATGGGTATTCTGGCATGTCGAATCCAGCAAAACTATCGCTCAGGACATACGATGGCAGCCCGGCCCAGAGGTACTCTCCCCATGACTGCTGGCTCCTGTGAAAGTGAAATAGACGAGAAAAGGGAACATGGGCGTAGTCCTTGTACAGCAAGATACGCTGCCTCAAGCCGTTGACTCCCCAGACTCCGACGGTGGCCAAGACCTCGCCGGTGAGGAACAGCCTCCTCCCAATTCCATCTTCGTAGTACTGGTGCTTTGTGGCGGCTTCGTATAGAGCTTGGGCCTCGTTGATGCCACTGTCTGGTTCCGCAACGCCGATGACCAGCATAACTTCGTTGTGAGAGCGGATAATGTCTCTGTTGATGCGCCGTGTCTCTGGATTCACTGGTCGTCCTCGGTCATCATACAACTGCTCTGGTGCTCCGGGTTGGGGCTCGCCAGTGCCCTCAACCACCTCATCGTAGGGAGACCGGCCCTGTCATTGGTGTTAGAATGAAATTGTAGTTTGCAAGTCTTGCAACGGATGAGCTTACAAGGGCCTGTGATGTCAGTGGGCCCAACCGCATAGTGAAAGGGTCAACTGGGCTCAGGAGGTGTCTGTAGATTGCTATCCGGCATTTGCCAAGATGTTTACGTGTACATTACACGGTGAGATCTGACCAGTTGCTGGCCATCCTCGTGTCACAAACTCCTGTGCCAGAGATTGTGTTATGGTGAAGATAGTGGTGGTATAGCTGATGAGTGATGGAGACTGGAACGGCAGACAGTTGACGTTGGTGGGGGCGCTTGGGGAGCACAGGGCAGCAACCTAGCCGAGGGAGGGTCCCTCAGCGCCATGCCCAGCCCGGGTCATGCTCCAGCGCAGTGGGTGCTCCAGTGCTCCAGCGTGGTTCGTCACGGCTTCCACTTCCTACAGGGGTTGGATCTGCACGGCGCTAAGATAACCTTATTGCCTCGCCTTATCAGCGGGCGGCAGGCATCGACCCGCGAAAAGTTTTTGGGATTGGGGACTTTGCAGTGTACCACCCTACACTACGTTCTAACAGCAGAACCCCAAAGGCGGCGGCGCGCAATCGCAACCCCTCTTGCCTCTCTGTTTGATTTAATCCACTTGTACAGCCAGACACTCCGTCACCACAATGGCGTACAGGCAAACCACCACCAAGACGACCTTCGAAGTCAAAAATGTCATCCAGCCCATTTTCACAGGAGGTTCTGTAGCCCTCGACAATGGCGCTAGGATCCTCGCGACCACCCTCGGCGAGCAGGCCGTCCTCACAGAGCTCAACACCGGCAAGCAGCTCGCCGAGATCGAGGGCGATGGAGAGCCCATCTCGACCCTTACCATCACCCCTTCGGCCTCCCACCTGATTGTCTGCTCTCGTTCTCTTACTATGCGCATATACTCCCTCAAGGTCTCACCAGATTACGATTCCATCGAAGCCACCCTTGTACGCACCACGAAGCCCCACGCCACCCCCGTCGTTGTTCTCGCGGTCGATCGAACTAGCACCCTTCTTGCCACTGGTGCTGCCGACGGCGCCATCAAAATCTGGGACATTGTCGGAGGATACGTTACCCATACCGTTAGCGGCCCGAGTGTCCTTATCTCTGCCCTCCATTTCTTCGAGATTGCCGCTCTCGAGGACCAAGCCAGCAACAAGAACAAGAAGAACAGGCGAAAGAGCACAGCCGAGGAGGAGCAAGCTCAGGATGACAGCGTCGCTTCAAAGTTCCGTCTTGCCTACGGCACACAGGACGGCAAGATCCGCATCTTTGACCTTAGCAAACGCAAGACCTACCCCGTTTACGCCGACCCGACTTCGAGGAGAGAAGCGCACGAGTCCAACGTACAAAGCCTTGACTACTCGCCAGAACTACATGCCCTTCTCAGCGGTAGCAGAGATAAGACAATGACAGTATGGCTGTGGAAGGAGGGAGCATGGAGGGGAACACCCATGTTGCGCCATGAGGGCGTTGAAGCTGTTGGCTTCCTCAACAACGGAAGCTTGATGTATTCGGCTGGAACAAGTGGCCTTCTTAGGCTATGGGACACAACCACACACCAAGAAATCACAGCAAAGCAAGACGCCAAGTCGGAAGCCGAGTCGATAGTGTCAGCCCTTGCTCTTCCCCACAAGAACCTTGTTGTTTGCGCCCAGTCCGACTTCACCCTCGCCCTCTACCGCACACCTTCGGTCGCCGATGCCACCAAGAAGTCGACGAAGCCTCTGGAACCCTTCAGGCGCATTTCGGGAACACACGACGAAATTCTCGACCTTGTCTACCTTTTGCCCGATCAGTCTCTCATGGCTCTTGCAACCAACTCCGAAGATATTAGACTTGTATCTGTGGCGGATAAGCAGCCCCAGCTGGGCGATGAGGAGGAGGGCGCGGCATACTTTGGTCATGACGTAGCTCTGCTGAAGGGACACGAGGATATTGTCATGTCTCTCGATGTTGACTGGTCTGGCCACTGGGTTGCTAGTGGTGCCAAGGATAACACAGCTCGCCTCTGGAGGGTCGACCCAGCCAACAACTCGTTCGAGTGCTATGCAGTCTTCACCGGCCACATCGAGTCCGTCGGCGCTGTCGCACTCCCCAAGACTGTACCTTCCGAAAACTCGGAGGCGTTCAAGAACCCCCTCGACCACCCGCCCGCATTCCTCATTTCCGGTTCCCAGGATCGGTTCGTTCAGAAGCGTGACATTCCCCGAACATCACAAAAGGGAGCCGTCTCAACCAGTCTCCGTCGCTTAGCCCACGAGAAGGATATCAACGCTCTCGACATCAGCCCCAACGGAAAGCTTTTTGCCTCGGCATCACAAGACAAGACGGTCAAGATCTGGGATTCCGCAACATTAGAAGTCGTGGGTATCCTCAAGGGTCACCGCAGGGGTGTCTGGACTGTTCGGTTCGCGCCTCAGGGCATGCCTGCCATTCAAGGCGAGACCGGCACCGCTGTTTCCGGTAAGGGTGTAATCTTGACCGGTTCTGGTGACAAGACCATTAAGCTTTGGAACCTCTCGGACTACACCTGTCTGCGCACATTCGAGGGCCACTCCCACAACGTCCTCAAGGTGGTTTGGCTGCGCCTTCCCAAGGCCGCTGACGACGGTGAAGACGAGGCTGCTGCTACCGCCTCCAAGGCCAAGCAGCGCATCCAGTTTGCCTCTGCGGGCGCCGACTCCCTCGTCAAGGTCTGGGACGCCAACCTGGGTGAGACCGAGTGCACGCTCGATAACCACGAAGACCGTCTCTGGACGCTCACGGTGCACCCCAAGACCAACATGCTTGTGTCTGGTGGTTCCGACTCCCGCGTAACCTTCTGGAAGGACACTTCGGCCGAGACCCATGCCGCCGCGTCCTCGGCCGCCCTCAAGCTTGTCGAGCAGGAGCAGCAGCTCGAGAACTACATCCACGCCGGCGCCTACCGTGACGCTATCATTCTGGCGCTGCAGCTTAACCACCCCGGTCGTCTCCTGGGTATCTTCACCAACGTGGTCACTACCAACGCCCCCGAAGAGGGCTCTCTCTGCGGTATCAAGGCCGTCGATCAGGTGCTTGGCAACCTCTCCGACGAGCAGATTTTCCTGCTCCTGCTGAGGCTGCGCGACTGGAACACCAATGCGCGCACGGCGCCCGTGGCGCAGCGCATCCTCTGGGCACTCGTCCGACTCTACCCTGCCAACAAGTTCTCCAACCTGTCGGTCAAGGGCGCGAGGGGACAGAAGAGTCTGAAGGAGGTGCTCAACGCGTTGAGGGTGTATACTGAGAGGCACTATAAGCGCATAGAAGAGCTGGTGGATGAAAGTTACCTTGTTGAGTATACTCTGCAGGAAATGGACAGTCTGGCACCGCCTGCGATTGAGGAGAGGGATGGGGATCTGGTTATGGCTGATGCATAGATTTTTGTCTTGTAATTTTGGAAGCATAACGAACGGCTGGGAAAAGTAGCAGTAAATTTTTTCTGATATGGGATGAAATAATGTGATACCAAGTTTGAAACACATACACGTATAGATCGAATGCTAGTGTCCCGTTTGCCGATTGTGTGATTGTTGATGAAGTTTTCTTTCTTGTGAGAAGCCCATTCCTAGATCTATTTTATGCCTCGCCCTGGGTATCAATATTGCGTGTGTAGCGTCAGCCATGTACCATACTGGCCGATTCCTTTGGTAACGTTTCTCGTTGCGTCGTCGACCCCATAGTTTAACTCACCATGCCTCGAGCAATCGTTGAAGGCTTCAAGGCTTGTCTATCATTGTGGCTCTCCGCTATTTCTGTTTCCCACTCCTCGTCTTCTCTTTAACTTTGGCTGCCTTGAGGCGATCCACACAATCCTTGATCACAGACTGAAGGTCACTGTTCCGCCTAGCAAGCAGAAGCACGTCATCTGTGGTAACGGTGGTACGCCCAGCATGTTGGCTGAAGGTTTCCAAATCGATGGCGACGTTTTCTGATGCCCACAAGTTAGTAACCAAACAACTTGCGCTGAGAGAAAACGTACCAATTTGAGTCCACACAAGCTCGGTGAGAGCTCCGATGAACTGAGGAGTAGCATTCATGTTGCGACGGAGCGACTCATCGTCGACCATCTTGCTAATGGCGAACCACAGGGCTGATTTGAGACGCTTCTCTTGTTCAGTATTTGAGGTTAGAGCTCGCGGATAGAAAAATCATCAACACACTTACCTCCTGAACATCTTCACCCGAGGCGTCGGCCATTCTGGATTATGTAAGTGATACTTACACTTACACAATGATCATGCATCCCCGTTTAAACGATGTTCGGCTGGGGGGGGGGGGACGCGTTGAGCGCGTCGGTAGTGGGGTAACCCTGCGGCTGGCACTTGCTGTAAAGTGGATTACGTAATGCGGCTCTAGTCCCACTAAGGTGAGTGCCTGCCAAGGGGCACGCTCAGTGGGGCATTTGGGTGCACCCCATCGGCGCCGGTGGGGTTCCCCGAACGAAGTTGATGTAACCTGTACGTATCAGTCAAAGTTCCCGTGCCGTCGGCGTCCCGAGTGGACGTTTCTCGCGCAGATGGATTATGGAGCACACCAGCCCGTCCGCAAGTTCGCAAGTGCCGTGTCCGTTCAACACTTTTTTTCCTCCCTTCTCCTTTTCACAACGACTCTAGACTCTTCTTCTTCTTCTCTCTTTCCTCCTCAACTCCGGCAATCTCGGGATCCTTCTTTGTAATACTTTTTGAATCAGGCTTCTTTTTCCTTTCATACTTAATTAGTCGACAGCGAAACCCTTTTCATCCGGCGTTTCCTCAAGACTTGACCTCTGCCTACCGTGTTGTCGCAAAAGCATCTCCCACCGCCCTTTGCGCAAAGAAGCCTGAAGACAACCACCACATAACAACCAAACCCCGCACGAACAAAACCGACCAAGATGGACGGAATAGCCAATGTTGTAACGGTCCTGGGTGATCGTATCACCAACAATGTCAAGGGCACTTTTGCCAGCATGACGGCGGAGAAGTGGATTCGCCTGATCATCATTGTCGGAGCTTGTGAGTTGCAGCATCATTTTCTTCAAGAGCGCAATGCGCAGGACCAACTCAAGCAGAACAGCAGCTGACAATGCGCCATCACAGATGCCCTGTTGCGCCCCTACATCATCAAGCTCGGCGGAAAGGCGCAGATGAAGAAGCACGAAGAAGAATCCGCTGAAGCCCTCAGGGGCACCATCTCCCCCAACGAGCTGCGCGGACAAAAGGCCATGGTCCGTCTTCCTGGTGAGGACAGCGACTCGGAAGACGACGAGGCGCAAAACGGAGAGTCTTCGGCGGCGGACTGGGGCAAGAAGGCCCGCAAGAGGCAGCGCATGGTCATCAAGAAGCTCATCGAGGCCGAGGAGGACAAACTGCGGGAGAGCAAGGAGGAAGAGGAGGATAAGGATATTGAGGAGTTCCTACTTAAGGACTAAAAAAAACAACTGGGTTCGGGTTTGGGTATGACTGACGTTGGATGATATTATACATTAAAGTATGGATGACGACGACGAATACATAATAATCAAATAATAATGCATTTACAAGACAAGACATCTGATGGAGTGACAACTTCTGCTTACATGTGAGAAGGCTAAAGAAACTGTGTTGCGGGAAAGGTGGGACCTTGCGACCTGCATTCTGTGAGTGAAGCATGTCTCGGCCTGCAGCCAGCGAGAAGGCAGAACGAGTTCATTAGGACCCACTTCTACGTCCTTTTAACATTCACTCACCTTCCACTTGACTTCCTTAATAAAGCACCTTACACACCTCAACCTCCAAACCTCACTCTCGACGCGCAGCTTAAATATTGCTACCCCAGCGAAACATACCTACGATAACGACAGATAATCGCTAGACAGTATCTATATATCAGTCATTCGACCTAGCGCGGACTCTTGCTTCACCACCAGTGAAGTCATCAGAACAGCTTCACCACCATCAATCAGCGTCATCGAAGCACATCAGCGAGACTCACCCACCAGCGAAACGGCCTTGTCGTCGCCCATTCCTTGCCACAGCAGCCAACGAACAGAACCAAATCCACTTCTTCACACCACAGCTCCAAGATGGCGACTATCTCAAAAGACGAAGCCATCATCCGCTCCTCTGGCGAAGGTACGCCCACTCACTCACCCATGAGTTCCTACCATCTTCTCACCTCACCTCACCCAAACTAACTCCTTTTGCCCCTCAGCCGCCCGCGCCTTCACAGACTGGTACTACACCCAACTCACCGACGGCAAACCCGTTTCCTCCTGCTACGTCAACACCAACGCCAAGTACCTCGCCGCCTCACACCCGCCCGCCGACATCTGCATCAACGGCCAAGTCGTCGCCACGCCCGAAGAGTGGGACGCCCTTCTCGAGCAGCAGCGCCTCATCACTTTTACCCAGCAAAAGGGCAAAGTCAAGTACGAAGTCGAGGGGTTCGACGTGCACGTCATCAACAAGGATTACCGGTTTGCTGCGCCCGCGGAGATCGTGGCTGCTACGGATGCCAAGATGATGCAGAGGACGGAGGATGCGCGGTTGATGATGGTGGTCACGGTGGCTGGGAGTGTGACTTTTGGGGGCAAAGAAAAGGGCACGCCGCCCAAGCAGCATTTTTCGGATGTTTTTGTTTTGGTGCCGAATTGGGATTATGTGACGAGGCCCAAGTTCAAGGGGCATAAGAGGTATTTGGTTGCTAGTCATACTTATAGGGCTTATTAAGGTGGGATGGCTCTGTGTGACAGATGGGGAACACAATGGGAGAAGCATGAGGTTGTGTGGGAGCGGATACTAGAAGACATGTATCCGAGGTATTTGCTTCATTGGATTTTCACATCAGCCAAGAGTTTTCTTCAGCGTTTTTTTTTTTTTTTTTCTTTTCTTTTTCATTTCGTTTACATGCGTTTATGGATTTGGCGTCAGGGTCGGAAAAGAGAAGGATTGTTAGATGGCTACGATCATACTCGAAGCGGAGCATGTGGGAAGCCCATACCACAAAATACATTATACCTCGAAAAGCCATCAAGAATGATACTCACTACAAATTGTTTTACAGAACAACTACCAAAGCGAGCGGCTTGGGAACCCTCCCCTGCATAAACCAAATTACCCGATGCCCTTTGACCATATGATCGTACTGAGCTACCCTATAACTGCTTTCAATACTCTTGTCCGAACCGTTCGGCCAAAATCATCCGTTTCTTGAGAGCCACCCATTTCTTCAAAATCAGCAAAACCTTCTAGGCTGCCGCAATTCCCTCCTCAGCCTTTTCAACCTGCTCTCCGGGCGCCTTCTCCGTCTCACTTTGTGTCAAACACTTCCTCCTCCACTCCCAATACCCTCCCCGAATCTTATCCCACTTTTCCGCCAACCTCCTCAAACACAGATCCGCCTTTTCATTCTCTTTCTTCTCCGCATAAATCTCCGCCAACAAATCCAACGCATGCGTACTTTTAACCTCTTCCTCCTCCTCCCCTTCACCCAACTTATTCACAAACTCCTCCACAAACCCCTGCACACTTGCCAGAGGCTGGCCGCCCTTCACCAACACGCCCCGCATGTAATTCCACGGGCTCTGGTTCTGCGGCGCCAGATACACCTTGTTCTGGGCATACTTCACCTCTCTATCCACCAGCTCCTGGGGCACCTTTTCATCCTTTTCCGTCGCCGCCTTGCCTGGCGTCGCATACTTTGGGTTCGAGAACACCAAAACGAACCGGTGCGACCAAGCACTGTTGTTTCGCACGTCCTCATCAATCATTTTCTCAATCGACTTCAGTTCTTCCTCGTCCTCCCACATCCCCAGCTTGCCAACCAGCCACGAGCGGTACGACCAGACGTGATAGTTCTTGGTGTCTTCGGACAGGATGGCGATGAGGAAGTCACGTTCTTGTTTGGCGAATTGGGCAAGAGCGTCGGGGTCGGAAGAGATGGTGGGGTAATAGTGCTCGACGAGCAGGTGGCGGTGGTGCCAGATTTGGTAGTTCTTGAGGTTGGCGAGCGCAACTTCATTCAGCCACTCGATCTCGTCCGGGATGGATAGGTCCAGGGCGAAGATATTGGCGGCGCGGTAGAGCCAGACGGTGTAGTGGGCGGGGTTCATGGCGATGATGTGCTCAGTTAGGCGAAGGCAGCGAGGGGAGTACTCCTTTGTGGTCATGACGGCGCGGAGGTAGGACATTGCTATTTTTGTTGACAAGAATCAGCTTTGATCATGACCTGATTGATGGGGAGGGGAAAGAAAGGAAGTGTGTAACATACCCTCAGCATACTCAGCCGGATAAGTGATTGCCGCCAGCGCGCCCTCGGGCTCCTCATGCGGAATAGGAACCACATCCTCCCACTCCACGCTCTCAGCCAACTTCCCCGTGATAGCGCCGTACAAATCCTTCTTGAGTGCAGCCATCTTGCTTCGTCTGACCTTCTCTTCGTCAATCTCTCTTTCCGTAACAATAATCTCCCGTCCGGACCTTGCGTCGACAAACCCTCTCTTCTCACGCTCAACGTTCTCCCGAAATACTCTGCTCGACACTTGGAGCGCTGTCAATGCGATCCGCTTCCTGAATCGCTCGTCGAACCGCTCGATCGTGTAGCTGCCGACGTCGTGGCCGTTCCGATCAGTGCCCCAGGTAGTATATGGCTCCGGCTTGTGCTTGAGTCCGCGGACGATTGAATTAGTCCCGTTGACGGTCCACCAGATCTCCTTGGACGCTTTAGGACCGAGGAGGCACGAGCGGCTGGCTGCGGGCAGGCGGTTGGTCAGGTGTAGGAGCTGGTCGCAGATCCAGCCTTTCTGGTCTTCTTTGGAGAGTCTGCTAAGTCCTTGTTGCCGACGGGCAGCTTCGAATGGACGGGTCTTCTCGAAACGCTGTTGGCTACGTTCGAGTACGGTGGTAGGTTCTGATGGTTGCGATGCTGTTTGGCTAGTAGTATTGGTCGTGGTGGGATTGGAGGTGGTAGTCGCTGGAGCTTTGACAGGAGAGGACCGCCCCGATTAGCTACCTTTCCAATTATTGTACCAACAGCCACATAAGCTGCAAACAGAAACAGGGAGAGAAAGACAAATAAGATCTTTCGAGGTCGAGTACCAAAAAAGAAACTTACTTTCGGTTGCTTTGGGCTTTGTGGCCGCTTTACCTTTGGGCGGCATCGTTATGAGGTGGTTGCTAAGGGGGAAATGGTGGGGTCTTAAAGCGGAACGGGGACCTTGCTGAACGCATTGATTTGCGGTCGTCGGATTGCAAACAAAGTGACGAAGGACGTCAGAAGCCAGTGGCGCATCAAACAAAACAATCGCAACTTGCAAGTAAGCACAATACTTGACATGCACGGGATATCATGATCCCCTTGGTACCTGCAAACATCGCTTGCCGCTTTTTTTTCTTATTTTTCTTCTTCTCTTGACGTTCCTTCTACTTATTCCAGAAAGATGCCGTTGAAGCAGTCCCTTGTTACTTCCCCGTCACTTCACCTCTTCATGACCTCATCGCCACTAATCTTCTAATATACACCCTCATTAAATAAGTAATGCTCATTACGTAGTAATCATTCCATCTTCGCGTCCAACAAGAATAGAGCGCAATATGTACAACTGAAGTGAGGAAGTCTAATAAGGGATCTGCCTCTTGCCAGCTCGTTTTAGGTATCGTGGGGGGGGGGGGGTCCGGGGAGAGAGACCCTCAACACCATGATGCCCGTCTGTCATCCCTTGCCTGCACACCGACATGGGGGACTGACTCCATTAACGTCCCAAATCAGCTCAGCCCCCACACTCTCTAGTCCCGGTTCTCAACCCTCCAGAACTTCCAGCCCTCCCGCTCACCCCGGTCGCCATGTACACCGACAAGTTTCTCAAGCGCCTCGTTACTGCCCGCACTGAGGAACTTCTCAAGGTCAATCTCCATACCGCCCTCCTCATCCTCGTCCATCCCGTTCTTCAGCACAGCCGGCCAGAGCACGCCAACACCGTCGCTACCGAGTGTTGTCTCAAACTTGGAGTACCCCTCCTCGTCCAGGCGCTGCTCCAGCTTATCCAGCTTCTCGCGCGGCACTCCCGGCCGCAGCAGCGTGATCGAGCATCCGCCACCACCCGCACCAGTGAGTTTCGTCCACCCGATACCCTCATGGTCCACGAGCTCGCGCACACGCTCCAAGCGGGGGTGCGACACGCCGAGTGACACCAGCAGGCCGTGGTTGATGGTCATCATCTCGCCCACCTTGCTCAGGCTCTCCTCGTCCTCCGTGTTGAACCCTTGTTCCTCAATGAGCTGCGCAGAGCTTTGCGTGACCTGGTCGATGGCCGTCAGGATGGTACCCACCAGCTGCGGGTGCTTCTTCTTCAGCGTGGCCACCTTGGCGACCTCGTGCGCCGTTGACTTGGCCGTCCTGGTGTCCACGAGGAGCAGCGGGAGCTTAGGGAAGTCCCACAGGGGGCGCACAGAGGGCGGCTGGTTGTAGTCTGTCCGTTGGAAGACGACCGCCTTGCCCTGTGTTGATACTGTGTTGTCCACGCCCGAGGGGTTGCCGTGAATGAACATCTCGTAGACAAATGCCCACCGGTTGATGCGCTCAATTTGTAGCCTGGCCTCCTCGGGAGGTTGGTCGGGGTGAGGACCGGACAGTGTCCGAAGCTGGAGCAAGAGCGCTGCCGACAGGCAGACGGCGATGGTCGCGCTGCTGCCCAGGCCGGCTCCAATGGGGATCGTCGAGCGCAATGTGTACTGGCAGCCAGGAAACGACTGCGAGCCAAGGGAAAGGAACATGTAGAGGAAGGAGCCGGCCGAGTTCTGGTGCACCTTGCGAATGTCGGCGGGCTTGTCTATCGAGACATCGGCGAGGAAAGGTTGTACGGCGTCAACGAGTTCTTGGTCAATCTCGGTGACGAGACTGTAGTAGTACTTCTTTTTCCCTGGTTGTTGGAAGATCTTCCATGGGAGCTCGTCGATATTCCACGAATGATTGAAGTCGATGTCAGGGAATTTCAGCGTTACAGTTCTCTTGGACTTGGAAAGCGTGTTGACGAGCAGGTAAGATCGCAGCGAGATGGCGGCAGCAATCGCAGCCTGATGAAGAGGAACAACCGTTAGCCTCTGGGAATTATTACCCCCTTTTCCAGCATCACCATGACCTAGGCGCTTGATCGACATACCTTGCCGTGAACGACTGCGTGCTCTCCAAACACAATGACTTTTCCCGGTGCTGAGACCATGAACGTCGGCATCATGGGACTGGACTTTTTGCGTTCCATTCTCTGTCGTATGGGTGTTACCATGCTGTTGATAGGAGAGCCCCCGTTGACGTCGCTGCTGGCGCTTTCTTCAATGGTCACTCTGAGACCATTACTGGGGTTTCCGTTGACGGCTTCGCTCGCATCACCATTTACGGGTTGATTTCCCTGCTCGGACTCGGAATGAAATCCATTGACTCCGTTGTGTTCTTGCTCCGCCATGGTCAGAGGTAGTTTTCTTTGTGCGTATGTTGTACGTAATCGACCCGAGCGTCCCTCGGTCTGTGTTCGGCGACACCAATACCAACAATGCTAAGCGGGAGGGGCTCTTCGGAGAGGGGGTCAATATACGAATCCGGCGCAATTGGGTGAACCGTGGAATCGCCAACAAGATGATGGCTGAGTACTAGCTCACGTTGAGGTACAACTGTGCCGAGGTGCTGGTATGATGAAGAGCGAGTTGGCGTAAGGCAACCGAAGCTGCCTAAATAGGTAGAGATGTGTAAGATATTGAAGGCCTAGGGAAATTGGGGGCTCAAGACGACAGATTGGTCCTAAAGCAACTGAGGGTATCGCGGCGTAGGGATGCTGGTAAACAAGCGGGCGAGATGGAGGTTGTTGATGTACTGCCGATCTTTTTCTAGCTCGAGTCTGCAAGGTCCAGATGACGGATATTTATGCGGAGGCTGCGAACGAGTGCGATTGGTGTTCCTGATACGCCAGACGACCACAAGTTACACAAAATGACAAGTCCCAGGATGTTTGCGATGGAAGTAATCTTGCAGACGTGCCGTGTTGAGGTTGCGCAAAGTGAGAGTTCGAAGGCGGCGGGCGCTGTCACGGTGTGTACAGACTTGGGTTGATTGGGTGCCGAGGGGTTGCCAACTTGAGATTGCAGCAACTGCGGCGGAGAAGATGTACCCCGTTACGTGGGGATAGCAAAGCCAGAGGCGGGGAGCTGTTATGTACTCCAGCAGAAGAGGGTCAGTGGGCTTTGATATCTCGCTCTTTTTTTTTCTTCTTCGTACTCTACGGCAATGGTGCCTGATACTATTCTTCTTTCTCCTGCTGTCCGTTACGCCCAAAGCTATCTGCGCCTAATCAGAACTCTTTGCTGTTGGAAATCTCAGCCCACACGCCGAAGCCGTTACATACTTTCCATGCTGAAAAGGGGTTGTCATCATGGACTTTGATTGACAGGGGTGGAGGCTTTTAGCTTTGGATTTCCTTCTCACGGCCGCTGATTGGCGCTCTCTGGCTTCTCAACGCGACGCTAGCTTCCGGTGAACTGGACAACGCCTCGAACAGGGAGGGGGGAGCACCGGGAGATCACAGAACAACAGGGGCTCAGGACAAGGGGAGCTCTGCAGTTCTGCTCCCTAAGCTCCTCACTCAACTGACAGCTGCCCCATCGTCAGTTGAGTCTAGACTGCAAAGGCGGCGCGTGGCATCACCCAGAAACTCGCTTGGTCCAGGACAAACATCAGGCAGGGTCTTGGAGAACAACAAGAAGCTTCAAAAGTCCAAATCTTTGCCATAGCTTTGAATCCCAATCGACATGCACTACGTCGGATGGTCACCTGAACTTTCCCTTGTCTCGTGGGTTTGTTAGCTCATTCCTGGCTACCTCTGGGGCCTTGATGACAGTCTCATTATTGGGTGGTGGGTTCGACATGTGTGTCGAAGTGCATACATGAGTTGGCATCATGCACCGAAACCCGAACACTGGCGATGCCCGACTCTCTCAAAGATCGTGGGGCCATTTCTCGTCATGTATACGACATCAGCAGGGATTTGATTAAGACTGTTCAGAGAGTCGCAAGAACAAATCATCGCATACAATCTTTCTATCAGTGTTTCTTCTTACATATATCTAGCCTCAGATGACGGCCGGCAGAGCCTCTATTGATGTTGTTTGAACGATAGGGCATCATAATGATTATGTTTTTGGGGAAGTGGGAGCGCGGATGGCATGATCTCTAAAACAGGCGCATATTGTCTACTGTGTATGGTGTCCCAACTGTGCCGCATGATTACGAATTTGGAGGTAGCCTAGTTTGCGTTTCGTATCGTCCCGAATGAGCGAGTCCGAATGAACTACAACCATCACACATAAAAGTTGTGTACGGATTCAAGTTTTGCTGCATTTTGAAGCGTTCAGACCGCCAAGCTCACAACCTGGCTTAATCACTAACGCAGAACATATTTCGAAGATGACTGTCACTGAAATTGCCATCATCCGCGTATACGCCGGGATCACCGACTCTACCCTCCGAGACACCTTCAGCAGGGCCATCACTGTCCAAGACGCATGGCACGCTCGCGCCTTTCCCGACCGCCCCTCTTCCGCCTCGGCACGGGCCGTGGCTTGTTTCCGGGGGATCGACGACGAGACGCAGATACTTCTAACAACGAGCTGGGGCTCGGTGGAGGAGCATTGGGCATGGATCCTCAGCGACGATAACAAGCAGCAGATGGAGGGCCCAGACTTGACCAAGATCATCGCAAATCAAGGGCCGCCCAACCAGCCAGGCGGACTGATCCTTTTCCACTTGGATACGAACATCTTTGGGAATAATCAGGCCACTACCGGCAAAGACGTGATTGCACTCCTCGATAGCCCGGTCATCAGCGTTGAGAGATTCTTGGTCGACACTGAAAAAAAGGAGAGCTTTGCCGCAACGCTCCAGAAAGTGGAGGCGAGTATGGAAAAGGTCGTGCATCCTCACTTGGTAAGAAGCGGGCGCAGTGTCGATCGCGAGACGGGAGGTGAGGAGTTCGTATTGGTTTCCGGGTGGTCCTGTGTCGAAAGTCATACGCAAGAGTTCGTTGCATCGTCCCAGTCTTTTCTGTACAGTCAGCTTGTTGGTATCGCTTCGTCGGAGGAAACACAGCACTACAGACGGTTCCTGTAGTGCCCTCTTTGTCACTTAGAAACTTGGTTGGGAAAATGCGCAAGTCTCGGTCCAAGAATTGGTCGCTCATGAATGTGTATTCAGACCCTCTGCAAGGGGTTGGTTTGCGGTCGGTGAGACCTTGACAACTAAAGAGTCATCGCGCTGCTCCGAAGACCTGCACCTGCTCTCGCAAGTACTCCTGTTCCCAATCCCATGAAGGTTTCCCCCGATCCGAGAACGCCGTCTTAGTTCGCGAGAATTAAATGTCCAGCACCAGAACCAGGCAGTTGAAAATCGTCATTCATTCGCTTCCCATTCGCGCCAAAGCAGCCATCAGTTCCTCATTGTCGAGAGATTTAAGCAGTCTGCTTCTTGTTGCGCTTGGCAACGTCGGCGATGGTCAGGGCTATAGTTTCGCATGTCAGTTCCATCATTTTCTCGCAACTGCTTTTTCCCGTTTTGTCCATCTCTCTCTCTCTCGATCTATTATTCGGGGGTCGGGGAGCGCGTACAAGGAGGGAGGGAAGCCTTGAGCTTCTCAGCCTTGTCGGAGTCCTTGAGAACAAGGGTGTAGAGGTACTTCTGGCAGCGGACCTTGAACTTGATCTGCTGAGTAGCCTTGTTCTTCTTGATCCGGGCGGCTGTTGGGTGAAAGCGTCTCTGTTAGAAATTCGTTCGGTTTTCGCGACGGTGTTTTCTCAGGTAGGCCCTCAGCCAAACGTACCGGAAGCGTCCTTGCGCCGGCAGATCTCGATGAACTGTAGTTGAAATCAAAGTCAGCAAAACAGCCCATTTGCACCATGCATGCACAAATTCAGCATGACGACGGGCATTTCCGTACCTTCTTGATATCTCCGATTTCCTGAGGCATTTTGGCGACTTGGTGCTGGACTTCCCGTACTTGTGGTGACGACGACAACGGAGTTCAGGAGCGTGGATGAATTTTAGGTACTATGGAAATAATTTTGTGTGGGTTTGGGTCCTGGGCGGTGCGAGTGGCTTGGTGGGGACGCGTGCGGGCAATGGGCCGCTAACGCGATGCACCCTTGTTTCCGCTGTCCGTTCCGCTAGATCACACATGCCGACGTTAGCGCAAGCTCCAAGTGTGGCTGATGCTGCACTTTTGGTAAGTGCGTCGACTTTGGCAGATGTACAGTAGTGACGCAGCAGGGAGCTCGTGTGGCGTCGACTTACCTCACTCCTGTCCAACGAACACAGCAGGCAGTCACCATTAGACCGTTTGGAACATCCGTCTAATTGCGCAGTTCGCCTTCAAGCTCGGTCGCATCTGGTCGAGGCCTCGGGAGGACACGATTCCAGTTTGTGTAATCCAGATAGTATATAATCAAAAACTAATCACGCGGTCCTAATTAAAGCTTCTTTTGTTCCAAACCAAGTGCCACCTCATCAGACAACTCAGTTAGGGCGTTAACGTTTTGTAGTAGTGCGCCTACCCCTCTTGCCTTACCACTACTTATAACGCAGACAACCCTTTTCCGAACTACTCGATATGCCCACGGCACTAGACAAAGCGTTGAGATCACGAGTGAGTACCTCTTCACAACAACTCAACATCCCGAAGAAATCATGCTTGTCGAATCTCTTCTGATAGTTTCCGCGAGCAAGAACGCATTTCTTGGTGAGCTTCTTGTTTAGCAGTCTGGCAGTCGACTGAAGCTTGACTAACCCCACATAGCGTTCGCCGGCATCGTGACGGGTGTCGCCGCATGGTCTATCTTTGGAGGCGAAGTGTTTCCTCAAGACCAGGCTGACCCAAAGGGCAACCCGGAAGAATGGACTCGCGAGGAGATGCGCAGATGGCTTGCCCTGGTGAGTTTCCAAGTTTGTTAAAAGCTGACGCACAAAACTCGAAGCTAATGTTGGGAGCTAACTTTGATGATCACCAGCGTAATCTTCATCCACAAGATTCGGACACCCGGGAGCAGTTACTGGAAAGGATCCAAGCGAACTTGAGAATCCCAAGACAGTGAGCTGGTTGTGCTGAAGAAATTGGAGGAGCCCTATAATATGTTTATACCCCTTGAAGAATACCTAGCCTGCATTTATCTTTGTTTCATGTTCTTTATGACATTGCTATCTTCATAGCAGGCTGGCGATGGTATGGTCAGCTGGCTAAAGGACACATGCTGTTGAATCCTGTTCTCCCATCGTACTTACATACTCGTGATCCCAACCACTGGATACAAGATCATAAACCGGAAACCACAGGATATGACTACATATAGACATCGGGAAATGCTCCTTGATGTCAACAGGAAACACTGTTTACGTTCGGAGATCTGTAGGGTGACCCGGCAACATGCGAACAATCCAGCGTTGCGTCCGGGTTCGCGGGGAACCTCTACGACCGGGCTTATCGATAAGACTTACCGAGCGGGGCGAGCGCAAGGGGAAGTCACCCAATCAACATGTGTAACTTCTAGTGTTCATAACTGCGCCATACACAGCAGGGTACGTAGCGTACGCCGGTACATGCCTGCAAGGAAGCTCCAAGCGGAACTGGGGCAAGGACAGGTTGTTGTTACTGTTTGTACCTTGTCTGGCATTGTGCTTATAACCAATGCGGCGGACAATCTGACACGGTCTTTTGGCTTTCATTGTTCCAACAAACAAACATTCCATTTGCGCATTCGGCGGAGCCTCTAGTAGACACGCCCTTATTGCGCGACGATGGAGTTTCTTCAGGTACGTTTTGCGAAATCCTTCTCCCTCGACATCCAAGGCGTGCACCGGCTAACATGGCACTCTCAAAACGACAGCGTCTCGCGAGGTTCCTCGACCGGCCTCTCTTTCCCTGGAAGAAGCTGATCATCGGTTTCTCTCTCGCCAACTACTTCATCGAAGGTTTCCTCGGTTATCGTCAGTATCAGGTCCTCAAGAAGACCAAGGTCCCCAAGGTGTTGGAGCATGAGGTGTCCCAGGAGGTCTTTGACAAGAGTCAGGTACGATATCCCCCAGGCTACGGGCCAACCGGCCACCATTATCTGACACACGATACAGGCATACGGACGCGCCAAGGCAAAGTTCGAGTTTTTCAGCGGTATCTACGGTCAAATCCAAAACATCTTGTTCTATCAGTTCGACGTCCTCCCGAAGCTATGGTCATTCGCCGGCAACCTCCTCGTTCGGTTCGCGCCAGCCAGGTTCTCCGGCGAAATCTCGCAATCTATCGTCTTCGTCCTGTCCTTTGTCGTCATCTCCCAGATTCTCTCGCTACCGACTAGCCTCTACCACACTTTTGTCTTGGAGGAGAAGTTCGGTTTCAACAAGTCGTCTGCCAAGCTTTGGATTACCGACAAGATCAAGTCCCTCTTCTTGACCTTCGTCCTCACGCCTCCGATCCTCGCCGGCTTTTTGGCTATCGTGCAGAAGACTGGAAACCAGTTCTTCTACTATCTCTGGGTTTTCGTCGCTGGTCTCCAGGTTGTCATGATCACCATCTACCCGATTTTCATTCTGCCTCTGTTCAACAAGCTCTCTCCTCTTGAGGAGGGTGAGCTCAAGAGCAGCGTGGAGGATCTCGCCAAGAAGCTCAAGTTCCCCCTCTCCGAGTTGCACGTCATTGATGGCAGCAAGCGCAGTGCCCACAGCAACGCTTATTTCTTCGGCATGCCCTGGAAGAAGCACATTGTCATTTACGATACCCTAATTGAAAAGAGCGAGACCCAGGAAGTTGTTGCCGTTCTTGCACACGAGCTGGGTCACTGGAAGTTGGGTCACACCACTAGCCTCTTTGGCATCTCCCAGGTAAGCTGATGCTCCTTTGTTGTCAATCCCGCTGTTTCCCATGAATTGTGACTGACAATGCACAGGCCCACTTCTTCGCCATTTTCTCTCTCTTCTCCGTTTTCATCAACAACAACTCGCTTTATGCCGACTTTGGCTTCCACACGGTGCACCCTATCATCGTTGGATTCCTTCTCTTCTCGGACGTCCTTGGCCCTACCGATACCCTCATCAAGCTGGGCATGAACGTTCTCAGCCGCAAGTTCGAGTTCCAGGCTGATGAGTTCGCCAACAAGCTTGGCTACAATGCGGAGCTCGCTCGCTCCTTGATCAAGCTCCAGATCCAGAACCTCAGCACCATGGATGCTGATTGGATGTTCGCCACTTACCACTTCTCGCACCCCATTTTGACCGAGAGACTGAAGGCTCTCAACTGGCAGTCCACTGGAAAGGTGGAGGGCAAGGAGAAGGCCAAGGACAGTGAAGAGAAGACAGATGTTGCTACTGCCACTGGGCGGGATGAGCTCTAAGTCAGTGTAGGATGATGCAAATGAGAAGGTGGATGAGGAATTGACAAATGAAGCTGAGATACGTGGGATCACAAATTAAAGGAAGTCAGCGCACTCAGCGAAGAGTGACCTACTCTATATTGCTTTTGAATCTTCTTGCTTTTGAATCTTCTATTTTGATAGACAATCTAGAGAGAATCCGGCTTTTATTACCGAACAGGACCGAGTCCCTCAACCATGAACCTGAATCTTTTTATGTAGTTAATGATCGAATTCGGGATGTGTTGTCGAGGTAAGACACATACACAACCCTAACCCTTGGCTTTCACAGTAGCAGCTGGCAACCGGGTGCAAAAAGCCCTCCCCGGACCCCGGCCGATCAATCGAACTTTGGACGGAGCCGATCCAGCAACCGCGCCCGCTCGTCGCGAACCACTCTATAGGATCCCCGAAACGCTTTGTGTTTGTCCCGGCGCATTCGGTCTCGCCCGGTCCTGTTCCACCCCCGCAATTCTTTGACGTCGACTACCACCACTACCATCATCGGCGACAACCACATCTGTAGACAAAATGTCCAGGATTTTCTCGTCGGCCCTCCAGGCTGCTTTCAAGCCGAGCGCTTTTCTTCCCAAGACTGCCACTCGGTACGCTGTTCTGCTCTTGCCTTCCCTCCCCACCCGCATGCCAAAACATGAACATAGTGACTGACTACTTCCCTGAATACAGCTCATTCTCCATCCTCCCCTCCCTCCGTCCCGCCGCTCTGTCTTCCACCCCCAGTACCATCTTCCGCGCCCCCAACGCCATCACCGCGCCCTCGGCCTCCCCTAGTGCTACTACCGGTATCGACGGCGAAGTTCTCGACCTCCTCTCCGCCTCCTCCCTTATTTCAAGTCATCCGGCGCTTAGCGGGTTGGGCTCCCAGATCCGCTGCGGCCCGCGCCCGACGATGAGCGGAGCGACGAGGCTGGTGCAGAAGCGCAGACACGGTTTTTTGAGCAGAGTTAAGACCAAGAATGGGCAGAAGACGTTGAAGAGGAGGCTGGCAAAGGGGAGGTTGAGGCTGAGTGCTTAAGTGGTTAGATGCTTGACTGAGACCCGCGGGGTGTGAATGAGTGGAAATGGAAGAAAGGAGAAGGCGGAAGTAAGGGGACACAATGGAGGGTTCGAGGAGCAACTATGTCGACGACGGCTGCGGTACCCCTGGTCTGGCACGCTGGTTTCTGTTCAAATCAGGAGTCCATGAAGCTGCAGTGATGGTCAAGGGATTGCGCTTGGTCTCCTATCATTTACGATCCGAGACGAAATCGCATGCCGAAACGCATATCGCAGCTACCTTTTCAACGACCACTCGACCCTGATAATCATGGCGACCTGGGGAGGCAGGTAATCTGTGGCCCTCTCTACTGGTACAACTGGAACCGGTCATGAAAGACTGCCAACAGCACGGAGGACCTTGGAGGGTTGCGAAATGGCCGGGATTTTGTGCCGCAAGCAGTCGATAACCAGATCAACCCGAACGGACCGCTACGAGAAACCTGTACACTATGATAAATACGACCTGTTATACCCACCACTTTTACCAGCTTTGCTTTGTACGATATTTCGAGATGTAAGATTTTCCTTTTTTTTTTCTTTTTTTTTCTTTTTAATTTTTTTTTCCTTTCTTCCACGCCTGGCGTGATCACTGTTGGAGCTAAAGAGCTAGGCAACATTGTGTTATGATTGTTCGCTCTGTTTCTGCGATACGACGCCGCTTGTTTTGGTTTGAGTTCGGCCCTTCTTGACAGTTCTAGGATCACTTTTTGCTACCAAGTGGCAGCAGCTAAGAACATACGGGCAACAAAGATCACGTCCAAACATGTTAAGGCATCCAAGAAAGTGGTTTCACCGGCGTTTCATTGCTACTATTCACAAAGCTATCTTCCAAACTTGTATTCACAAATCATGCCTCATTTTACTTTCTTATTATTCTCACATTGCAACCCTTGATGCTCCTAATTAAGGTCGTTGCTATTGACAAAATTTACATCCTCGACAACCCACTGGTTCAAGCGAGCCTCGAGCTCCTCATCACTGATGTCGTTAGCTGCGACGTTGGCTTCGGCCCTCTTCCAGTTGAAGCCGCCAGACGAGCAACCGGCAATGTCCTCGAAGTAGTGAAGGTGGTCATCGCGTTTCAAGCCGAGGGTACCGGCGTTGCAGTCGATGCTGGCATAGCCGGGGCAAATCTTGACCTGGCTGGTGGTGGGCACAGCGGCCTGGATCCACCACTCGGGAGAGGTGTGGCGGTAGTTGAAACTGATGGGAGGGAGACGGGGCACGGGGTCATTTTCGTGGGTGACGCGGTACTCGTCGCCTGACTGGGTGGTGGTGAAGGCGGCGAAGGCCTCGTTGCCGACGCGGGGCGAGCCGAAGGTGTAGAGGTCGGCAGTGTAGCCGGCCTTGCGGAGGTAAGCGGCTGCGACGGTGGCGACGGCACCGCCGAGCGAGTGGCCGGTGATACCGATGCTGTAGCTGGGGTAGGCGGCCTTGGCGGACTGGACGGCCGCGGTGACCTTGGTCGCAACCTCCCTCCAGGCCGTGTAGAACCCGGTGTGGATGAGGCAGCCGCTCACAAGTTCATCGCAGGAGGACTTGACGAAAACGACGCTGGACGGGTGTCAGTTGAGGTCCTGATGTGGTACGAAATACAGACTCGGTGTTCAACTTACTCGGTAATCCAGTTGCGGACTGAAGAGGATCCTCTGAAGGAAACAGTGATGACCTTCTTGACAGGGTCCACCGAGACCAGGCCGCGAATATCAGTGGCGGTACCGCTTCTACTTTATTAGTCTTCATTGTCTCGACTCGGTTTGTATGGGGTCTCTTACGCGAAAGAGGCAACAGTCACGGCCTTGTTGCTGACTAGGGTAGGGCAAACGTTGTTGGAGCAAGCGATCAAATCGCCAGCAGCGTTGTTGCTGTTGCAATAGCTGGTGGCAGCTTGCTCAGCCCAATAGGAGAGCTTGGAAAGCTCGCTGCTGGTGACAACGACTGGACAAGGCTTGTTAGCTTCCGGTCGACATGAGGAAACGCTGGGGTCGTCGTGGACTTACATTGTCTCTTAGCCATATTTGGGCTCGTTGAGGGCGCGGCTAGACCGGTAGCCGCCAAGGCGGATGCCAAAAACAGAGATGCCTTCATCTTGAATGAGAGAAGGGGTTATTCCAAAGAGAAGACAAGACAGTTCACGGGATCTGGCCCTTGTGAGAATCAGGAGGAACACTGAGCCTGTGCCTGCTGCAAGGGGAATGTGAAAAGGGAGGCGGCGGGCATGTCGTGATCTTTATACTCAACACCATCCCCATCCAAGAACACAATGTGGCCGTCCGTCGAGGAACATTGAAGAGGGGAACAAAGATCCCTTCCACAACGCGGCCCTCTATGGACCCAACCAGCCACCCAATCTGCTTACTCCCTGCTCCTCCCTCCCCGATGTATCGCCAGCTAAGATTTTTGTCTCAATTCTGCCACAACGATGGAGGGCGCGGCCAGGATCGACTGGGTAAGGCTTGTGGACATCGGGTCAGGAACACGGCAACTAACAGCCAAGGAATGCGGAGACTAATTTTAGTTTGGCTAAGCGCAAAGGACCGAGCACCAGATTTTCAATAGAGCTATGTAACTATTGGAGAGGAAGTGGGTGCAGGACAAGAGGCACACCTCTACACTAGGGGGTTGTCGGAATAGATGTGCTTCCCGTGTATCATCTCCCGAACCTCAGCCTGGGCGAGAACACCACCGCCCATTTTGTGCCCGTTCCCTGATGATCATGGAGGGGATCATCCTCTGACTTTCCCTACAGGGACTTGGAGGCACGGCGGTCTGGTGGTTAGCACAGCCGCCAAGTGATATAGCTTCTGTGGACTACCTATGTACGCTGGGAATGAAAGGAGACCAAGGAGAGGAGGCCGCTAGAGGAGAGTGGACTGAAAAGGTTGTAAGATGTGATAGAGATCTGTGTGATGCAGAGAGCAGTGGACGAGTTTTGTTCAAGTGATCATCCTGATACTCGTTTCGAAGGTTCCCCTGCTGTTCTAAACTGTACATTAGGCCGGGACTATCCAAGAGAGTCCAAGACGGTAGTGTAGTGCAGTGTGCTGTACCGAGATCGCAGCCACGTGCATGGTGAGGGATCAACCTTGACCAGATCGGGCCGTATAAGTGCAGGGCTCGGCTACCGTGTCAGGGTAGTCTGAGTGGTATTCGTGCTGGAGACTTTGAGAAGTGTACGTAATGTGGTAGCGTCCGCGGATCTGAGTATGCGGCGTGATCAAGATGACGGTTGAGCAGCCCCAGATTCTGCACAAGGTGTGGTCGTTTTCTCGGCGCAGTGTACTGTTTGGGAATACTTGGTGAAGAGGGAAAACGCGGAGGAGAGAACGACGCTTCGGCACTTGACCGGCCAAGATTGAGAAAAGTGAAGTGTGAAAGGGAAAGGACGTGAATGACAACCGCCGTTGACGGATACCACCTCACTCGAGAGTCCAGCATCCAGACAAGGTAACCCCATCCCGTGGGCGATCGGGAGATGGGAAAGAACGATGCAAGATGCAACAAGAGAAAAGATGACCAACCAGTCGAGTCATTTTTATTGGAAGAGGAACAACCTCCGGCACCTCAATGCCCAACAAGACGCTGTGTAAGCGGAAAGTGCTCCTTCCTTATCAGGTCATCACTTCGCCGCTTAGATGTTGATGTTGGTGCAGAAGAAGGGCAACGACTTCCGTTCAACAAACTTTCAAGCCTCCGCGAACACTGCAACTGCAACGAACGCCCCGCAAACCACGACTGATCATTGGTGCCCAAACGAAACCCTGACGGAGGGATGATATCTGGTCAACTAAGGTAAGTAAGCCGCCGAAGAAGGCAGAGAGTTCAAAGAAGACTGGATGCTCTATAACAAATGTAATAAGGTATGTGCCGTCACGGTTAGGTTCCATGTTATTATGTGCAGATGACTGACGCGAAAGAGAAGGAAGGACAGACGGCACTTTCATCTCACGCCAAGCACCGTTGTTTCTAGTTAGCGAGAGTGCTAAGATATCCATCCAACCAGACTAGTACTTTCTCTACACTACACCGAAGGTCAGCCGACGAGAATGGATCCTGGGACCCATCCAGCAGGCTACCAGGGGCAGAACAAGCAAACACAAGGAGAGGGATAGTGGTCTGAGGAACCTCTAAAATCCCCAACGACCGTCAAATTCCCAACAACGACCTTCACCACCTCCACAAGTCCGTCGAACCCCTTCAGGGCTCATGGTGGATATTCTCGCTCATATGAACATCGGGTGCGCCATCGCCGCCTCCATCATCTATCTGCCTTGTTCATACAGAAGCTTGCGGTCCTACACCCTCTTCATCATTCAGCTTCGACATCGCTTAGCCAACCCGCTCCCACACCACACTATCTCAGGCCTCATTGACGTATACCTCCCCTCCTCGTGCCGGGCAGGAGTTTGGTCCGCACCCAGTCGAGCCTGCAGCGCACTACATCACCACCGAGGACAACCACCCCCAAGACTTCAAGCGAAGAATTAGGCGAGCTTAAAGTCAAGAGCAACTGCGCCATTGTGCTGCTGCCCAACTCAAGGCTTCTCTGGTTCAAGAGGTTCTTCCGTACGCAAGTGTCACGGCGGCGCGTCCCCCGCCCCCTGCTGCTGTCCACCCACTGCCGCCGTCAAGTCAAGGCCGCCGTTACCGACCAGTAAATCCCTTGCCCTGTTGCCCCAGGCCCAATCATATCCCTTGCTTTTATCGCCGTTATGTATTTCTCCGCATAAGGGGATCTCTGCTGTACATAACTCCGCTCAACAGATGCCAGATGCATGGAATGGCTAAAAAGGGGCATTCCTCCGGTGAGGAACCTCCTCCGGATCGCAACGTTGGCCAAGCATTTAGCTTGCTGCTTATGGCTACCAGAGAACGACATTGACACAAGAGACCTATTCTCAAGCGGGGAGCATCTCAATTGATATCTCCCTCTGCCCTTCTCTCGATTTTCAGTGGAAAAAAAAGAAAGAAAAAAAACACGCAATTTCATCGGAAGAGCTGGCAACCTTCACAGTGGTTAGTGCTGCTACAGTGGTGGAAACATAATTACATACAAGCTTGGTTGTCGAAGGAAAACCAGGTGCTTGTCGGACAACACTTGTGCTCATTTTCCTGTTCTGGACACCGTCAGTCATATGTTTGTGTTCACGATGCACAGCAGATGGGCAAGCGAACGGGTGGTGGAACGTGGCGGCAAGGTCCGACTCGCCGGACTCCACGCATTTGCTATGTATGGCAATCCGGCCCCGGTTAGTTATGCCTTGTGTCTTATTATGCCGTACAGCCTATTCCGTCGCCATGTCTATCCTCGCTTGCTATACGAAATCCTCCTGCCTTTCTGGGGGGTTCCGGGTAGAAGAACTTGTTCGTTTAGCACTTGGCTTCAACTCTGTCGATAAGAGATCATGGAATGTCCCATGGTCTTATTCGTGGAACCTTGTCGATAACCCACCTGGCCTCTCTTTTAGTAAGGTGGAAAGGATGGAAACACGGTACCGAGAGCGGTCAAGGTATGGCCAAGGCGGCTTGAAATGGAGGCATGTGAACGCCGTCTATAAACTGCTCTTGCGATTTGAACAGACTCCCTTCCAACGGGTCGCTGTTCTTGAGCTTCCTTTCCTTTCGGGACGCCTTCAAGTTGACGAGTATTCCAAGTTCCGCAAGGGCATTTGTTGAGATGGCTGTCCGATCGAACTTTGTGTGGCTCACTCTCGCCTTGAGCCTTTCCGACCTTAGCTGTAATGCAAGTCCAGTGCGACAAAGGGCGGCCGTCCCAGATGGCTTCTATGCGGCTCCTTACTACCCAACGCCATACGGTGGCTGGGAAGATTCATGGAAAGATAGCTATGCAAAGGCGCAGGCACTGGTGGGCAAGATGACACTAGCGGAGAAGACGAACATCACGGGTGGAAGCGGTATGTTTATGGGTAAGTCCTCAGTCCAGCATACGAGTGTCGAACTGAGTTTGAGCTGACTGTAATATAGGGTAAGTAAATTCATCAAGACGGTTACCGAATTACTCGAGCACTTCTAACCAACGCACCAGCCCTTGTGTAGGAAACAGCGGTAGTGCATACCGAGTCGGCTTTCCTCAGCTTTGTTTGCAGGATGGTGCTCTCGGTGTGGGCAACACGGATCATAATACGGCATTCCCAGCTGGTATCACCACGGGAGCGACGTTTGACAAGGACCTTATCTATGCTCGCGCAGTGGCTATTGGCAAAGAATTTCGCGGCAAAGGAGCCCACGTTTTCCTTGGTCCCTCGGTAGGTCCCCTAGGTCGCAAGCCACTCGGTGGCCGCAACTGGGAAGGCTTCGGTGCCGATCCCGTTCTCCAAGGTATTGCCGGTGCCTTGACTATCAAGGGTGTCCAGGAACAGGGTGTTATTGCTACCATCAAGCATTTCATTGGAAATGAGCAGGAGATGTATCGCATGTACAATCCGTTTCAAGCAGGATATAGTTCGAATATTGGTAAGTGATGTGCGATGGACCGTCAAGTGTACAGTCGGATGTTGACCCAATAATTGTAGATGATCGCACCCTGCACGAGCTTTACGCAAGTTGCCCACCGAACATTCCCGGGATTCGCAAAGACTAACATAGCGCTCCTAGTTATGGCCATTTGCTGATGGTGTCCACGCCGGCGTTGGCGCGGCCATGACATCTTACAACGCCGTCAACGGCTCGGCTGCTTCTCAAAACGCCTACCTTATCAACAACTTGCTCAAGGATGAGCTTGGGTTCCAGGGTTTTGTCATGTCGGATTGGCTTTCTCACATTTCCGGAGTCGCATCAGCACTGGCCGGCCTTGACATGAGCATGCCTGGAGACACCCAAATACCTCTATTTGGTGGCAGCCTCTGGAAGTTCCATCTCACAGAGGCGGCGTTGAACGGCTCAGTGCCAGTGGACAGGCTTAACGACATGGCGACCAGGATTGTGGCCCCTTGGTATCAGTTCGGCCAAGACAAGAACTTCCCAGCTGTTAACTTTCACTCATACGTATCGAGTGAAAAGGGACTTCTATATCCAGGTGCTGTTCCGGTCTCGCCCATTGGTAAGGTTAACTGGTTTGTGGATGTTCAAGCGGATCACGGCTCGGTCGCACGCCAGGTCGCCCAAGATGCCATTACTCTTCTGAAGAACGACGATAATTTCCTGCCCCTTTCTACCAAGTCATCCCTCGGGATCTTCGGCTCTGATGCTCGGGTTGACCCTGCTGGCCCCAACGCTTGCGGAAGCCGCGCCTGCAACAAGGGCACTCTGGGAATGGGCTGGGGCTCCGGCGTTGCGAACTACCCCTATTTTGATGACCCCATCACTGCCATCAAGAAGCGGGTCGAAAATGTCAAGCTCTACGACAGCGATGACTTCCCCCACACACTCACTCCTTCGCCCACTGATGACGACATTGCAATTGTCTTTATCAACTCCGCCGCGGGCGAGAACTCGCTCACCGTTGAAGGCAACCATGGTGATCGCGACAACGACAAGTTCTCGGCTTGGCACAATGGAGATAAGCTCGTCCAGAAGGCTGCGGAGAACTACAAAAACGTCATAGTCGTTGTCCACACAGTCGGCCCCCTCATACTCGAGCCCTGGATTGACCTGCCCTCCGTCAAGGCGGTCCTCTTCGCCCACCTTCCCGGCCAAGAAGCCGGCGAATCGCTCGCCAACGTTCTCTTCGGCGACGTCTCACCCTCCGGCCACCTCCCCTACTCCATCACCAAGAAGGAGAACGACCTCCCTGACAGTGTAACCAAGCTCGTCAAGGAAATCATCGGCCAGCCCCAAGATACCTACAGCGAAGGCCTCTACATCGATTACCGCTGGCTCAACAAGCAAGGCATCAAGCCCCGCTATGCCTTCGGCCACGGTCTGAGTTACACCACCTTCAACTACACCGACGCCCACATCAAGATCGTCAACGCCCTCTCCTCCGCCCTGCCGCCCGCTCGCCAGCCCAAGCCCTCCGTCGCCATCCTCTCCACCGAGATACCGCCCGCTTCCGAAGCCTACGAGCCCGCCGACTTCTCCAAGGTCTGGCGCTACATCTACTCCTGGCTATCCAAGTCCGACGCCGACAAGGCCTATGCCGTCGGTACCTCTTCTTCTTCTAAGTCCGGTTCCCAAATTTACCCCTACCCCGAGGGCTACTCGACCGTGCAAAAGCCTGGTGTCCCTGCCGGCGGCGGACAGGGTGGTAACCCGGCCCTTTTTGACACCATCCTCGAGCTGGATGTGACTGTGCAAAACACTGGTTCTCGACACAAGGGTAAAGCCTCTGTGCAGGCGTATGTCCAGTTTCCCACGGACAGCGAGTACGACACGCCTATTATCCAGTTGCGTGACTTTGCCAAGACGAAGGAGTTGGGCACCGGAGAGAGCGAGACGGTTACGTTAAGGCTGAGGAGGAAGGATTTGAGCGTGTGGGATACGCAGAAGCAGAATTGGGTGGCTCCTGGTGCCTTGGGGGCTAATGGGAAGAGTAAGCGGTACATTGTGTGGTTGGGTGAGGGGAGTGATAAGCTTTTCACTAGGTGTTTTAGCGATACTTTGGTTTGTGAAAGGGGGGTTGAGCCACCTGTTTGAGAGGAGAGGGTTGTTTAACAACCCCTCAAGCCGGAGAGTAGACTCCTTGACGCGATTAATTCAATTCAACGATCATAGTCCGCAATATACCCTTAAGTTGCCGACTGAGACAATGCCATGCCGATACAGTAGGAGAGCTTCCATAGCAAGAAGGGTATAAGGAGCCGTGAAATCATAGCAGAACAAGCCATGATGCAAAGTAGCCCAGGGGATAAAAGCATTGAGTTCATCTCTCCGTCGACATCCCAAACCGAGTCCATCTCTCCGTCGACATCCCCAACCGACATTTAAGTCTGAACAACAGTATGTCTGTAATATGCAACGTTGTGATCCAGCAATCATATAACCAAACTTCTCGACCTTCTCATCAATTAGTTACCTTCCCAGAAAGCCTGACTCTACCACATCAGTAGAGACAAGATTATGGGGGTATAAGGGATGGATGAATGAAGGACAGGGCAAGGAGATTAAGAAGAAGAAGGGAAAGCCTTTCGGTTGCAAGGTGTGTCTGTTGAAATTCAAATGAGGTAAGGAAAAATTGAAAATAGAGAAACCCGATATACTGAAGGAAGGATCATTTCATACTCGCCACTCTTCTTCCTTCTTCTTCTCCTTCTTCTTCTTCTTGAGCTAGTCATATCCTTTCCCCTACAGTCAAGCAGTCTTGTTTCCTGTTACTCCTTCGTTTTCTCGTATCCTCATAACCATCATCTCTTGACTTGCTTTTATTCACTCTCCTCACATTTCCAGGAGAACGAAGCTTACTTTCCAGGCTTTGTGCAGACCCTTGGCTTCTTGGACGTTGAGAAGCCGTGCAACCAAACAATCCAAACCCCATAGTCAAGGCGGCCGCAACATTGCGATTGCTATGACTAACATGTTGACGGGTATAGACGTGTGCCGTGTTGGGCACATTTGTGTATAGTACGCTACGCGTGCCACTTTGTATGATATTTCTCCTCGTCTATACTTTGGCTAGGTCTATTCTATGTTCCATCACCTAATTGATGCGCATATTGAGTTCTTCACAGTAGATAAGAGCGAGTGATTACCTCGAACATACACCGATACTAGATTTCCTTTTTTTTTTCCAGTCTGTTTTTCTACACTTGAGCACCTTGACGGCCACCACCAGGGCTGACTGAGTGAGTGAGTATGCTCATGACCTAGCATCCAATCCGTCTCCTACCATAGGTATTTCGTTTCTCGTCACACCCGAGATATCTCCTCCATTCAGACTCCAACTCCAACGCCTTCTCCGCATTCTCCTCATTATCTACCATAGATCCCTGGATTCTCCAACTCCAATCCAAGTCAATCTCCTCTCACCCGAATGTAACCGAACCCCAACCAACACTGTCGTCAGTTAGCCAGCCCCTTTGATGGAACCGTGAAAACAAAAGGTCAGATGAGCCCATGATGCATTGTGGCGTCCACACATTTTCTTTTCGCTTTTTTTTTCGCTTCTCTCTCGCTTGTCTGTCACGTGTCACTTCGCTCCGTTACGAACGGCATGCAGATATGCAGACGGAGGGAGCACGCAGAGATGCACAAGGAAAGAACCAACAACGGAAAACCCTTTTTTTTTCTTTTGTTTTGACAAAAGTCTGGAACGCTCAACTTCTGATGCAAATCTAGAAGCTTTGCAACCTTCTCGGATCTTGGTACATGTGTGGAGGGCAATGACAACAGCCTCTTTGTTTCTTCCTTATCCTTGTCTGTTGCCTATGTCTCACTTGAGCAGCAAAAAACAAAAAACGCTCGCGAACTGCGGATTATATATACAAGCCGGTGCTAAGCTAGTTGATGCTATTATAACTGTTGTAAAAGGCAGGGTGTGATGGATTTTCAACATAGAAGATGAGTGTGGACGCGAAAAGGTAATGATTACCATTATCAATACACATCTATTTTGGGTGATGCTTGATGTGTAATTTGTGAAGTAAAACTGTCTTGGTCATGCTGTTAAACCTTTGCGTGCAGAGTTGTAGATGAATTGATCGCGCCTTTCGTTCTGGTCTAATGAGAGTTGAGATAGGTGGTAGGTATTGGCAAAAGCGAAATATTCTAAGATAACCCGGCAACGCTTCGATGGTTTGAAGACTCTTGATGTTGTTGTTGTTGTTGTTGTTATTGTTGTTGTTGTTGTTGTTGTTGTTATTGTTGTTGTTGTTGTTGTTGTTGTTGTTGTTGTTGTTGTTGTTGTTGTTGTTGTTGTTGTTGTTGTTGTTGTTGTTGTTGTTGTTGTTGTTGTTGCTGTTGTCGTTGTTGTTGTTGGATCTCCTATAGTTGATATTCCAGCCTGGCATGTCATGTTGTTACTTCGCGGATTGGCTTCTAGCAACAACAATAATGAAGAATGAAATATAAGTCGAGTCCTTGTATCAGATCAAGACTCGTCGTCAAACCAGAGCTCTAGTACATACCGCGGAACACATTCCGTAGATGATCATCGGTTGCCGTCGATGATCCTTCGCGACACCGAATGGATCGTCGGTCGTATACTGTGCAGGTGATATTTCATCTCGATGTCTTGTCACTCTCTATGTAATGTCAAGGCTGTAGTATATCGTCTCGTTTCGCCGGTTGGTCATGAAGATAAAGACCTTCCGTGATATTTTCGCGACATTTTCACTTCTGGTAGTTTAGCCTGCAGCTGTTTAGTCTTTTTCATTCTTCCGATTTGTTTGTTTGTTCGTTCGTTGTTAGGCCAAGATTCTCAGGGTCTATAGTCCCGAACTCCCTGCCACTCCTGCTGACCTTTCCTGTGGTACAGTACTGTATCACCAATCTATCTAATTCTAAGGGATCCCGATGATGTAAGTTACCTTCCTTCACTCGTTTGTTCGCTCTCGACTTGAGCGAGTCCGTTAAATGACTTGCGAAGTAGTTACTGCGTATCTCCAAGTCGATAGTAATCTCTCCAACGGGTAGTGTACAATATAATGTACAAACTTTCTACCCGGTGCCCCTCTCACAAACAATGCCACTCTTGGCAATAGGCAAATGGTGTAAGCCAAGCTAAGCTATCCGTGGCTGTCGGTCATTCAGTCATATTGTCCGTTAGTCAATGTCCTTCAAAGTGGATTCTCGTCAGTTTCGGTCGAGCTTCGATCGAACCCAACGCAGGCGGACCCAGTCTGGATCGCACACCGTATCGATGTAAAGCACAACACTGATGCCAACCGGCGTTCTTTGCACCACCTGCTAACAGAGGAGAAGACCATGCGGAAAGTGCCCCGTAGGTATTCCCCGTATCACTCGTGTCTCGTGATCCTATCCGTACTCTCATTTTGTGGGCGTCCGGTATATACAGATCCTAGGGACGGGGCCCTGGGTAGCTAGTTTTGGTCCAGGTCCGGCCAGGCCCATCATCAGGGCCGGGAAGGGACAGGTTATACGGAGCTGAAAATGGGTTGTTCATGTTATGTCATGAGAAGCAAGGAGGAGGGATGAACCTGACTCGCCTGTTCTGTTCCTGGAGCGTCTGACTCTGGGGAGGGAGTACAATTTGAGACGGAGATGACGCCGAACGGAGACGGTGTGAATGTCTGGGTTGGATGACGGCGCAGACAGAGAGGACCAGGGCCTGACACAGGGTCAGCCGGTCGCCGGTGAGCTGTGGGCGGACTGGACGGCTGGAGGCGGGGAGGCTGGAACTGGGGATTGCTACCGAGGCTGCCAAGCTGGAGATTTGATTGGGGAAGCTTGAGGAAAACGGTGAAGAAGAAGAAGACCACCGAAGAAAGTGGGCTTGAGGCTCTGAACGGTGCAGTGATGGTGATAAAGAATGATCTGTTGGTGTTTGGCACTGTGGCATCAGCGTCTGCGGGGCAGATCCAGAAGCAGCAGAATGGAAAGCTTGGCTTTTGCGGAGGATCGTGGGGTTGGCCGCCACTGGAAGCGGGGGAGGCAGGGAGGAGAAGAAAAAGATCGGTGATCGTTTTTTTTTTCTCTCCAATTTCTTGCATCCCTACAGCTTTTTTTTTTTTTAGCTTAATTTCCTTGTCGTTCGCTTGCCCGTGGATAATGGCACTTGCTTGCAAAAGCCCTTGGCTACCGACTGGTACATCCAGGCGAGCCGGGCTTCACCGCTCTTGGCATCAATGGGGAAGTCCCTTGAAGAAAAAGATTGAAGAAATGCGTGGTCGTGATGTTCGCTCATTTATCGATCGTGGGTTCTGGCCATAATCTCGTGAATGATGACCATTCCACACAGTTAATGCCTTGCTTCGAACTTGACTGGATCAAAACTGACCCCTTCTTCAATGTACCGGATTTCTTTGTTTTTGTTTACTTTGTGATAACGAGACTCAGGGGTGACAAGAGCTAGAGCACAAAACAAAACAGAGCTCAAAGACATAAAAAGAGCGACTCCAGAAAACCACATCATCAACCAGCAACCGTTTCAGATATCCCAAATCCACAATGTTCAGGAGATGTGGGTAAGCATTTCCGAGTTGTGGATTGGTTGATTGCTGCCCAGTGTCGTGCTGTAAAAAGTGGCTTTCGGAAAACGGGGTCCGCCGCCGCCGCTAAAGACGGAAGGTAACAGTGGCGATGACAGTGAAGACGGCGATGCATACACTTTCACCGTTTCTCGTTAGGCTCGCCCCTAAGCAACTGACTCAAAGCCGAAGCTAATCCCAGTTTGTGATGATGATCGTCGGGATCTGTGGCTCACTGGTTGCTGTCTCTCCTTTCGCTGTCCCGATGATGATGATAAGGCTGCTGTCGTGGTGGTCGACCATCACGAAACTTGAAATGAAGTGGATGAGCCCCAGATGTGTCAAGTTGGCGACGCTTCACATAATCATATGAGGTGCTGGATTCCCCAGGTTTCGCTTCACTTCTGATCTTAGCGTCGGATCGTTGTCTCGAGCTTCGTGCAGCGGTATTGCATATTAACATGGTCGTTGTCGTCGTTCGTGATATTTTTGTTATTCCCGATAAGTGGCTGAGGTCTGGACTGAAATCCCAAGAAGGCTTTTGCTCGTATGTCCTTCGTAGTTTCGGCAATATGTCATCCGTACCACCTATAAAACAGTGTGCGTTACGTGCCCTCAGTCAATCAGAACACCGCCCCGGCCGGACCCCAGAAGCCGCTGCGGAGAAGTCCCGCTCCGGCCTAGGGGAACCACACACAAAAGCGGCATCGCATCGCGCTTCGCTGCTTCGGTCAAACGGCCGACCTGTCACTGGCCCATTGTTCGCTTGCCCATAGAGGAGAACCAGTTTTGGTTGACCATGGCGAATGCCATCATTGGTGCCCTACCTCTCAAACAACTGCTGCCACCGTTTACTTTGAGGTACAGTACAAGGATTTGGGGTCGAAGAGGAGAGGGTTATGTGTGTAGACTGTAGAGAAACGGAACGGTGACAATGTCTCCCCAGTTTTTTTCTGCCAGAATACAAACAGTACTTCGGCTTCGGGTACCTCGCTGCCCTCGCATTACATGCAAGGCATCAAAGCCAAAGAAACCTCAAAGCAAAAAAAAAGGGGCTGGCTGGCGGATGGAGTGGGAGTTTTTCTTGATGCCCATAATGTCCGTCTGGAAGATATCGAAGGACTTCATTGAACTTCCTAAAAAGTCCGTCTGACCCTTGACAGGAGAAACGAAATCCGAAGCTTGTGATCCAAAGCCACAAAGCATTGACATGTGCAGAGGACCAGTAACGGAGTTATCACCCCAAAGGTCCAGACTGAGGTCAAGGGTTTGTGGTATCGTACCTTGCTGCCTTCCCTCTTCTGTCACAGATTTTCTTCAACGATGGCCAGCCTGGGGTAGCGATGGGGCATCATGGGTGGGTTCGTGGGTTGCAAGGTTTGTTCCAAACTGTTAAGAAAAAGGTGGGCAGTTGGGCACATGACCGTAACAATTTCCACCGCTGGCAACATTTCGCAAACCGCACGATGGCCTAGGGTGTGTCGACTTTTTGCTCAAGCAATCCCTGACTCGTGGACTCGACCGTACCTTTCGGCTTGCTACTTTGCACGTGTGAGCAGCAAATCTAAGCCCGTTTTGGCTGCCATAACATCCACACAAAGTGTCGTGATTGGCTCCTCCACACTCATCTTTCCTCGATCATCTTGGAAAAAAGTCGACCAAGAAGACGCCATTTCATTATTCTCTCGCTGATTGACTCAAGTCTCGAGCAAACTTACGTGCCTGTGGAGGAGTCCATGTAGTCAAGGCTTTGTGTATGGAGTTGGAAGAAGCGGAGAGGTCAGAAAATAATTTCTGGACTGGAGAAAGTTGGGTTCGATCAAGTACGCAGGCTCCAAGATCTCACCGTTTCGAGGCATGGCCAGCGAGGGGTTACCCAATCAAGACCAGGCTCGGAGCAATGGGCGGATCGATTGAAGATTCATTCCACTTTGCACCAGCCCCAGACGGGGTTGAAGGAGGACCATGACGATTGGCGAGGGGCTCGACGAGGGTTGGAAGAGGGAGAGGACGATGAGACGGGTATGGTGGGCTTTTGTACTGTACCTTAAGCTCCGTCGTGATAGACATGTGAGCCACTCCCGTTCCTGTACGCTGCTGTAGCGTAGCTCTGGGCGTTTGCCGGGATACCTATTGGTGGGGCAACCATTTTGCCTTGGGATACGATCTTGGTTTTTACGTGTCGAATACCTCCAAATAATTATCGTTTTCCCTCCATTTTTTTCGAGTTTTTCTAAGGTCAGCGTCGGCATCTCTATTTCTGAAAGGCGGTGTTTCTGTCTCTGTTGCGGAAGTGTTAGCTTAGCAAATGGACAGCGGTTCCCGTTGTCACGACTCGTCACGCTTCTTGTTAAGTGGCTGGGTTTGACCATCGAGCCTCATCCAGCTTTCCAGAAAGCAGCTCCCAATACCCGGATCCATACCTCGATGGATTGACATGGGGGCCCATTCTTGGGTCTCTAGTGTCTCCTCCAATGCCCCATACGTACGAGGATATGGGACCTTAACTGTGCGAGATGCGCATGTACCAAGTACACCGTCAGCTCAAGGGAACAATATAAAACATCCTCTCCCCCCACCTCCTAATCCAGGTGCTCTTGGATGAATTCGTCCAGGTGAACGTCGACGTGGATCTAGGTAAATAGACAGCAAACTTAAAGTAACGACTTACCAACATCCATCGAGACATAACCTAGTCGGAAACCGAACCCTATCACCGTCATCACTGTTACCAGCAACCTCAACACACACCACGGCTTCCGGAGTTGTCATAATCTCACCAACGAATAACTCACCCTTTTTGTTAGCTCTGTCTTGATACTTGAACGTCCGAAGCATCAAACTCACCCTCTCCAAAATGTCTGATTCCGGGGAAGGATCACAGTGCACTCCCTCGCCGAGCCCATCGACGGAAAACGAGTCAACAGGACCAGTATGTACGTCGCCATGTGAAGAGAAACCGAGTTCCCTCGCAAGGATCGAAGCCGCGACCCCTTCCAAGAAGCGACCATCAAAAGCCATTCCCGCAGATAGCCAGAACCCCAGGCCAGCAAAAAGACGTGCAGCTCGGGCCTGTTTGACATGTCGGAACCGTAAAGTACGCTGCAACGTTGTCGAGGGCGGTCTGCCTTGTAACAACTGCAAGTGGGACCGGGTCGAATGTGTGGTTATGGAGAGTCGGCGTCGCAAGTGAGTGCCTCGGCATCCATGCCTCCCCAATCTTCAGGACCAAGTAACCCGAGCAGTGGCTAACGCCATTGCCTTTTCCCTCTGTGTAGGAAGAACATGTTGGCCGGACAAGCAGTTCCCAATGGAGTTGCGGCTGTCAGCGGTGAATTTGGCGCCAGGACACTCGGTCATCAACCGATCCTCTCTAGTCAGCAGCTTGCTGCCCATGCCAATGCCTCGCTCATGGCTGGTTTCCAGATGATGAATGGAGCTGGACTCCCTCTTTCCATGGGAAATGCCCTGATGCAGCCTCTTTGTAAGCCATCAGTCTATCCCAAATATTGCGGTTGTGAAGAAGCCTTGTCTGACTGAATTACGTCGTAACAGACGCCCAAGCGACACAAACTCAAGGACTTTGGAATAACCCAAGTATCCCCGAAACTAGCGCGCGTCTTTGGCAAAACCCACAGCTGATGACGACCATGCCCGGAAACCTCACCAACCCTTCCGCGACGGTTGTGAACCCACGACCAACACCTATCTCGGTTTCGACTCCCCCATCACAACCTTTCCTGCAACCAAACCTCCAACCAAAACCCAACCGGACCGTCTCCCCGAATCTTCCGAATTTCTTCAAGCCACTCCCGCCCAAGGACGCAGTCGATGTGCAATACATGATGGCCAAGGGGGCCTTTACGATTCCGTCGCCTGAGGTGCAAAATGCCATGCTCAAGGCTTATATCGAATATGTTCATCCGTACATGCCACTCCTCGAACTGCGTCAGTTCCTTACCGCCATTCACTCCAACGGGCAATCGGGCCAAATAAGCCTGGTCCTCTACCAAGCCGTTATGTTTGCGGGGTCCAACTTTGTGGACCAGAAGTATTTGGACGCGGCCGGGCTAGGGAGCCGTAGGAACGCTCGGAAGGAGCTGTTCATGAGAACTCGGGTTCTGTATGATTGCGATGTCGAAAAGGACCGTCTCGATCTGGTCCAGGCTCTTCTTCTCATGACCTACTGGTACGAAACACCAGAGGATCAAAAAGATACCTGGCACTGGATCGGAGTTGCGATTTCATTGGGGCTCACCATTGGCATCCACCGCAATCCGGCGAACTTGGCCATGCCGCCTGCGCAAAAGAAACTGTGGAAACGGATCTGGTGGTGCTGCTTCATGCGCGACCGTCTTATTGCGCTAGGAATGCGCCGACCGACCCGGATCAAGGACGAAGACTTTGACGTGCCCATGCTGGAGGAATCTGATTTTGAGATTGTGGAGCTTCCGGCCGATAACCAACTGCTTGGCCCCAACTGCGCTGTTGTCAGAAATGTCGCCACACAGCGACAGCTTGCCCGGTTATGTATCCAGAAAGCGCGCATTTGCGTTGCTATCAGCCACATGATTAAGACCCAGTACACGGTTCTCAATCACGATGGTGGTCTCCCAGCCGGTCAAACAACGTCCGGCACCACCATGCTGTTCCCGAACAAAAGCCTGAACAACATCCAGGAAGTCCAGAAGGTTGATCAGATGTTGGAGAGCTGGCGGTTACAGTTGCCTGAGGACTGCCAATACAGACCACTCCTGACTGAGGCCCTCGCGGAGGAGGACCAGCCAGTGGCTGTTCACCGTACTCTCCTCCACATGGTCTACCACACGACTGTCTCAGCGCTGCACAGGCCGCACTACTTGACCATGGAGCAGGCCGCTACTCAACCCGCTCAGACTAGCTTGATTGCCCAGCAGGCTCGGAGCAAAGTGCACCACGCGGCCACCATGGTGACGAGAATGGCAGAAGATCTTTTGCGCCATGGACTGGCTAAATATCTGCCCACCACAGCTGTCACGGTAACACTGCCAGCCATGACAGTTCACCTGCTCCATAGCCGGTCTCCGGATCCTGAGCTCAGTCAACAAGCACGCCGCGACTTTGAGGTGTGCGCGAAGCTGCTTCTCCAGCTACGCGGCATGTACGCAGCGGCCGAGTTTGCACACGGGTTCTTGATGGGAGTAGAGGCTCGTCACAAGGCCACCGCTGTCAGCCCTCAGGGTCCTCAGGCAGCTCCGGTAAGCCTTGGACATCAGGTTCACCTGGGACCACAGAAGGAGCCAACGCCACCACCTGAGACCAGCTCATTTTCCCCATCGACCAACACCACCTTCTATCGTCCTCCCCAAGCAGATGCCATGGTATCGGGGGTAGGGCATGGACCAGGTGCTTTGGTCCTGGTGAACGTGGACAGTGGCGGCAGCACGCCGCCGCAAACTGACGTTGAGGACATGTCATCGGCAGGCTTGACCCCTCCGGTAGATACGACCGCGTATGAGGAGGTTCAGACCACCGCCATGGAGTGTGACACCAACGGCGCCATGGCCAATTATTTCGACGATGCTTTTGGTAGCATTCTCGATCCTGAAGCCGTAGAAGGCGATTTCATGGAAGCGTTTACCATGAGCCACGAGAACGACGACGAGTGGATGTTTGATGGACCGTGCAACAGCAATGCTGTCCCCGCGGCTGTCTGCTAAGGGATTTTCTTTCTTTCTTTCTTTTCTTGTTTTTGCTCATTCTTTCGCATTGGATGGGGCGTCTGACCGGAGGAACTGGCAATGGCGTTCGGCTTCTAGTGCTTTCTTTTTGTCTTTGGAGATTTCTGCTCCGTTGATGGCAAACGGGTGATCATGATGGGTACTTGATGACACTGGGCGCTGCGTACAGAAAACCGGTACAATGGCGTTAAAAGGAGAAGATGAGGATTTGATTTGTGATTTTTTTTTGGTATTGAAAATATTGGGACAAGGACAACGACACGGGGTATCAGTACAGGCTTTGTTGGAGGGCTTAGGGCAATGAGAGCCGGAAAGATGTCAAAATGAGCAATCGAACACAGCTTCGACCATGGTAATTCCAGGACTTTGTTAAACAGAGAGAGAGATGAAGGGAGATGATATTGTTTAGTCACGAAACCGGGATTTCTCCAACACTGCAGTGGCTTTGACTCGTGCGGGGGAGGAGGAGATCATCGATGCAGGGTGATGATATGTGCCAAAGTTATTTATGGTAAGAGCGATGAACACGATGTGATCGGATCTTGAGGATTTCTCTCCATTGGTGGTTGTTCTTGCAACTTTTGCCAAGTTGGTCAAGAGATAACGCGCGGCTGCCCTGGAGTGACCTGAGTTCTTTCTTTCTTTCTTTTTTTTTCCACAGTGAGGCCGGGTGAGATTGCCCTGGTTGGATGGGAAAGCCTAACTGCGTCCATCCCACGTCACCATCTGCAGCAAAGGTGCAGAAACAAGTCGACCAGTGAACAAGCTGCGCCTCAACCTGTATGGTCAAAGTCCGGACGGACACTGAGACCGGCCCTTACTGCAGCCTGAACAGTTGAGAATGAACCGAATCGGGGTTTCAACGAGGTGGAGTTGCATCACCCTTTACTGTGTAGTGTATGGTATGCTACTAGATTCCCAAGCCTTGGACACGCGCACAAGAGCCTCGCCAAGCGCCTATTGAGATCTTCAGCAGCGCGGCACTGCGACACTGCGGCTGTCTTAGTGATTTGTTGGCACAAGCGATGCGAACGGAAGTGAGGCATGAAGGCCGGCGTGGTCGGATCGGGATCGCATCGGCCGTGGTGGTCAGATTGCGGCCTCATCACAGCCAACATGTTGCCGGACGGCGATGCCTTGCTTTGGCGGTCCAGTCTTGTCCTGGCTTCAGGGCGGAGTGATGACAGCAGCGTACATTTCCCCACACACACCCGACACTCACAGGCGAGCCTGATCCAGGAACAGGTCGGGACTGGAGCCGTGGTCATCGTGAGTTAGTCCTGATTGGTGATAGTACAGTCCATTCTAATAACCATGTCCCCCCTGCTCGCTCCTGTTCTGCCCCTGTCCGACATTGGCCTGTCCCTGCTCCCCCGTTCATGGCATTCTGGAGTCCCGCGCGCAAAGCTGTACGGTTTCCACGTCGTCGACCATCCCAAGGGGGGTGATGGCGCGGGTATCCCCTCGGAGCCCTCATGGCGTGGTACCTGTTAAGGGCATCGCCGAGGTCACACTGACCGGAACCCAACAGCAGCCCCCCCGGGAGCAATCTTCTTTCACCTGTTGAGACGTTGGAACCGTACCCGCAACCGAGCCATCGCAACGGCAACGGGCAGCGGGCGAGCAACCGGCCGGGGCGGAAGACAGCCAGGAGTCCACTCAGGACAGCACACGACCATCAGACAGGGTGCAAATTGAAATGTCGGGCCCAAACAGAGTCAAGCGCATAGTACCAGAGGGCTGAAAGCGGCGAATCAAAAGCTGCAAATTCTCCCCATATGCCGTTGGATAATGTCTGGAACAGCATCGCTAAACCCAATCGGGCCCTAAGCGAAAGGAGTCCGGGCCTGGCAGTGGTGCGTGTGGGTCTGGGTCGGTCTTAGTCCAGGTCCCAAAAAAGTCCACACTTGTTCCATCTTGTTCATCTCATTGATGGCCCTCGACCGACCGTGATCCGCCTCATCCACTTGTTCTGACTTGCATCCAATTACTGCTCGGCTTTCTGCTGAATTCGAGCTGCCATTCGTTTGAATCTGGCCTGCTAGAACCTGCGCGCTGCCGCCATTCATTCCTTTTTTCCCTACGCTAGTTTCCATTCCCCTCCACGGACGACGGCTCCCGTCTTTCGTTGCTACCCTCTCTCGCGAGCCCCCTTTGCGCCGTCCTTTGTACATACAATTCGTTTGATCCAATCCCGGCGCCGGCTGTTCTGCATTGTTACGTACATGCGTTCCGTCTTTGTGCTACTCCTAGAGCCATCCACCTGATCGACCGCACTCTCGTTCTAGCGCAGTCCCTCCTGCGTCTTCTGCGTGTTCTCCTGCGTACCAGTAGCGTACCTCGGACCTCCATTCCCCGCATTGATTGCTGCTTCCGCCAGTTTGCGACAAGTCAAGTTGCTTGTTTGTGTCCTAGGTACCTGCCTACACACATCTACGGACCGTCGTATTACTGTCGATACTATCTCCAGTACCTCCTTCAGTACCTCCCTCAGTACCTCCCGTAATTTCAGATTTGCGACTGGTCGGGTACACTTGCTGTTTCATTCTGTGTGCAACCACCATTGTTCACGGCCACGGAAAGAGCTACCTACTACGACGCACCTTCCGTTGTCATCATATTCATAAGCTCAGGATCCGGCCGTACCTGCCTGATCTCCTGGCTTTCTAATTCTCACAACTGGCGACTGGCGACCGGTAATCGGCGACCGCCTGCCAGCCCTTTCAACTCCAATAACCTACCTCTAGTGCCTCTGCCTACGACATATCTCTACCACCCACCATAATCACCTTCGATCCCCGAGCTCTGCGACTATATCAAACCGCTTCTTCCTCCCCCGAATCGACTGCGGAAGACGACATTGCTCCAGGCGGTGTCCGACTCCCAACGAGACACTCCCCGATTCAACTTCGTTTAGACTATGGGAGCCGACGACAGCATCGTATCTGCGAGATCCCCAGGTTCATAGACGAATACGAAACCGCGCCGTTATGCTGCGCTCCAGCCGGACATACCACACGCCCATGAGAACAAGACCTACAACGAACACCGAATACCATGACCAGATCCCCCTCCTCCTCTCCCAATCTCTCCCACGCCCTCGCGGTCGTCACCCCGCGTAGCCGCCCCCCGCGATCCTCTACCGAATCGCCTCCCCGGCACTACCGCGAAAACGACGACCTCTTGTCCAACCTCACCCCGCGCACCGCACTCGATACCATACGGAACCCTACGGGGGAATTCAGGGCATGCATGGCTTCCGCCTCTCCAACTGAGCAGGCCTTTGCTCTCCGAGCCGCCATTGCTAGCAACAAGATTCAGGAATGGCTTGATGAGCTCTCATCGTGGCCCTGGCCGTCCGGCGCAAGCTCCGCTGGCTTTCAGGTGCCCGACTTGAAGAGAAGGAAGTTTGAATCCGCATCCCAGCTCTCCGACAAGCTGTACTGTGGCAGCCTGCCTGCTGCCGAAGTTGCCAAGTATGAGAAGCGCGTGGACGAGATATACAAGGACATGGAGGAGATCGATATCGAGGAAATCAAGAACCATGTCCTGCGCAACCATATCGTTCCGCTATCAGCCTTCGGTTCTCCTATCCTGGGCTCAAGCCGACCTCTCCCCAGCTATTCCCATATGGACGACCTTACAGCATTTCTTACGGCTACTATCATGCAAACTTTACCGAATTTGGCTCGTCTCAGCAGACTCCTAAACTCCTGGAGCATTCGATTACTTGTTTTGAAGAGGGTTCCCGCCTTCTTGGACACTCTCGCTGATGGAGAGATTGCCCTTCAATCTGGCCGGAATGTAGCTGGATTGGATTCCAATGCTCGCGCGATACCGAGTAGGCCGCCTTCGCCGCTGTCATGGGCCGAGTTCAACGTGATAAAGTCGGTACTGGAAAAGAAAGTCGCAAAGGCCGGCCGCGACCTGGATGTCATGCTCGACAGTCTAGAAGGATGGGAATACACGCTCCCTGACGAATGGCTGGACCGAGTAGAGTCTCTAGAGAAACAATATGGCGAGTGGGTTGCTGCCTGCGAGCACAAAATTAAACAAGCAGACTTGAAGATTGATGCGCCAACTAATAGCGACACTGCCAACAAGCTTGACTTGGATGAACGAAAACAACAACAGACGAACAAAGCGCCCACAAATGGCGCAGTTGCTTTGACCGTCCAAGACCAACAAAGCGATGACTTGACAGATAATAACAAGACCATGAACGTCGACGTTCCTCCCCTTATCAAAGTCCACGTTCCTTTGGAGGGAATCGACGAGAATGACGCTGAGAAAGGAGAAAATGACTCCTGGACGTTTGTGGATGAAACTGCAGCCCCAGAAACCAACGATGAGAGCCTAATCACAGAGGAGCGTCCCCTGGGCGGATTTGACGGATCTGATATTGATGGAGCTCCGGCAAGTGGGATGATGCCCTCTCCTAATATTGTTGCTAGTTCGAAGGGCTCGAGGCCTCATTCCTCCAGTCTGAGCTATGCGACATCCGATGGCGAATATTTCGAACTAGACCCCTTCGACTCAGATTTCGACTTCGATGATAACCTCGAGCATGATCTTCCTGGCTTTCCCCGCTCGAGGCGCGATAGCAGCTTCTCCACCACTTCAACCATTGTATTTGGAAATCGTGTACTCGAGCAGGAGACCCCGGATCGCTCTCGAAGACGGAGTAAGGATCTTGACGGCAGTCTTTCGCGGGATGTCAGCCCTCCAAGCTCTCCTCCACGCTTTAGCAGATCAAAGTCGAGGCTCAGGTCACTGTCGCGCGGGTTTAGCGACATGCCAACTGTGGCCGAGTTGCCAGACTTTGACGAGTCGAATTTTGAGTCATCGGCTATCAATGAGGACGGAAACCCATCCAAGTCTAATGCCGGAAATTCGGATGAAAAGCTGGACCTGCTCCAGCAGCAGATTAGTGAGATCTTGGAGTCTGTACCGGCTAAGATCCGCCTCACCTCTGAGCCCTCACCGATCAATTTGAATCCCCCCGATTTCACTGCCCTAAACAGGAAGTCATCTAAGCCGGAGCTGCGCAACAGGAGCCAGTCCAGTCTGTCGACAAGGTCTACCTTGTCCTCCCGTGCTGGAACACCCTCCTTTACGCTCGCCCCGGCACCTTCCCGCAGTTCCCGACAACGCAACCGCGGCAGTCATCGTGATATCAAGATCTACCACCTTACGAGGAACAACGGTGAAGCTCCTATTAAGCTGTTCATCCGATGCGTTGGCGAGAATGGCGAACGGGTCATGGTACGAATTGGTGGTGGATGGGCCGATTTGGGCGAGTATCTTCGGGTTTTTGCCAGTCACCATCGCCGAAACGTCGCGCTAGAGGGCAAGGTGGAGGTCAATATGCCTCGTGTAACAGCTGGTGGCTCTAGCTCACCCACTCGGCCGCCATCCACACGGTCTAACCAGGATCGACAATCCCCTCCAGATACTCCCTTGAACGTCCGCAAGACTAGAAAGCCTGCGGAGGCAAACGAGGAGAACGCCGGAACACCCAAAGCGACTCCTAAGACGCCCTTTATTTCGGCTGGTAAAGCGACTGCCGTATCATCGCCAAGAGCCCCATCAGTTGCAGCCCGCTCCCGCTCGATTTCGACTCGCTCTCGCTCAAGCTCCCGCCTCAGCCATCGTGGTGATGAGGAGATCGTGCTTGGATTAGCAGGGCCGCGGACAAAGAACATTGAAATGAGTGAGGAGGATAAAGCGTGGGTGGAGGATATGAAGGCTAAGGTGCAGAACGCCTCTGGCATGAACCGTCAGGTGTCGGACTCGCCAGCTACTGCAGAGGGGAAGTTCGGCGACATGGGCAAGATTGGCGGGACGAAACGGGTTTTTAAACGTCAGGGCGGGTTGCCATGATGGGATGGAATGCATGTCGGATGGCACACGGGACGGAACGGGAACGGGACGACACGTGTACGGCATGAATCGGGCGAGGGGGTTTGTGGGTAAGGGCTAACGAACCTGATGTGGAGGGATGATCGGCGTTTCAGGGATTCACGGGCAGGTTTCACTCCTGCTATCCCAGAGATTGCGGTGGTTTCACATGAAGTTTGTCATTACCCCCGGTTTTGGTCTGGGTGGAGAGCGTTTGGGATCTACGGGGCTATGCGCATCATGTCTTATGCCCTCCATTCCTCTAATCTCTCCTATCCTGTCGGATCCCCACACACCCATGCTGCACTTCCTTCCCCAAGGCGATAATTTTTTCTTCTTTCTCAACCTCGTCACTTGGACGAAGGTCACCCCTCTCATCATCATCATCATCATCATCATCATTATTACATGCATTGTTGTGGGGATTTTTCTACTTTGTTACTTTCTCTCTACTGTCAACAAATACCCCCGGAGCTCTCTTGGTCTTTTCTCATCTTTGCATTCAGATATCCCCATCTCTTTACCATAATCATTTTCAAATCATAAAACAAACTCTACCATTCATACATACATATTACACACATTGTTACCATACACAGGCCATAAACAAGGAGGGAGGAGGAAGAAACATGCATATGTCGGTTTACGACTTTCTTTGTACTACTCTCGGAAAGGAGGAAGGGATACCCAAGACAATACAATACCCAAGGAAGGACGACGGAACGCATATGCAATGGATGGACGTATGGTACGCTCACACACACGGACGGACGGACGGACGGACGGAAGGCGAATAAGGAACAGGAACTCGGACAAAGCAAGACGGGCGTCGGACAAATTTTCTGTCGGTTTTAGGTCAGGTATATGTCAGTTTTTTGTTTTGATTTTCGGCGACAACGGACGGCGGCGATCGAAGGGTGTTTGGTTGGGTCTTTGTGATAATTTGCTGTCTGTTTGTCTGTGTTTCTGAGGATAGGCAGACGGGCAAAACACAAACCCGCTCGGCGTACAAAACAGCATTCTTCGGCTGGGGGTTTTATTGGCTAGCTCTTTAGATATTTATACACTTTACTTATTTTACCTACATTGATTTGAATCTGTAATCCTTTGACCACGCAAGCAACAGCATATGAGCCATAGCTCAGATAGAGCCCCAACGACAAGAACACAATGAGGCCAAAAAAAACGGACGACTGTCTAGTTTCTACTCTGAAACACGAAAGAACGGACACACTTAGATCGTGACTAGATGCGCAGTTACTGATCACCCATTCGTGACATAAGATATCCGTCTCAGGACTGAGATAAGATGTTTGACACACACACTTCCAACCTTCAAGACAAAACAACTCTTCTCAACGTGTTCCCGTCCTGATCAGAAAGAAAGACCGCCAGGCTCCACCCGGTCTCTACCAAGATCGCCTCCTCCCAAATCCGTTCAACCCGCGCCTTCTTTCCTTCTGTCCAGGTTCCTTCCTTAACGGCAACCTGCCCCAGCACCAGGCAAAGAGTAAGGGAAACTAAGAACTGTCCCCGCGTCATCGCGCCTTCCCAAAAACAGCCTTCGCTTCCATCTTCATACTTAGGGTATAACCCAATCAAATCACCCTGTATTTTGAATCAACCACAAGTGACTGAAGAACGCGTGATTACAAAAGCGGTTGAGTGGTCTCGTTAGTCGGGAGGTGAATCCTGAAGATTACCGAACGACACGGAGTTATTCGAACCGGACTCCAGTAGCTCTGTGTGACTGAACTATAAGGTAAGGAGGAGTATCTGGAACGGGAGGGAGGTACGTGTTAGAAGTTGGGGAAGAGCCACGGGCAGATCATCATCATCATCATCTTCATCGTATAGTACCGTATCTTGAAGCCTTGTTCGGATAGCAAACCCAATGACCTTCTGCTGAAGCATCACTCAACCGATGGCTCGACGTCATTAAAAAAAGTATCAACTTGTTTATACATGTATGTATACTCCACGAGCCCAGTCAGTCACAATGTGTATCCTATTTGTATCCTCCCATCCATCCTGATTCCTAACAGAAAACATCATCGAAATCAAAGCCTCCGTACTCTCTCCAAACGAAACCTCCTCGTCTTTGATGATGACGAACTAGCACTCGCCAACCGATAAAGCTCAAGTCGATTTCCAGCGCCGCAGTACTCGTAAGGAGTACCGGCACAAGTGAAGCTGCAATCAGCCAGCGGAGCGGGAGCCGAGCCGCCTCGGAGGGTGTTGCCGCAGTAGCCTGTGTTATAAGGTCAGGTTAGTGTTGCCCAGTCTCGCGAGAGCTTTATTAGAAAAAGAACAGGAGAAAAAAAAAAAGAAGGATAAAAGAAAAAAAAGACTTACACTCCCTCCCATACTCCACCCCAAAATACTCCCACCCACTACAAGCCTCCGCACATCCCTCCAGCGTCATCCCGTCATCAGCCCATGCCTTGCCCTCCAGCGCCCTACCGCCTTCAGTAGCTTCAGTCTGGCATCCGACAAAGACGTAATCGCCCACCGTGTCCTTTCTTCCCAGGGTAGCCGTTGGCTGTGCTGCGCTAGCAGTAGTACTTGTTGTTATTGTTGTTGTTCTTGTTGTTCCCGTCCCACCAGAAGAAGGCTTCGCGTACAACTCCAGCCGATTCCCCGCCCCGCAATACTCTGTCGCATCACCAGCGCACAACATGTTACACTCGCTATCGGGCGCCTCGGAGCTGCTAGCTGCCAAGGAGTTGCCGCAGTAACATTCGCGAGCGTATTCGACGCCGAAGTAGGCAAAGTTGCCTGCGGCGGTGCAGTTGGCCGCGCACGACTCGAGCGTCATGGTGTCGTAGGCAAAGGAGGCGCCGGTCAGGGCGCGCACGCCGGATCCTTCGGTTGCGCAGCGGAGACGGGTGTAGCCGGCGACTGTGGGTTTCCTGGCGGGGCCGGTGGCGGTGGGAGTAGTGGAGGAGGTGGTGCTGGAGGGGGCGACGGTGGTGCTGCTGGTGATATGGCTGGAGCTGGTGACCTCGACTACGCTACTGGTTGATGATGGCCCAGCTGCGGAAGAGCTGGCAATCGTAGAAGAGGCGTCTGGTTCGTTACCACCACCACCACCACCATCACCAGGCGAGGTGCAGGATGCAGTTCCAGAAAAGGTAGCGCAGCTGCCTGATAGATCGCTGGCCTTGTTGAAGCTATCGGAGTTGGAGCCTGCGGTGACGCTGAGCTTGGCGGCGTAACTCAGACCACCTGCGATGGTGTAGCTGGCGGAGTAGAAGGTATAGGGACCCGCACAGTCGCCTTTTGTCATGGCTACGGTGGTGCTGCTGAGGATAGGGACAGGGTTGCCGTTGCGGACGACGCCGCGGGGAGTAAGGTAAGAGATGCCCAGCGAGGGAGTTGCGGTGATGTCGTTGCGGACCTATTTTGTCAGTCAGCGGAGGCGAGTCTTAAATGTAGGAAGGGGGGAGAGAGCCTACAAGCGCGGAAACGGTGAGTGCACCAGAGCTCTGAAGAAGACAGCTCTGGGGTTTTTGAAGGATGATGGCATCTGACAAAGGGTAGGAGTTTCCGTTGTTGTCGTACGACTCGCTGGTGCCGTCGTTGAGATTAACGGTGACTGTGAAGGAAGAAATGCCTGAGGAAGTGGGAATGTTGGTTGAGATAGGGAAAAACTATGCGCCTGGTCAGTTGTGATGAGTTAAGTATTCGAGTGCCAAAGGAGCATACCTCAAAAGTATCATCAAACCCGGTACCGGCTCCTTGTACGGTGGCGGTATATGAACATGACCCCGAAGCGCAACCCCCGTTCCTATCTTTCCAAGTCATCTTGATGTTCTTGATGGCGCCAGAAGCCCGGTTTGTTGTGCGAACTCTGATATACCCACTCAGTAGAAAACTGCTACCTCCCGAATTCAATGTCAATTGCATATCAACAGGCTTAACCGCATACGGGGTAATTGGGTCCGTCAACGTCACCCCCGAGGGCACAGTATCAATCATCTTCTGAAGAACAGTCTTGCAAACGTCCCTGAAAGTCGTCGCCGACGTTAACCCATTCATCGTGGCATTGCCATCAATGTTATACACCTTGAAATCCGAGTGTCTGTTCACCGCAACAGCTGGCCCAACTACCAGCGGATTCTGCGTAGTCCCTGAGATGTACTCAGTGACCACCTTGTTATCAAACGTAGCATCGGTGGTATCAAGCGGCTTCTGGCCGTTCGTTCCCGTACCGGAGGGCACAATCTCGGGAAACTCTTCCGAGTGGACACCACCGAGGGTGTGTCCGCAAGCTGTCACCTGGATCATCTCCTCGGTACTGAACCCCATACGGTCGAACTGTTGCCTAAACGTTTCGGCCGAGTTCTGGGGCTGTGGTACGCCGGTGCTGCCGCTGGACGTTGCGTCTTTCCTCCCGAGGCGAAGGGGAACGACGGGGCCTCCGCAAGATCGGACGGAGGCGTAGACGCCGGCGGCAATCAGGTCGGCCATACTCGATTGGGATGAGTAGTAGTTGGCCAAGAACCTGAGGGTGGTGTTGTGGCCTGGCCCGGTGTTCTCACCGTTTGTGAGCTCGAATTGGAGTGAGGCGTCGAGCCCGCCGGTGCCGAAGACGCGGTTGTGGGTGGCCATGTCGCTGGTTGGAAGTTAGCATTTTGTGCGGACTATATTCATTCGTCGGACTACAACAGGTATTCAGTTCCACGTGATTTCCCGTCAGGTGTCATCCCATTCTCTAGACTTTTTTTTTTTCTTCTTCTATTTTTTAATCGTCATCCGGCATTTTGACCTGCCCTATTTTCTACCCTCATCACTGAAAGTCAGAAAAAAAAGAGAAAGAATTCAAAACACATACTGGAATCCCACCCGCAGCCACTCCGAGGCCGTTACCCTCCCAGGCCCGGCAGCCTCATTGTTACAAGGCGTAATGACATCATTAAAAACCCTGCCCTTGAACCCCTGGAGTTGATATACAATCTCCTCCATCTCGTCGGTGGCGGCGGGCCATGTTGGGTCGGCTCTAGTCCTGGCCGCCAGCGAGAGCAGGCCAGCCAGGGTGGGATATGCGTATCTCATAATAGGCGTCGTAGGCGTCTGTGAGGCTTGCGCGAGATCGGGAAACGGTTCAGGACATCAGATCTGACAGCAGTACCGTATGTATGATAACAACGGTCGAGAGTGAATGTACTGATGGACGCCCGGATTGTGAGAAGGGAAACCGGCTCGCAGCTGAACAGCTGCAGTTTGATTGAGGAAATAACGAGTGATGGCTGCTTTGGCTTTGAGGCGTCTGCAAGAGAAGGTCGAGGTAAGAAAGAAGAAAAGGTGGTATCGAGATGCTTATACGCCTCGTATCGCTAAGCTCGATGACAACACGACACGACACAATGCAATACCACCAGGGAATGGATTCGATCTTATTCCGAACTGGACGGCAGTAAGCCGATAGATAGACAGACTCCTTTTTCTCTCGAGGAGAGGCTATTTTCATTGGTGCGTCCATGATTGCGCACTGCGACCTATTCCTCTCATGCACTCCCTACCCAGAAGAGGCATAGGAATCACAAGGCGAGGATGGTACAGCCAGACGAGGCTTGAGACAGCATACAATATGGGCGCAAGGGGAGAAGGCAAGGGTGGATGGGAATCTGGACCCGGGGAATCGCACCGCTAGTTGGGAATTGGCTGACCCTGCATCAGCTTTCCATCAAGATACACACACACACAACGTCTTCTGTCCAGGATCTCGAGTGATCCTGATTGGTTCTTGGGAGGGCCTGGTTGCTCTTCTCGTATTATCGCGAAGTCCAACAACGACTGCATGGCGGGCATTTGCAGCCGAACGAGTTCAAGGCGAGTGAGAAGTGCAGAGCTGACTGTTGTGCATCAAATACGATGTGGGCTCTCTCTTCTTTGCAACCACATTGCCGTCGCAAGCGAGACAACCCTGTTGATACTGTACAATAGTTCAACAACCACCACCACCACCACCACCAAACCTCATCCAACGCCAAGCTCAGCCGAGATGCCGAGCCGAGCGACTATAAGGGAACGCCTATTGCGACGGCGGCTGTTGATTGGTCTCCCCATCTTTTGTACTACCGATAAGAGCACCATTTTTTTTCGACTATTTTTTCCCCAGCGGCATGGGATGGCCCGAAGCAGAGGTTTTGATGTGACTTGAGATGTGTCCACGCGGGGAGCGCCACACAACCACCGATGAAAACTGCTGTCACTTATGACTGATAAAGCCCGAACTGATGGGTGGGTGCCAATACCGACCCAGCTTTGGATTTATTGACCGGATGGAACGTTCCTTGACAATTCAATGCTTTGGCAAGGCAACAGCTGAGGGAAGGTAACGCAGGTGGCAGACTATCGACCGTTAGTGAGATATAAATGCACACCGATAATGTAGTCATCAGTGTGTGTGATATGCACTGATACTCTTCTTCGCATCGTCGCAGTCGTAGTCAGGCATCTTTCTCGCCTCTCCGGCGCCATCGTTGTAATCGGACCGGGGCTTACTCGCACTGATGGACAAAAGTCGGAAGAAAGAGCGAGAGTAGCGCAGTTGTAGGTAACTCAGACCTGGTGTGCATTCTAGACGCGGCTGTTTGCTATTCCCGTCGTAACCGCGTTCGATTCGGGCCCTGAAGTTGCATTTGTGAGAAAGGGTGGCTATGCAGAGCTGAGAGAATTGTTTCTGAAATTAGATGGCATAATGTGCGCGTGTGATGGAGACAGTGAGTGACAAATGGAGGAGGCGAGCGAGCGAAAGGAATGAGACTGCGGTCATGTTGAGCAACACGTAAGTAGACGGAAGGAAGGGGGAGGGGGGCTCCGAATAGCGCAAGGTCTTGTGAGGGAGGACGGAAACAGAACGATTATCGCCTCATCAACACACAGTCAGCTATGTTGTGATATTGGTTATTCAACCCGGATGGACGCCTTGTCAGCTTTGAGGATGCAGTGCTTGGTGAAGAAGAGGGGAGACAACAGATCGAAACCCCTCATTTGAGTGCCTTCCCCGTACGGCGGGGCGATGAAGCACAATGTGTCGCGGGGTGGTCTGTGCGCGTCGCTACCCCTGGTCCCAGGAACATCGGACTTGCGGATCCCTTTTCCTCCCCACACCAGACGACATCCGTCCCGCTTCTCGTAGGGCTGAGAACGACACTCCTCGGCGGGCCACTCTGTCTTGACCATCTTGCTAAGGACCTGCTTGTGACTTGCGGTAGAGTCAATCGGTAACTAACAAGCATGAGAAACACGGGTGCGTCCGCCGAGTTCACTTCCCACTCCCCACTTACTTCCCACTTTCGTCGCGGCCTGTTTTCGACTCCATCGGGTTCTAGGCCTCACGAGATCAACAACAGCCTCTCATGATGAATCTAGGCTTTCCAGAAGACTGTCACATGCGAGACAAAACCTTCCGCCACCGGCACATTTTATCGCACATGGAAATCAAGACACACTTGGTTAGTAAGTGGCTGTAAGGTGGCTTCAAAGTATTGGTACCTACTACCTGCCGCATTTGAGATAACGATCAATGGGTTCTCTGATATCGAACCTGTCTAACGCCTCATCTTATAATGTCACGCCATGTCTCTCAAATCATTCCACTCACAAAATAATCAGCAACGATAGACGAGAATGCTTGATGGTTATCTTGGTGAACGCTTCAGAAGATTTTGCTGTTATGTGAATCGAAGTTCCCAAAAGACCATCTCATTTCTCTATTACAGAATTCAACATTAAGAAAAAGCAAGTTACAAAGAACATGACGAGAAAAAAAACAAAAGTCTACCCTACCAGGGAGTTGAACCCTGCGCTGCGGAAACCTGATCACAAGATTGAGAATCCGCCATGTTAACCGATACACCAGTAAGGTTCATCTCTTGTTGACCAGAAGCAGCAAAGAGTAGACCTATATGCCTTGTTTGCGCTCCTTCTTTGTAAACATTTGGCTCATGTGGGGTTTCTCCATTAGGAGCCTAGAGTTGGAAGGTACAACATACTATCAAAGTGAACACCGCTCACAATGTGACACCACTGTAGCCTTCATACCAGCCTGCTTAACAGTACAATGGCTGAGTGACATCCGTTCATATAGCTTGGCAACGAAGAAAATCCAGCTCCAAAGCCCTAGTGGTGTGTTGACGTTGGATGTCCAAACCCAAGAAGTCCCTTTACAACAAGGGCTTCCCATTACCAACACTCCCTTCCAGTGCTCTCCTTTTCTCTTCTGCTTTTCGTTTCTATGTCCTTCAAGATTACCACTTCAGACTCAAGCCCATTCATTTCCTAGGTATCATCGCCTTTTCCACCTCTCTCATTTGACCTGCATAATCTCAGAAGTACGGCAGGAAAAGCATATATCAAGTGATCATGAAAGAGATCGATGGTAAACCTTATTCATGTCGACCTGATGAACTCACAGTACAGACAGCAAGACAAGAATTTCAGGAACACACAGAAAAAGTCCAGACATGTGCAAAAAAATTTTACCCTACCAGGGAATTGAACCCTGCGCTGCGGAAGCTTCACTTTGGAATGATGAGAATCCGCCATGTTAACCGATACACCAGTAGGGTTACTTATTTTCTTGTTTTCTTCGTTCGGTGTAAGAAACTCCCTAGGAAATTGCTTATATGACCCCGGGGGCGGGGGTGATGTGTGTGTGCTAGGGAAGTGTTGGGAAGGTACGAGCTCCTAGGTAGGCAAACGGGCAGACAGGTGAGGTGAGTGCTGGTGATTCTGGGGAGGGAAGGAGCGAAACAGTTGTTGGTAGGGGTGGCCAGCTAGCAGGTACCTCTACCTACGCAAACAACTTTTCCGCTTCCAGACAACAGCAGTGGAGTGAGTGACTGGAGTGTTGGCATGTAGGCTGCCGTACGAGAGAGGACGAGGTGGAGTATTGTGAGCAAACAGAACACGGCATGGAGGGTTTGTATTGCCCGGGTCTTTGTTTGGGCTTGGTGATGTTACGAGATGGTATTTGAAATTGAAGTAACATCGATCTGGTACATCTCACGAGTTTGACGGATTTGGGACTGACTACGAACGAATATCATTTAGGAATACTCCTATTTGTACAGATAGGAGAGAAGACAGGCACCTAGGGAACGGATCATCAGGTCATTGAGCCATTACATGTACAAAAACCGCAGCAAAACTCCAACAGAACGGTTTGAGGTATGTGATACAGAACAAGCAAAACATTCATCAATCATTTGTTCTCATTAGGCACCCACCCATCCATTCATTAAAACCCCCGGACGCCCCCAAAAGGGTATCAACCATCCAAGAAAAGAACACTATCCAAAACAAACCCAAGTGCCACAATTAAAAACACAAAATCTTATCCACTACCCCTTAATCCTCTTTATCAAAATTCTCCGAAAACCTACTCTCCCTAAACGGACTAATCCTCCCACACCCACTGATCGACGACTGTCCAACACTCAGTCCCCCCGGACTCACCGGCCTCTCCCTCAGACTCCTTCCACTCACACTCCCCACCCCAAAACCAGACCCAGTACTAGCTCTCGGCTTAACCATCAAAAACTGCCCATGCCCCTCACTACCAATACTGGGGGTAGGTTGTGTGACAGAAACCTGCATCCCATTCACCACCGGAGGGAACCCCGCCGATGGTGGTGTATGCGGCCCGTCGCTGGAAAAAATGCTTCTCGCTTCTAGGAACTCGTCGTCTTCGTTGTCGCTGTCGTTGTCTTGAGCAGGCCTTGAAGCGCTGTTATTGCTTACACTGCTGTAGACGCTATCGCTTAAGTCTGAGCTACTTAGGCTGCTAACGGAGTTGATTTCTGCTTCGCCTTCGGCTGGGGCAGTGGTGGTGGTGACGTAGGGGAGAACGAGGTGTGGTTGTTGGACTTGGCCTTGGTCTTGGGCTGATGGGGAGGGAGGACGGTCGCGGACTGCTGGTTCGGTGGTGGTAGTAGTGGTGATGGTGGTGACGGTAGCCAGTGCGTCCAAACTGCCAATGGCGCTGATAGGTCGAGAGGAAGATTTCAGAGCGGCAGTGCCCAGGGCGCCGGTGGGGTTGGTAGGGACGGTCGTAAGGCCACTGCTTTCACCAGGTTCATCTTGTGCCGTCGCTCGCAGTGTTATGGCTGGCGCCAGTGTCGCCGACGCCTGGACCGGGCTGGGAGCTGAGAGGCCGGCGAGGGCGACTTCGCGGATACTTTCCGGCCCGCTGTGGTCGTCTCCAACAATGGAGGGGACACTGGGGTTATTTTCACCTAGCTTCCGGGTTAGGGCCATGCCACCGATGAAGCCCCTGTTCGCATTTGGGCTGGCGGCATCAGCGGTACCGTCCGCCGTTGTAACTACTTTCGGCGAGGCGACAGATGCGCCAGATACTCGTCTAGGACGGGAGAAGCGGCTCTTTAACCAGGCCTTCACTTTGCTAGTTGGGGATGCCACTGATTGCGGATCCGAGATGGGACTCGTTCCCTCGTCTGGTGATGTTGAAACCCGTTGAAGCGGCGATGTGCGTCTTTGGAGGAAGGGCATGGATAACCTGGCCAACCCTGAACTGTCTGTCCTCCTATGGACAACCGGTGGTCGGACCATTGGTTGGTTGTCCGGCGAACTTCGGTCCAAATCAGCGGCGGTCGCGGGCTCCTTCCCCTTTCCAGTTTGCTTCTCCTCCTTGATCTCCTTGGCCTCCTTGGCCAATCGCTTCTGCTCGGCCTTGGCCGCTTTCTCTTCCTCCTTTCGCTGCCTTTCTTCTCTCTTGACTTCCGCCGCCAGAGCCTTCTCCTTGTCTTTTTGCTGGTCTGTCAATCATTCGGGTTAGCCACTTACCCCTGATATCGACACTAACACGCAAAGGAAACATACCTTTCAACTGCTTGTGCAACATCGCCACCTCCTTCTCCCTCATCTTATTCTTCTCCACCTCCTCCTTCTTCCTCTCCTCTTCCATCTTCAACGTTGCCTTCCTCTCTCTCTCTTTTTCCGCAAGATCATTGATTTCATCCAGCAACGGCTGCACCCTCTTCGCCGCGATATCCTCCACCTTCGCCCTGTCCACCATCTTCCCTCCACCGATATCCACTTGGCCCGCATCCATCGACCTTTTGCCACTGTTCGTCGCATCGAACCTCGCCTGCGCCGCAGCGTGTGCCTTTACTTCCCAATCGCTCTTGCTCGTGTGCGGAATCATCACTCCCTTTTCCGCATACAGCTTTTCATCCATCCCCTGCAATCGCGCCTTGACGTTGCGCTGCGCGGCTTGCAAAAGCGCTTCACGGTCGCGCGCCCGTTTTTGCTCGTTAACTTCAGCGATCTTGGTGTTGAAAAGGGACATTTGCTTGCGAATGCGCTGGGAGTGCTGGCGGTCGTTGGCGGCGATGATGTCGCCGTCGCTGGAGGACCGACGCCTGGTGAGTTTGTTGCGGATGCTGCCGAATGCGCTGCCGGCGCTGTTGCCTTGGTTGGAGGAGGGGGAAGCACCCGTGTAGTACTCCTGCATCTCCCGGTTCTTCTGGTGTTCGTCGTGCAGCTTGGCAAGACGTTCCTGCGCGAGACGGTAGGCGGCGTCTTGGAGGCTGTTGTATACCACCGGCGAGCGTTCCACTTCGTTGTTTTGATCTGTTGGGTTGCTGGTACCATGGCGCTCAAAGGAGGATCTCCTCCCTTGCGCTTGTTTGGACTGGTCGATCGTTTTTTGCTGCTGGGTGTACATGCGCTTGGCCATGGCCAAAGCGGAAGCATGGAGAACGTCTTGCCGCTGCTTCTCATCGACTTCAGGCTTGACAGGAGGTCGGGACGTAAACATTTCTCTGCTCATGGTCGTGTACGGAACGGCGCCGGCTCCGTCCGTCGAACGAATAGATGGAGAGCGCATCGACTTGGCCGCGGCGCTGAGGGCATTGGAGGTTGCGTTTTCTTTGTCAGGGTATGCGGTGTTGTCGGTCATCGGCTGAGGTTGCGACTTCGATCGCGGGCGTCGCCCGGCCACAGCATCCCTTGCTGCGCGCAGTGATGCTTGCCGTGTCAAGGCGGAACTTTGTGTCTCTGGGACAGTTAGGGTAGAAGAGGTCGGTGACTTGTGTCCCTTGAAGGCCAAATTCGCAGCCGAGTTACCCCAGTTTGAGGTCTGCAGGGTAAGCTTAGGCTGCTGAGGTTGGGGTTGGTGCTGTTGCTTCTGTTGTCTTTGAGCTGCACGTAATGCCGAGATAGCCGCTTGTGATCCTGCGGCATTGCTCTTGGTTCGCGAAACCTCCAAACCGTTACTCGTTGGGGACGCCATCTTTTGGCCGTTAGCCAGGACTGCAGCGGTATTGGCGTGCGAAGCGTGTGTATTTGATAGCTCTGCCTTTGGATGTTCAACTACTTTGGTGTTTGTCCATCCCAGAGTCGCGGCTGAAGAAGCGGGAGCTGTCGATATCTCTGGTTTTGGATATTCGACCGATTTCCTGTTAGTCCATCCCAAAGACGCGGCGGCACTGGCAGCTCCGTTGTTGTCCTTGAGACCGGAAGAAGGGTAGCTAGGTAGGTCCTTGGAGTCTGCGTATCGTAGCCTCCCAGTATTGTCTTTACAAGGTGGTCAGTAAGGTATGTCCGGGTGTTGCGCCCGACTGACAAGCATCCACCTGATGAACGCGCGGACTTACTTGGAGGGACGAGCGCTGTTTGCTTAAGCGCAGTAGATGAGACCATGGTTTATGTATGGCTATTGGAACCAGGACCAAAACCCAAACAAAACAAAAGTTAAAAGACCAGACCGGCCGCGTGGGAATCGGATGTCGGGAAACTGTGGGGCACCGGCCGGATGATGATGGTCCACTGCGACGGAGGCTGTGAAATGGCGAAATCTTACAGGTCCTTTGCTTTCGAGGTGTTGTTTGATCTTGTGGATTCTACTTGACGATTGGTTTTGTACGGTGATGGTCGCGTGTTAGAGTAACCTTATCTGTAGGTTTATAATAAGGATTGTCGATCAGGATGTCTAGGGTTATTTTTATTTTTATGTTTTGTGGGAGAAGCGAACGGCTACGCCGGACGGTGTCGAAGATGGAAACTGCGGCGTTGAATGATGGATGGCTCGGTTTCCTCGGTGGTGATATGGAATGACAGACAGGAGGAGAAAAAGGTGAAACGAATGGGGAACGAAGCCAGAGCAGAAATGATGACACTCAATGATGATATGTCCTACACTACAGCTATGATGCCAATCGTGTCCCCGTCACAACCAAAGGCTGGCTGCTCACTGCTCACTGCGACAAAGAGGGCGACGATTCCTTCCTTTCCACAACGTCGTCATGCGTTGAGACAGGCAATCGCTTCCTTAGTCCATCGACGTCATTACTCTCCAGTTTCAGGCCCAATGCGCTCATTGGCTTTTTGGAGTCCACTTGAGTGTGATGCCAAGACGCCACTGCAAGGACCAAACAGACGCTGCGTATCATTCGGTCGGCAGCTAGTTCCCACCAGATCCACTGTAAATGCACTACAAATGTGCTGCCAAGACCCTGCGCCAGTTGGCCAGAACTTCTTGGACGAAATTGATGACACCCATGTTCTCCATCCAGAACAACACCAAACTCAGCCCAAGAATACCACGCAAATCAAGGATTTTATTGTATGCAATGCTCAGTAACGGCGTCTTCCAAACCCTTGCAACCCTGTAGTACACACACTATTTGTAGTATGTATCTTGTCCATCCAGTTGTCGATGATTTCTTCGCTGGGTGCAAGGTCAAAACTTGGACTCGGGTGTCATCTATCATGTATATCCTGGGCGAGAAGGGGACTTTTCCAGCTCGAGACCGTGACTTTGCTTGCCCAGCTCTCAAACTTCACCGGGGAATCTCGCCGGACAAAGCTGATGTGAGGTCACGCCGCCTCACAACTTAAGCCACTGCACTAAAAGTGCACGTGTTTTGTTGAGGCTATCGAGGCTGATGACCTAGTTCAACTCTCCTCTCCATTTTTGCTCAGCTTCTCTCCAGGGGCTGGCTGGAATGCCGCATTACGAGCTTAATATAGTTCCCTGCTCTTACCATTCCTGCCCTGGATTACCACGACCAGATCAGCATTGGAGGAAACTCGGCAGTCAATCGTGTTTCACGAGGGCATCCAAATCTTGACCAACTCGGCTATCACGGGAACACTAACGAAAAGCTACTAGGTCAAACTCTAGGCAGCGAGCGAGCCGAGAGATTGTACTCCATTGTGTTTCGACAGGCTAACGGCATCCAATTCAAGAGTCCCGAGTTCCTACATTCCGACGCACTCAAAGATCGCCAACCCACCCCTTCTGTTTAGCCTCCAGCATATCAGCCTTTAAATCTTCATCAACATCAACCGCATTCTTCCCTGCCGGCTCCTCATCCATAAACCTCAGCGCCTCCACCGCCTTCCCCCCACAAGCCCTTTCAAGCGCCAAGAAAGCAAAATGACCACCAACCACCGGTCTCGCCATGAAGTAAATGCCCGGATAACCACCATTGCCTTCGGTCTCATAGAGGTCGGTTAGAGGACGGTCTATTGCATTGCTACTGTTAGTCTAATCTTCCATTGACGATGATGAGAAAATAGGATCAAAATGGGGCTGGGGAGAGACGAGAAACCGGGGAGGGGATGACGACATAACATACCAGTAACAGTCTCATTAACCCACAACGAAATGGCCTCCAACATCTCCATCCTCGTCTTCTTCCCCGTCACTGCCGCCGCGAAAAACTCCCAATCGCTCTTGGTGTACAAGTGTCGCGAGTCGAGCGGAAGGCCATACTTTTGTAGCACGGCGGAGTACCAGTCGCTTTGCATCTGGTAAACCTTGTCCGGGATGAATGGTTTTTCGGTATCGCCACTGTCATGATCGCCGTCACCGCCGCCACCAATGGGTTTCTGGTCGCCAGCTGTGCCGAACCATCGGCCGAAGCCCCGCTTTCTTCGTTCGTCTTGGTGCTCCTTCATTGAGGAGGACGAAGATGAAGAAGAAGAAGAAGGAACATGGAAACACAATAACGAGTCCGCATAAAGGTTATATATCGTCGTCCAAGATCCATACCACGTATACGCTAACTTGGCATGAGTCCGGTCCCTCGAGATGCCGTACTCCTGCCACTTGTCAATGTAAGTAGCAGCAACCTTTCTATAGTGCTTAGCTTCGTCTTCGTGGCCAACAATATCCGCGATCTCGCTCATGGCCTTGATGCCAATGATGCCTTTCAATGCCAGGTTTGTCTGGTTAGCGAGCCACCCAGCGAAATCATCAGTACAGAGCTGGTTGTGCGGGATCAGCGATTCGCGCACGAGGTAGCCGGTCCATTGCTTCCAGAGGGAGTAGGAGCGGCTAAGCCATTTTTCTGCGGCTTTGGACCCGGTGGTTTGGAGATTAGTTTTGCGGTCGCGATGTCCGCTTAGGTCGAAACCGTATTCGTCTACGGAGCGTGACCAGTCCTTGGCTGACGAGATGGCGTTGGCAACGGCATGAGGTGCGGCGGCCTGGACGAAGGCGGGTTCGGTATCGTAGCGGAAGGCATTGGCGAGAGCCAATCCCATGATAAGCATGTTTCCACACTCCTCAACCGGCATGTATTCGTCGTTGCCATCGCTGTGTCCAGTCGCGTTGGGGAAATGGGCGCCAAGGTCGTGCATGCTGTAGTCGTTGGGATATTGCCCGCTCAGCTGGTGTTCAAGCAGCGGTTCGAGAAGGTAGCCGAGCCACTTCGGGTTCGTGTAGAGGAAAAATGGGAAGGCAGGGAAGATGACGTCTACGGTTTGGAAGTTGCCATTTGACGAGATTTCCTTGAGGAAGATGATGGGATCATCAGGGGTGCCGGAGAACTGGGTGGCACCGAGAACCTGGCGGGCAGAAAGCGCGGCGATATCCTGATAACTCTCTGATCCGGACTCAAAGGCATCACGAGCTAGCGAATCAGAGTAGTTTCGAGCTAGCCAAGACGCAGTTTTGAAATCGTTGTAGTGGTAACGGACCAGCTCGTCGGGTGAGGCGAAGTGCGAAGCCCAGAACGGCTTCATGAGAGTCAGACCCCTAGCAGAAGCGAATTGCACCACTGGGTCTTGGATGAGGGCAAAGGTGAACACCGCGCTGTCTTCCGTCTTTGAGCAGCCCTTCTTCTTGGACTCTCCGGCCAGTTTGAAGGTCTTTGCAAAAGCGAACACGGGCTCTTCTTGCATGATGCGACGGAAGTCCCGGTCAATTTGATTCCTCAGGTAGCCCTTCTCAGCAAAGTGTTGACGAAGAAGGCCAGAGGTGCCCGCTTCATGTTGAGCATCAGCCGGACCGGTGAAGTGCATGGTTCCCCATTCGGCGTGATCGTAGAACTCGGTCAGATGTTGCTCTGTCTGACGTGACCACTTCCACGTCTTGATGGGCGTGGTTTTCTCAGCGCTTTCTTCCGGTACCTTGGGCTCGTGCAGGTCCCACTTGATCTCGTTCGCCCTGTTCCCGCTGACCCATTCGCCATTGGCGTCGGTGTAAATCGTTACGTTGGAGCAACCCTCGGCAATAATGGTAAGATACGCAGCAGGTATCGACTGTCTGAGGGTGGATGACGGAGTGATGGGGGAGAGGAACGAAAGTGTGATTTTCACTGGCTCGTCTAAGGAAGATCCGTGAAGAAGGTAAGTCAGGTTCGTGGTCGAGGCGTCGAAAGTAGGTCCTAGGTATTCGGGAAAGGTGATACTGTAAAGCTTGTGTCCACGACGAAGCGAATCATGAGGTCGTCCGATGAGGGGATAGATCTTTCCGGAGTCGGGAATTGATGCCATGACCGAAAAGCCCAGCTTTTCCAGTTTCAAGAGGGATCAGCTACATACCTTGCTCGTCTCAAAAAGGACAAATACTTACATGAGATCCGGTCCAGAACATGGGCCAGTCTTCCCATGGTGCTTTGCGAGCACTTCCAAGCCATGTACTCAGGTACGGGTTGCGAACAAACAAGGGCAGGACGTTGGGCGTAAGTGTTGATGCGCTGGCTACGGCGGCCAACACCAAGAAATCGAACTTCATGTTGGGAGAGCCGTGGTGGTCCTCTCAAATATTCACTGTCTCGTTGTCATATGACTGGTCGTGTAAGTGGCGGTCAAGATGAACAAGATTTGGGGATTATGAAGGGCCGGCAATCTGTGAACTGTCACGCTTTAGGCCAACGGAAAGATCCTTCGCAAGGACTATATAGAAAATATCGAAGGATCTAACCCCGTGTTGAACAAGAGTGGACAAGGAGGATTGGAAAGGAACAAAAGCGGTTCGAATAAGGAATGAGGGAGGGCGGAGTCTTTTGAGGTGAACGGATCGGCTGGAAGGTGGACTGAGGCCGAGCCGTTCCTCCTCCAACCGTCCTTCATGTCGCCAATAAACGAGTTGACCTGACGACGATCCTGTTAGACGAGGAGGGGGTTGAGGGGGAGACCACCTAAGTGAGAGACAGGGGTGATCATCTTATGCCCCTCCCCTTCTCCAATTCCGTCTTGGGGCTGCCCTATGATACGTCTATGACAGGGATTCTCCGCATCGGTACCAGCGGAGGGTGGAGGCTTTCTGCGTTCTGTAGAATACGGGCACGAGCAGGGGTATTGATTCAGTAGAGGGTGCAGACTGTGTATTGTGTAGAGCTCTGTGTTGGGGAAATCCCTCATATAGAAAATCTAGTATTGGAGTAATGCCAGCGTGGCCCGTTTATGTAAGGTCTGGGCTGGCTACCTTAATTACCTCTTTTATTTAATACACTCTCCCAATTAAATTAGAATTTAGGGAAGCTATCGTCTTTGAAGCTATTTATAAATTCTATACCCTTCCTATTTCTTTTCTAGTAGTTACTTTTAAAAGTATTACCTACTCCCTTTATCTATTAATAAAGAAGGTTAATAGTACCCTTTTTAATAATTAAACTATTAAATTCTATAGTTTAATAATTAGAGCGTTGAGGTATTATTCTTAATTATCCGTTTACTATCTTTTAAATATATTTAGAAGTATAGTTAGTAGATTACTTCTAAATAATATATTTGAAGGTTGTAAGTTCGAATCCTGCTAGGACCGATCTTTTTACTCTTTTTTCCTCTTTATAAAACTAAATTACTATATTAATACCTCTAAATTTTTAGAGGTCATTTCAACCATATAGTATAGGAAGGCTATTTATACTTATAATAATACTATTCTAAATTTTTATCCCTTAATTGCTCTCTCTAACCAATCCTCTTCGTCGATTACAATTAAATAATCTGCTTCTATTATTACTAACTTCCTTCTTTCCCCTTATCTTTTTCTAATATCTACTATATTAAACTACTTTATAAACTCTTAATACTTATACGTATTGAGCACTTTAATAAATCCGTCGGCGATTATCTTACTAGTAGGTATATAATATATATTAATAATACCATATTATTAACTTTTTTTAAATTAATAATTATAAATATTAATGTATTTAAGCTTAGTCTAGAGTTTGGAATTCTCTTTAGTAATAAAGCGTATTATCTATTTATTATTACAATTGAGGAGGATAATTTCAATCCTAAATCGAAGGGTAAGGGAATTAAATAGCCTCTTTACTTATATACTTTCCTTTACTCCTTAAACGAAGGACAACAATTCTATTTCGATTATTAAAGTAATAACCGTATCTTACTTATTAATATACTAGTCGATTATACTATTGAATAACTATATTGCGAATCTTTATAAACTTCTTCGGTTGTTAGTATTATTAGTAAAAAACGTATTAATATAGACTTTAAATTCGTTACCTCCTCCTAATTAGAGGGCGTAATAATTAGTACTATGAAGGTATACCTTTACTCGGTTAATTACGAAGTAATAAATTAGTTTGGGGTTAATTAAGAAGTAGGTTAGCCGGAATAGTATAAAAGTAATATTAGGTTTAATAATGATAGTAAAGTATAAAACTATACTGATAGCCTATTAATATAATTTAATTATATATTATATAGAGGATTAGAGTTAGAAAATAAACTCTTTAATTATTATAGGGGTATTAGGGGGTTTCCTCCTCTATTTAACTCCTTCGGTTATTTTAAGTGTATATTCTCGCTATAATAACTAAAGTAAATAGTACAGGCGGTCTCGAATAACTTTAATGCCTAAGAATTATTAGATATTTTAATTACTAATTAGTTAGTAGTATTATTTAAGAGTAATAACTACTCCCTCTACTAATAGTAAGTATTTTAGTTTATAAACGAAGATAATATTATTAATATAAAAAAAGATAAAAATACTCTCTTTAATTAATATATATAATTCTATAGGGATAGGGGTGAGGCTAATTTCTACGAGAGTTTTAATAAACTCTTTCTACTAGAATAATAGAAAGCACTATAATTTATATAAAGCGTACAATAGCTTTAGTACTTTATCCTTGTACTCCTAATTATATAGTAGCTTTATATAGATTATCTTGTTTAGTATTATATTAATAAAGGTATTAATTGTATTATACTACTTGAATTTAAAATTAAAATAGGTGGTAATTACTATTATAATCCTAAATAATTAGATTGTAAGGGTAGTAGCGTATATTTCTCGTACGTTATTACGTAATTATTAATCTTTACGAACTATTAAATAGACTTTATATTTAAAGTAATACGCTTTTATATTAAATTTATATATATATATATTTATATTAAGTCAAGAAGCTTAGCGGCCGTATTAGTATACTATTTATTCTTATTGACCTACGCTTACAACCTCTTCTCCTTGTAATCTTTTATATATTTTCGTTCCACTTTATAAAAGAAATTATTAAATAAATAATAATTAAAGTTTCTATAAATCCGAAGGGGAGGAGGGAACTTTTATTAGTAGAAATTAGCTAAAGTATTAAAGTCATTATAATAATCTATAATATCTTTAATTAATTTTGAATCGTTGGAGAACTTCTCTCCTTCCTCCTTCTTATTAATAACCGTACGTTTTAATTAATTAAGGGTTTCCTTATTAATAGGCCGCCTATTATATAATCTAATATTTATTTTATTTAAAGTAATTAAAAAGGACCCAATTTAATAGAAATATTTATTATATATTAGCTAGCTCCATTAGGGGTACAATGCGCTAAGACTATTAATAAGAAATAATATTAGACTTTCTAAGGGAATAAAATAACCTGTCTTCTCTTCTTTATTTATTATTATATTCTACTAATTATCTTATGGTTGTAATTTTAGTACTAGAATTCTAGTACCCTCTCTTTATTATTCCTCCTCTTATATATATATAAATTCGGTCGGTTTGGAAATTATAGTACTATCAACAGCGGGCAGGGATTTAATAACCGGGTTAATTTCCTTATCTTTTATTTTGGCACTTCTAATTAGTAGTAGATTGGATATATTAAATTCTAATTAATAAATATTATTTAATTATATAACTAATTTTTCAACGGAGATATTAAGGGTATTATAGAGTTTTTCGACTTTATTTATAAAGACTTCATTCTTATTAAAAATTACGTCTGTTATTATAACGACCTAATTTATATACGGGTTTTAAATATAATAGATATTATTAAATTAGTAACCGACTAAATACCCTACCTAAGCGCATCGTTTGAACTTTTAAATCCGCTTCTAACCGCGTAGAATATCGACCGTAAGCGCAAATACTTTACAACTATAGACTTTAAAGTAGGATAATTATAGTACTAGTTTCTACTAACCGCTATTATAATTAACTATATACGTAATAAAGCGTTTTTCTAAAGACTTCCAATTAAATTCTTATTATAGAGTTAGGTTTAATAAATATACTATTACTATTATTATTTCTTTTTTAAAATTTTTATAGTAAATTTACTAATTTTCTTATTACCACTGACTTTTCCCTAATTATACCCTCCGAACGCTCAGCGCTACCGTTCTATACTTAGGTATACAGAGCCGAGGGCTCGAAAACCGTACTTCGTTTTATCAAGAAGGTAGTAATATAGGGTATATTTATAATTATTTTATTATTATATTCAATTACCCTTAGTTGGATTTAGTAATAAAGTTTAAGACTATTAAATAACAATATTAGTATAACGATAATTAAGTCCGCTATCCAATCTGGTAGATAATATAGTTATACCTTCCTAGACTAGCGGTCTATAACGACTATTAGATTCGATACTGTATTTCTACCGGGGATTCTAATTAGGGGATAATTAAAAAAATCGATAGTAAGGCGGAGACTAGAATATAACGAACGGCAGTCTAATCTGCCTAAATGAGATAACTGAAGGTAAGAACTATTAGAATCGTTCGGTGAAGCTAAAGGGTTTATAATAAGTATGCTCGTAATACTAGTCTTAATAATAATAATTAAGTTGTATTAACTACTATTAAACTATTTAACAATCTGAGTTCTCTAGTCGTCCTTTTATACTTCCCGTATCGTTTATTCTATAGTTGGCTTACTTGTATTATTATAATACTAGTTTATTCTGTAAGCCCGGCGTTGGTTTACTATTGTGAGTCCGGAATTAGCTTATTAGTATAAGCCTGGAATTAGCTTACTAGTATAAGCCTGGAATTAATTCATTAGTATAAGCCCTATTTCTAACGCCTTTTTTAACCCTACTTTAGCTTATAATTATATAAGTTAGCCTTTTTAGGTTGCTTGTACTACTAATGGTCTAATTGGTCCGTATATTTACTTTAAATTTGTAATACAATACTTCTCCTCCTTAACCGACGTTTTTAATAGCTTATTAGTTCTTTACTACTATAATTTATATTTTTATATACTATGTCTTCCGTTATTCTAATTATAGTAAGTTATTCTTTTTCCTTTATTATTTAAGTATATTATTTTCTTGCGTTTAGAAATATCCTTCCCGGTCGGTGTTTAAACGTTAAAATTTAGTTACTAATATTGAGCGTTTTAGAATTATTATTATACTTTATATTTACTATACTAATTATTATCTTCCTTATAAAAAGATTTTTAATAATAGAAAGTACGCTAAATATATATAATAGGTATATTCTTATAAAATTATTAATATTAATATAGAATATAAGGTTCCTTTTTATTAGGGTTATAGGTATTGCTAATAATTTCTAGTAGTTAGTATTATTACGACCTTCGATTAGGTTTAGCGAATGAAGGATAAGTTTCTTCGTTCTATCGAGGAGCGTTTAAAATAGATTAATACTTAATAGAAGGATTTAAAAATATAAATTGCTTAATTATTAGATTTAGAATAGTAATGATAAAATTTAATTTTCAGGGTTGTAAATTATTTTTTTGTAGTATAATTAAATTAAAAGTTTTAGAAGTAAAGGAGCGGGCGGTTAGTTTAGAATTAAAATTATTATTTGTAAAATAGCCGGTAGGGAAATTTATTTCCTTTCCGCCCGTTAATTAAATTTCGTTAAATGTATTTGCCTTCCCTTTTTTTTAGTTGGGTAATCCTTTTGCCCCGGCCGATCCGGGTTCTTCCGGTAGAATTCCTCTAATTTTTTAGGACAATTCAAATTCCTAACGGGTTTTTACATATTATTTTCGGGGCTAAATCTATTTTATTTAATAAGGTATTTTAATTCTCCTTCCTCTATCTTTAAATTTAAGATTTGTTCTATATTTTATTCTTTTTCTTCATTCTTAATATTAATTCGTATATTAATTTATATATTTTTAAGTATTAATTCTAATAATACGATGTAGAATAAATATAATTTTAGTTTTATAATTTTAGGAATATCTAATTAATATACTATATTAGAGATTTTCTTTTTAATTTTAAATAGCCCTACCCGTCGGTCGTTAAATTTCTTATTGGGTCTTTTTATTTTAAAATTTTTAATAGATAAAAGGATTTTATTCCCTTCTTTAAAGCGAAGTCCCTCGAGCCTTTTTAGGTTGAAATATTGGTTTATTTTTTGTTTAACGAATTTTAATTTTCCTTTGAACTTTTTATATAATATATATAATTTCTTAGCTTTAATTAAAGCTTTAGGGACGTTCGTATTTAATCTTTCTAAAAGTTCTAATTTATACCCGTAATTTGTAAAGAAAGGTGAAATTTTAGTAATTTCCGTAGGGGAGGTATTATATACTAATTGTACTATAGGTAATAATTCTACCTGATTACTTTATTCAAAATTAATATAATTCCTCAAATATTATTCTATAATTTAATTAATCCTTTCCGTTTATTTATTTATTTGCAGGTAATACGCTATTAATATTTTATTCTTAGTACCGAATTTGGTTATTAATATTTACTAAAATTTGGACGCGAATTTAGTATCCCTATCCGTAATCTATTCCTTCAGTTAATTGTATATTAAAGTAACGTTCTAATAGATTATATTTATAAGTTACTCTATTAATTACGTCTTCTTATAGGGTAAGAAGTAATTCTACTTAATTAATCTATTTACTAAAATACTATTATAAATAATTTTTATTATAATATTTATAGATAGTAGTAATTTAGTAATAAAATCTATAGTTATTAAGTTTTATAGCTTCTCTGTAATTTCTAAGGGTTCGAAGAATTTATATAGTTTATATTTTATAACCCTAATTTTACTATAACGCTTATAGGCCTATAATATTCGAGCTACTTCGGTTTTTATTCCTAGAAAGTTGTAGTATTGCTATATCCGTACTATAATTTTAGCGATACTTATATATTTTCCTATCTTAAACGTATATATCCTTATAATAAGCGCTTCGCACTATTTAAATTAAACGTAGCCCTTATTATAGTACTATAATTTATTATTCAAAAGGATAGCTCCGTCTTTTTAGCTATTCTCCTATTTCTATTATTCCTTAGGGGTAATAACCGTAGTATAAAACCTAAAGTCTTATATTTTAACCCTATAAATAGCGAAATATTCTACTTATTCCTATAGGGGGTATACGAATAATCTATTTAATTATTCTTAGAATAAAAATATAAAAACTTCTATAGCGTTTTTTATATAGTTTGCCTACCGGTTTAGTACGTCGGCGCGAGTATTTTCCAATCCCTTTTTATAATTAATTTTAAAATTGAATTCTAATAAGAATTCGGCCTAGCGTATTTAACGGCCGTTAAATACCTTTGTAATTATAAAGTATTAAAGATAATTATAGTCGGTATAGATTTATACTTTATATATAGTTTTATTAAGGTATAGCCTCTATTTTTAAAATATTTCGATAATAATTAAGAATTCTTTATTATAGATAGGATAATTATAATAGGGTGCTTCTAATTTCTTTAAGAAGAAAGTTATAGAATATAATTTCCTATATTCGTTACGTTATTCCAATTATCCTCCGATAGTATAATCCAATACATCGGTTTTAATTTCAAAGGGTTTATTTAGGTTAGGAAATTTTAATATAGGGTTTATAGTAATTATATTATAAATAGCCCTAAAAGTTTCCTCTTCCGTTTTTCCCTATATAAAGACGGCCTTTTTCCTAGTAAATTTGTATAGTAATTTAGCAATCTTCCTATAATTCTATATAAATATATAATAGAAATTAATAAACCCTAGGAATCCGTAGACTTTAGTTGCGTTCTTAAATATTAATTAATTTTATACGGCTTCTACTTTATTTAATTCTATTCTAATTTTGTTCTCCGAAATTAAATATCTAAAAAATATAATTTCTTTTATATAGAATTCGCTTTTCTCTATATTAATAAAGAATTTATATTTGTATAATACGTTTAATACTTTTTCTATATATTCTTTATATTCCGTAAGAATTTTATAATAAATAAAAATATTATTTAAATAGTAAATAGCGAATTTATCGAAGTAGGGTCGAATTGTATAATTAATAATAAATTAGAATATTATAAGTATATTAATTAACCCGAAGGGTATAATAAAATATTTATAGTATTTATAAAGAATATAAAATACTATCTTCTATTTATCTCTTTCCTTAATTCGGATATAAGTATAGGTAATAGGTAAATTAAAGTATATAAAGTATTATACTCCTCCTAATTAATTTCGGATATATAAAATTAGTAGTAGGGGATAATTATTTTTTATGATCTCTTAATTCAATTAACTATAATTTATATAAAAACATAATTTTCTATCTTTCTTCAGTATAAAGAGGATAGGGTACCCTATTAGCGATATAAATTCTTAAATATATTTTTATTTTAAATTTTCATCTAAATACTTCTTTAATTCTATATTTTATTTTTCGTTGGTATAATATATTTTAAAGAATTTGAATTTAGTTCTTTCCTTAAGCTTAATTTTATAGTCCTATAATCCTTATAACGGTAATCCTTTAAAGTATTTATTAATAAAAGCCGGGTATCCTCGGTATTTTATTAAGATTACTATCTTCGGCTTCTCCGCCTATTAATTCTAATAGTAATCGAATTTATATTAAGCGTTAATTACCGATACTTCTACTAATATTATTAACCCTTCTTCTATAATTTTACTACTTTTATTAATAATATAAATTATAATTTCTTATACTATTTATAGTAGGGCTATAGGAATATTACCTCCCTAATTTACTTCCTATTGTATTTTAGGTTTTTTATTAATAATTGGGTACGTTTTAGGATATAGGCGGCTACTTTCCTTCTAACTAATATTTGGGTTATATACTATATATTATAAATACCTTAGGATTATATCCTTAAATAGCCCTATTTCTACGACGTTAAAATTAATTTCGATCGTCTTACCTTTTACTATAATAGGGAGTAATAATATTTCCTGTTTTACGATTTATATTTTGAAAAGTCTTTTTACTACGAAGGGAACCTTCTTCTTCTTTTAGGGAATTTTTAATTGAGTAACGAACTTAGGTAAAATAGAATTTAATTAAGTTCCGGAATTTATTAATATAAGAGCCTAATAATTCTTTTAATAGGTTATAATTTTGAATTATTAATCCTTTTTCCTTTCTTTTATAGTAGTAACCTCTATAAGTATTATAGGGTCTTGGATTTTATTTTTCTAATAGCTATATTGCCGGATAATCCGTTTCGTCTAAGGATTTAATTTCTACCGGGCTTTCCTAAAGGCCCTAAACCATTTCTTAATTCCTAATAATAGTTATTAAGAGCGTTCTTTTCTTTAGGTTTAAGTTCGTCTAGCGAGTAGTATTCCTATAATTATACTAAATAGGCGGTTTTTTTATCCTTAATACTTTCGGTTATATTAGCCTATTGGATATAGTATATAACTTCTACTTCGTATACTTATATTTTCTATTTTATATAAATAGGGTAATTGGATATTAAATACTATTGCTACTAAGGGTCGGTTTCTCCCTATTTTAGGTAAGTATAAATATTACAGGGGCGTATAATAAATTTCTTAAGTACTAATTATTTACTCGTTCGTATAAGGGGATATAAGTTAAATATAAATTATTTATTTATAATAAAGGCAGCTTATAAATTTCTTTAATTGAAGGTATATATAATAGGTTTAAATTATCCTTATTAATCTAATTTCTTAATAGGTTAGAAATAATTATTCTACTTTTTCTTATAATATTTAGAGTAATTATAGGTAACGTACTAAAACTATAGTATTTAGTAATAAGCGAAATAAAAGGGATATATTTGTATAATATTTTTTACGACCGGTTAATATATTTTAAATAATTTTAAAGTTTATCTTTAAATAATTTATAGCTTCCCTTTAATAATAATAGTTCGCTTCTTTTAAAAAGTTTCCTATTTTTCGTACTTTCCGCTTTTATTTAAGTAAAATTATTATAATTCCGTTTAGTACCCTCCGGCGGCCTAATTAGGGTAATTATATTAATATAAATTAATAAATTCGCAATCGTTAAATCCCTCGAATATAAACGCTAGGGGCGAAATTAGTAATAGAATAGTATTTATTATATATATAACTATAAAGAGAGTTCGGTCGGTAGCGGGGAAGTTATTAATTTCTTCCTATATTGGGGTTTGGTACGCCTATATTTAGAATATCTTATTATCCTATACTTCTTCCTTAGGATTTTCTTTATTAGGTCCTTTCTATTTATATTCGTCGTCGGCCTCCTACTAAACTTCCTAATCGAAATCTATAATTCTATTTATAGTATCTTCTAAATTGTTTTAACTATATTCGGCGCTAGCGATTTCAATTACCCTAACTCCTTCTACTACGGCGGTTTCCATTTTCCTTTAATTTAATTATTTAAGTATATAGTAGTCTTTCTTTATATACCTAATTTTATTATAATTAAAATATTTAACCTTCGAAAGGTTTTATTTACTTTAGTTAATTTAGGTTATATTGATTTTTATAGGTCCTAAATAGGTAGTTCCGGAAAATTAAATTCCCTAAATCCTTTTTTTTTTAGTATTAATATAGTAAGTCTTAGAAGGAATAAAGGGAATTATTCTTCCTTTCCTTTCTTACTCCTATTAGAATAGCCGATTATTAATATAGATAACTATATTGATATATATATTAATAGTTTCGGGACGGTCTTCCTTATAGAATTCGTTTTTAATTCTTTCCTTAAAATTATTGTAGAATAATTATATTAACCCATTATTATTAATATTATTATAAAAAACATTCTATTTAAAGAATATAATATAAATTAAGGTAAATTTAGTTTATCGAAGTTAGGTTAAGCGTTTTTAAGCCCGATAAGTTTTATCCTTTTCTCTAAAAATTCGAGTGAGGGCCTTGGTAAATTTATTATAATTACCTAAAATTTTTTTATTAGAGTCCGAAGTATTATTTCTATTTTTATAGAAACTTTTAAGAATAGGTTCGTATTAAGTAGAGGCTCTATTTATTAATTTAGTCCTTATATAGGTTACTTTATTAAATTTAGAGCCGAATTAATCTCCATAAAAATAAAAATAAATTTATATTTGGATTAAGAATTTTATAAAGGTAGACTATTATTTATTATACTCTTTAAGTATAACTAATTTAAATTTAAGGCGGTTAATAGGCGGAATATCCTCTCCTATCTTCGCTTTAAGGGTACTAGATTTAACTTCGAATTAAATTTCGAATTAGTAGATATAATCCTATATAGTTTCGAACTATTAGTATATAAGGGCGAAGTTTATAGGGTTACCTTAGTAGGTAAGATTATTATTATTTCCGGTAGTAGATATAGTAAAGCGAAGAAGTACTTTTAATTACTATTTAAGATAGGTTAAAGGGAGTAGTTAATATATAACGAACGGTAATTTAATTTATTTAAATAAGATAGTTGAAGGTAAGAACTATTAAAATTATTTAGTAAAATTAAAGGGTTTATAATAAATGTGACGGCGCGGCTCAGCCGCTGGTCATTCTGGTCATTCACGCAGTGGCCCTGACGGACCCACTGCAAGGTTCTTGGCAGCGCACAGGATCTATATCCTTCGCACTGCAAATCCATCTTTGTATCTTAGTTTTCTTTCTTCTTCATCTTTCGATCTTCATTCAATAGTAGGGTCATTGTCGCATTGTCGCATTCCTTCCCTCTGTTCGCCGTGACAATCGAAAGATCAATCAAACACACTCATCGGGGACGATCTAAAACATCCCACCAGAAAACCCAGAAGATTGATCGCGCGCGACAAGACAGTTGCCCGCACCCCGCATCGATACGAATATCGACCCAAATAGAAGATTGAACCCAGATTCCCAGAACCATGGCGCGTGACCCCGAGGAAGCCATCCAACTGAAGGCACAAGCCATTCAAGAGGTCACCTTTGACTTCGCTAAATTGAACCAGAAGGACCCGGTGGCAAAGACCCGTCTGAGCCGCAAGTCCATTGAACAACGTCGTGTGTCGACCATTCATGAGACTCCGGCCACGACCATCGACAACATTGAAGACGAGGACGAGGCAGCCGAGAATGCTACCTTTGAGTACTATGTCGCTAATGTGCTCCCCCAGATTCAGGAGCTTCAGTTCCCTGATACGACTGAGGATATGGCCGAAGACTTCCAAGCCAAGATTGAGGAGATGGCCACGCGCTACACTGTCGGTAGCAAAGGACCCTGCTTCCCGTTTCAGCCCGTCTTCGATATGGGCGCAGATCGCGTCCGTTTCAACGACTTGATGGGTCTCGAGGATTTCCTTGGCGAAGTTGAGAAACACCCCAAAGTGATGTTTCGTGAGATGAAGGCACGCGCTCTGGCGATGCTCGCCTATAAGAAACAGTAGGAGGAAGTGTTTACTATTGCCCAGCGACTCAGTCGCGCCCTGTCGGACTTGAACGACTGGATTCTGCACTTCAAGTCGGTTTACGCCGGAGCACCCGACAAAACCGAAACTTCTCCCAGAACGCAACCCCGCACCACCGTCGAGGAAACTGATGACAACGATCAGGGTGACTGGCGTGCCAGCCACGCCGAGGGTGTTGAGGCGGCCATCGACAAGGCTGATCGCGAGAAGGCTCGCCGCCTGCGCGCCGAGGGCATCGAGCCCGAGTTTGACGCTCCCCACGAGCCGGCGTCCAACGAACCCCACAACAATTCACGTGCTCAGAGCGAAATGGTCGAAGACCTGTTGGCAACCTTGACCACACGCGAAGCCGAGCTAGCTAAAGCTAAAGAAGAAATCAACTCTCTCAACCAGACCGTCACCGACCTCGTCCGTGACCCGACCCGCCGTAGCGCTACCCCCGCCGGATCCGTCCACACCGTATCCACTGTAAGCGGTAAGTCGTCCAAGATTGCTGACCCGCCCGTTTACCACAACGACAAATCGAAGGACACGGTGACCTTCGAGGTCTGGCACCGACTCGTTGGCAACACGCTGAAGGTCAACACCGATCACTTTGCTGATGACGAGGCCAAGCAAGCCTACATTGAGAATCGCCTGGCCGGCTATACCGCTAAAGACTTACAACCCTACCTTCGTGACACCCACCCTAACCAAATCAAGACATCCCAGGAGCTGATGGCTCACCTCAAACGACAGTATGATAACCCGAATATTGCTCGCCAAGTTGTGGAGGACTTTGAGAAATTGCGTATATATCAGGACGACTTTCATATCTTCAAGAACAAGTTTGTCCGTCTTGCTGGCGAGTGCCAACTGGCTCAATCCCAATGGAAGGAAGCTTTCCATCGTCGTCTCTCTCCCGAGCTCCAAGTGGGCATGGCTCTATACGCTACGTTGGACGCCATTGACTTTGACGGATACGTCAAGACGGCTGAACAAGTGGCGTACACTCAGAAGGTAGCTAAGCGGTCTACCACGTCGAACACCTCTGCTAGTGCAAAGGGTAGGGGAAACCAGGGAGGACGTGGAGGAAGAGGCTCCTCATCGACTGGAGGTAATTCCAACGCGTCCAACCAGAAGGCCCCGTCCAAGGAGGAAATTGATGACATGTACCGCAAGGGGATGTGTTTCAATTGCAAAGAGCAAGGACATCGAGCCAAAGACTGTCCAAGCAAGAATGTCCAGAACAAGGGCAATATAGCAAGCGCCACCTCTAACACCGACTATCGTGCTCGTCTGCAGGCAGTCTATGCCAGATACGGCATCAAGGATAGCGATTCGGAGGACAAGGCCGGTGAGAAGTCCGAAGACGACAACTCAAAAAATTAGACACCCTGAACGAACCCGACTCCTGTTCAGGGGAACAGTCTATATGGTTTCGGCAAGGAAAGCCACCGAAAGGCACAAAGCTGGAATTCTTAAAGAACTATCTGGGAGGTGAACCTTTTGCCTTAACAGCCAAAGTAAGTAGCAATAGAATATCCTTGACCATTAAAGAAGCCATTATAGACTCAAGAGCTACTACACATATCTTGATCAGTGAAAAGACAGCAGCAAAAATCATCAAGTGCTTAAACCCCGAAGTAAATGACCGATTCCAGCCTACCTATATAGGTGGACCATTCGCAGGAGATAACTCCAAAAAGATAACCAGAGCGCTCAAGGCCAACATAACCCTTCAACACCGTACGGCATATAATGAATGGTTAGTCGTCGCCGACATACATCACGACATAATCGTCGGTCGATTGTGGTTCGAGCACCACGAGGTTGGCATTGACTGCTATCGCCGCTGTCTATTATTTAACGAATCCTGGTCCAAGGATCCTGAATGGATACGGGATATCCATATCGAGGAAGATACTGGTATCCCCAACCCGGTACATCAGGCCGATATAGAGAAAAGAGAGGCTAGGATGGAGAAGGAGGACAAGAGACGCCGGGATAGTACAGCCGTCAAGAAAAAGATACAGCAATTGGAATCATTATTAACGACTGAACCTCAATCGGCGACGCCACCCTCACAGTCGTCGTCGCGACCCGTCCGAATCTTACAGCGCGTAAACTCGACTCAACCCCAGGATCCTGCGTTGCGAGAGATGGCCCGTATGGAGCAAGTCTTATCCGAAGACACCGATACTCCGTTAGGTGGAAAGAAGGCAGATAAGGAGATGCAGCGTGAGCACCAAAGGAATCTGAGGGAGGACTTGTGTTATTATCAAAAGGAGCTGGAGCAGTAGGATGGAGGATGCAGTAATGGTCTCCAGAAGGACGACCAGGGATACTTCCGATGGAGGCGAGGCGTGTCTTGGTATAAAGAGCGCATGCCCGACATGGCCATCATTGGATCGGTGGGCCTGATGTCTATAGTAAAGAAGGACCACCTTGGTGTTACTAGCCTTTACGAGATCGATCGTTTTATCGAGGAGCGCCGAGCAGAGGAACATCCTGATCAAGAAGAGGGAGAGCTTCTTGAGAAAGTAAAACAAAAAGTCCCAGAGTACTGTCACCAATACCTGGATGTGTTTAGCAAAAAGCAATCCGATACCCTGCCCAAGCCTGGCAACAGTAACTATCGCATCGAGCTATATGAGGGTAGCCGCCCGGACGATTTGGGGTATAGCCCGCTATACAAAATGAGTGCGGACGAATTGGAGGCATATCGCCTTTATATCGTCGAAAACCTCAATAAAGGCTTTATAGAAAGCAGCGCAGCCCCCTGGGCCGCCCCGATTCTCTTTGTCCCAAAGCCAAACGGGAAACTACGATTTTGCATAGACTACCGGAAACTGAATACCATAACCAAGAAGGACCGATATCCTCTCCCCCTAATTGAGGAAACTTTAGCAAGGATCTCCCAAGCAAAATTCTTTACGAAAATTGATATTCAATAAGCATTTCACCGTATAAGGATGCACCCGGACGACGAAGAGCTTACTACCTTCAGAATTCAATATAGCGCATACAAATACAAGGTCCTACCGTTTAGCCTTACCAACGGGCTATCCACCTTCCAACGGTACATCAATAACGCTTTGATAGGGTATTTGGATAACTTCTACAATACATATATCGATAATATCCTTATTTTTTCAAATACGTTAGAAGAGCACAAGGACCACGTATTGAAAATCCTCCATCGACTACAGAAAGCAGGCCTCCAAACGGACTTGGACAAGTATAAATTCCACGTACAAAAAACCAAGTTCTTGGGATTCATCATCGGCGTCAATGGAGTATCAGTAGACCCTGCTAAGGTGGCGGTGGTTAAGGAATGGCAACAGCCAACTACGGTCAAGGGCGTACAATCCTTCCTTAGATTCTGCAACTTCTATCGAAAATTCGTACGCGAATATGGGAGAATCGCCAAGCCGTTAACGAAGTTAACCAAGAAAGGCGAAGTCTTCCACTGGTCCCCTAATTGCCAGGCCGCATTCGACGAGTTAAAACGAAGGCTGCTCGACGCTCCAGTATTAGCCCATTTTGAATATGGGAGGATTACAAGGATGGAAACTGATGCATCTGATGGTGTGCTGGCCGGCGTACTGTCGCAAGAGCATGAGGACGGATGGCACCCTATTACTTTCTACTCCGAGACAATGCAGGGCGCTAAACACAATTACCCTATCTATAACAAGGAAATACTAACTGTGATGAGAGGACTTCTCTGTTGGCGAGCGGAACTGGTCGGCTTACAGCAGGGACCGTTCACGATTTTCACGGATTACGAAGCCCTTAAGTATTTCAGTACAAAGAGGCTCCTGAACTCCAGGCAGGCAGCCTGGGCGGAAACGCTGTCCCAGTACAACTTCCACATTACGTATCGTCCCGGAAAAGACAATGCGGCCGCCGATGCCTTGTCACGAAAGGCCGAAGACCTCAGGACACAGAAAGACAAGAAGGACGCTCAGCGCTATATACGACTGTTCAAGCCCTTGGAGGCGCCGGGAAGGGGGGAGAACGAGCGATCGTCAGCACCACCTCACGCAACCACACGAATCTGTACTCTGGACGTGTCAGAAGATGCCCGCCTGACCGGCACAGGATACGAGTTGGTAGCGAATCTGTTGCAAGCGAACAAAGAATGCCCCGAGCTCGAAGGATACCGCCAAAAAGCAGAAGAGCAAGACTCCGGGTTCATAATGCTACAAGGTCAGACCTTGCTGTACTAAGGCCGGCTGGTGGTTCCGGAACAGGGGAATCTTCGAACTCAGGCTATACGAGAATGCCACGATGGGATCGTTACCGCCCATCCCGGAAGAAACAAAACTAGGAAATTCGTTGCTGTTAAATACTGGTGGCCCGGATTATCGGGCGATGTTGACCGTTATGTGGCAAACTGTGTGACGTGTCATGCCTCAAAGCACGCCCGAGACAAGGCGCCGGGCAAGCTTCAGCCCACGGAAGTGCAAAACAGACCGTGGCGCCGGGTGTTCATCGACTTTAAAAAGATGCCCATGGACAAACACGGCTTTGATAATATCTTCAGTATTATTGACCCGCTGTCTAAGGCTAGCTGGCTTATCCCATGCAAGAGCAACGTCACCGGCAAAGAAGCCTGTTGGCTGTATTATTAGGGCCCGTTCCGGATTTTCGGACCTCCCCAAGAAGTAGTGAGCGACCAGGGACCGCAATTTAAGTCATCCTTCAGTCAAGAGATGTCCAACATTGTAGGCGTAAAGTGGACCTTTGCGTCGCCGGGACACTCCCAAACCGCGGGACAAGTCGAGAACTTACATGAATACCTAGACCAACGATTGCGCCCGTTCGTCAATCATGCTCAGGATAACTGGTCAGACCTAGTCCCTGCTATAGATTTCGCACAAAACGGATTGTACCATGAAAGCACTGGGCTGCAACCTCACGAAGTCATGTTTGGCTTTCCAATGCCCTCCTTTACCGATTGGAAAACGTCCACTTCACTTGAAGACCTACCTACGGCTGAGCGACTGTCGCGACAAGACGCCCGAGATGCGGCTGTTCGAATCCAAGGATATATCGACAAGGCCCGCGACGCAATCGTTCAGGCACAACGAAAGCAAGCGGTGCAAGCCAATAAGCACCGGAGGGACCCAGACTTTGATGTGGGGGACCGTGTCTTTATCATCAAGAAAAATTGGTCAACAGAGGGCCGCCCAAGCGATAAGCTGGATTTTCCGAAGACTCGGCAAGCATTCAAGATCATTGGGAAGGTCGGCCACGCATACCGACTAGACCTGCCGACCGAGTGGAGGCTCACAAACCAGTTTCCTCCAGACCGCCTCCGCAAATATCCAGACAACCCGCTTCCGGGACAAGAGGCACCACAGCCGGCGGGAGAAATCGTGAATGATGCTGAGGAGGAGTGGGAAGTCGATTATATTGTGGCTGCTAGATTGCACTATGGGAAGCTGGAATATTAGGTCCAATGGCGAGGTTGGGATCCAGACCCGAAGTAGTAGCCAGCAGGGAACTTCAAGAACGCCGCGGTAGCGGTGAAAGTATACCATGACCAAAACCCTACGGCACCAGGCCCACCCTTGAGGCTGCAGACATGGTTAGATGCGGCAGCGGAAGATAAGTTCTTGAAAGATCACGAGGAGGATGACATCCCCAAGGGAGTGGGAATCCGCAGACGATCCCCACGTGCGAGGAGGAAATAAGCGTAATGCGAAGCATTGTGATTCTCTGGAAAGGAAGAGGGTTCATGCGTGCTATGATAAGCGGCTCGTACAAGTTCTCAATCAATAAATGGAACCACGATTGGGACGTTGGCGCAGTGTGCGATGGGTTGGCACCCCAAAGGCATTGTGTTGGCTACTACGAAGGTATGTGCCCTCTGCCGGGAAGGTCATCGGTTCAAATCAGTGTGCGCGCACTCGATTTTTTTTCTTTCTTTTTTTTTTTTTGTTTTTGTTTCTTTCCGGTTATTCAGGTACAAG